ACCTTGCTCGCTGCTTTAAAGGGCTTTGCAGCCGGAGCCCATCCCGAGGCTCTGCTTTGAATTACTGGGATTCACACAAGGGGGGGGGGGAAGGTTCCTTCTCTGGCGGGGATGAAAGGATTCCAAACCAAACTCCCCACCCCATTGCCGGGAAAGTTCAAGAGCCCTTGGACCGCTTCCCATTGAGGGGAGGCGGGAGAATAAAAGATAAACAAGGAAGGAAAATAGTCGAGGTCTTATACCATCAAAAGTTGGCACAAACTTTGCAGGCTTCTTTCCCCCCCCCCCCCGGGAAAAAAAAAAACTAGTGAAGTTATTCAGCTGTTGCCAGGGCAGAGAAGTTGCAAGCCAGAGCTGGAAAGGAAGGAAAAGCAGGGGGGGCTTTCGCTCCCCCGAGGGCATCTGAGCCGTGGTGGCGCAGTGGTTAGAATACAGGATTGCAGGCTGACTCTGCCCACTGCCAGCAGTTCGATCCTCAAAGTCAACTCAACCTTCTATCCTTCCGAGGTCGGTAAAATGAGGACCCAGATTGTTGGGGGGCAACAGGCTGACTCTGTAAACCGCTTAGAGAGGGCTGTAAAGCAGGGCAAAGTGGTATACAAGTCTACGTGTTATTGCTATAAGAGCCCTGCTGGCGGCGTGTTTAGAATGCAGCATTGCAGGCTAAACTCTGCCCACCGCCAGCAGTTCGATCCTGACTGGCTCAAAATTGACTCCACCTTCCATCCTTCCGGGGTCGGTAAAACGAGGACCCAGATTGTTGGGGGCAAGTTGCTGACTCTGCAAACCGCTTAGAGAGGGCCGTGAAGCAGTATATAAGTCTTAAGTGCTGTTACTATTGCTATCTCCATTACCGACACCTCAGAATTATCCTGCTCTTGGACTCCTTCCAGTTTGGAGATGTTTTGAAAGCTGTTTTAAGTCCTAGTTTGTTTGTTTTTTTCCTCTGGGGTTTCAGACAACCGAAAGGCACTTGAAGGATTTTTGTAAGCGGTGGCCGTAAGTTAACTGTGTTCAGTTGCGTTGCAACTTTGAAAGGTCACCTCCACCAATGCATGTCAGTTTATGACTACCTCTAAAGATAGCCTGTACATTAATTGGGGCCTTCAGGATAGATATTAACCATTGCACTAGTAGGTTTTTTCCCCCTAAGTATTGTCTAGACATCCTGTGGGTGTATAATTGTTGCTATAGGTAGTCCTTGATTTACAACCAAGTTACACAGGTGTCTGGAGAATTCAGGAGATGCTGATTTTTTTTTAAGGGGGGAGTTTTAGACCAATTTTATCATCTTTATAACCCACCTGGGGTGATGCTGCATAACATGGGGAGCTTTATCAATCTGTTGAATGAGTGAATTAATGAATGAATGAATTAATTAATGATGAAGCTGTTTGCCAGACCTGATTTAAAATTGTGTTCTCACTCTGTTGTTCACACACAGTTGTTATATACCCATTTAGGCGTTTTAGGGCCAAACATTTAGTGATTTTTTTTTGCCCTGTGCCTATTGATTCATATTTATTAATTAATCCCATTGATACGATCAAGGAATTCTTATTGTTTGACTAGGTAGTCTTTTATTGTTTATATTCTCTACGTACTTTCCTTGTTCTTGTGCTGGTTAGCCTCCAGCGCCTCCACGCTTTAAGCAAGGAAGACAGTCGCGTAAATTTAAATGATATACAAAGAAATAAGCACCTGCGATTTTGCATGTAATTTGTAATTTTGAAGCTTTACCTTTTTTTTTTTTTGCACGCATCCTATAGCATACATGTGCTCTATTTTTAGTGGTTTTGTGTGTGCGTGACGTGCAGGAGATTTTGTTTTTCTACGCTTCTGAGTTTTTACGTGCAAAATAATAAAAAAAAATAGCAGTGATTTTAACTGGTAAAAAATCTTCCACTGAATTTAATCGGTTCAGTGCTTTGGGGCAGTTTGGAACCAGATTCCTACAAGCCAAAAAAAAAAAAAAAAAAACCCACATACATCTGGAAACTGTAACCCAAACATCTGGTGGTTTACAAGAGTCTTGATGTAGCCTAAACAGCATCAAGCTCGCAGGAATATGCACACACGGACATATCTTTCAAGAAAACTTGTCAAAAATCTCACAAAAGAAAACCTTGTAAAAAATTGGGCACAGGGTCAAAATGAGCAAGGAGTCAAAAATCATGTCCACATGGTTGCGGGATGCTGCAAACAGCCATAAGTGCGAGGAATGCGGAATTTGCAGAAGTTGAAACTTTGAAAACAGATCATAAGTATCCTTTGGGTGGGTGGAGGAGACGTTGTTCCTTGAACCAATCCGTAAGCAATTGTTCGTAAGTCAAGGAACAACCGGCCTCCAGAAGCAGTGAATGCTCCAACACTGGAGGTTTTTAAGAAAAGACTGGACAGCCCTTTGTCTGAAATAGTGTAGGATTTCCTGCCCGAGCAGGGGGTTGGACTAGATAACCTCCAAGGTCCCTTCCAACTCAGTTATTCCGTTATTTTATCACAAACTCTGTTATTCTATTCTGTTCTGTTCTGTTCTATTCTATTGAGCCATTTGTCTAAAATGGTATAGTCCTAGTTGTGCACCCACAATCTCTGGTGGCAAGCTGTTCCGCTGGTTAATTGTCCTCACTGTCAGGAAGTTTCTCCTTAGTTCCAGGTTGTTTCTCTCCTTGATCAGTTTCCATCCGTGGCTTCTTGCCCTGCCTTCAGGTGCTTTGGAGAAGATCTTGACCCCCCCCTTCTTCTTTAACGCACATGAGCATTTTCAACCAGGATGGGAGTTAAACTGGCTAGCACATGCGCAAAGACGTATCCCCACCCTCTTCCTTGGCCCGTTAAGTTGATGACAGTTTTTAGCTGTCCTCCATCCCCAGTATGCAGGGCTATTGATTGGCACGATGAGCAGAAAAACGATAATCGCCTCAAATTAATCCTGTAAACTCCTTTGCAGACATTTTTTGCCTAATGCCACTTCCAAGGTGCTTCTAGGCTACGCTAAGCTTTAGAATTAGTGGCCTTCTGGGAGAAGGATCAATCCATAAACCAAGCTGCCTGCTCACCTGAGAATTAGTCTGGAGGTAATAAGCCTCCAATCTAGGCTTTGATTCTGAAAAAGGGGTGGTGAGGTGGGGAACAGGGAAACAGACTAAGGAGGGGACTATATCTGTGGGAATCCGCTGATGCTTCTTCAGGTGCGTTGGGCTTTGGGGGTAAAATTTTGCTTGGTGGGTGTTGAGATGGCCACGTTCACATCCAAGCGGATGACCGATTATGCGGGGTGCTTTCCGGGAGACTTGACTTTTCTCTTAAACTGCGGTCAGGGCGCAGTGTGCTTGTGGGTGTGTTGTGTCGGAGGGGTGTATGTGGGTGCGCCGCGGGTGCTGTTCAAAGGAGGTCTTGTAAAGTATTTCCAAAAGCTGCTGTTCCAGACAGTCTTATCCTTCTTCATCTCACTCTGATCAAGTGATCAAGACGGCTGTGGGCTGGATCTTGGGGCGCAGAGAATTTGCAATTTACAAATCCTCTTTCCCGTCTTCTGTCTGACGAAGGGGTTCTGGAAAACTTAGCAGGCTACGCATTTGGGCCAGTTCCAGTTCAGCTTTGGCAAGCTTTGTAACTTTGATTTTTATTTTCTCTCTCTCACTAGGATTGGCAAATTTATCTGATGGGGTGCAAAGGTGGAACCCTAAGCATGCCTCTTCGGAATGGCTCCCCTTCCTGTTTTTTTGTTGTCCTTTCTCGTGGAAGTTTGCAGGAAGGGATGTCTTTTGTTTGTAGATTGTCTTTAGCAAAGGCTACTTTATTCTGAAATGATGAATCCACATCCTAATAAGTGTTGTGTATTCAGGAGCATGGAATGCCATTTGATTGACAGCACGGGGAAGTGTGATGTGATTTCTAAGCTCTGACCATCTCTGTGAATTTCTCCTCTTGGGCATGTTGGAATATTTGTACAAGCACTTCATTTTTTTTTAATTTTTTTTTTTTAAATTGCTGGCTCCCTTCAAACAATTGAATCTGGTGCGAGGTTTTTTGAAAATGCAAAAAAAAAAAAAAAAAAAAAGACCTGTGCAAATTCCAGGGACAAATTATTAACTACGGCTGCGCTTTGCAAGTACCTTTGCTCTTTGAAAAAAACTTCCTCTGCGGAGAGTTAAAAAAAAACGCAGGGCTCTTTAAAAATATTTTTATTTTACTCGTGAACTGCCCAGAGTCTTTTGAGAGTTGGGTGGCAAAATCACTTTAATAAATAAATAAGTAAGTAAGGCCTGCAGCAATGTTTCCCTACCTCTCCAAATGAGTCAGTTTTTTTTGTTTTGGTCCTGTGAATTCTTCCGTTCGCATCCAAAAGGGGTGAAACAATTGAGATTTTGGTTCCCATCATCCTCAAGCAGCACGTCGGGGGTGGGGGTGGGGGTTCTGTGGGAAAAATAGGAGTGTTGGATGGGAAGCAGTTGGATGGGGAAAGTAGCTCTGTGTCTTTTTTGTCCTCCCTTTTCTGTTTGTTTCTCTCTGGGAATTGGGTTATTGATTTAATCTTTTGGAAGGGGGGCCCCTCGTTCCAGAAGCACCTCCCCCAGATCCTCAGCCTACCATTCCTCTTGTCTTCTCTAAATCATCAAATCGCTCGTTTGCAGCAAGTGGATTTTCCTTGACAAAAGTGGTGGAAGAAAACAGCCTTTTGCACAATTCCCATTTCCTAAAACTTGGCCGGAAAGCCAAATATATATATATATCTCCGTCTCCAATCCACACTGCAGCTAGAAGCAAATCCTCTGCTCGTTTTTTTTTTTAAATGCACAGTTCGGTTTGTGCGATGAAATTAAAAACAGGCTGTGCCAAAGAAAGGACGATGGGGAAGGAAACTTGCAGATGACAATGCTTAGTTAATCCTGGAGGGGTGCAGCGGAGAACAACGTTAAGGGGGGGGGGAAACCCCTCCTGGAGAAGCCTCAGATGCTGATGTGAGCCCTTTTTTTTCTCCTCTCTCTTCTTCACAGCCAAAACAGTGATCTCACCTCTTTCCTCTCCAACCTTCACCAGAGCCGGCAGCTCGGCATGCCCGAGACGCAGAACCGCTGCGAGTTCAAAAGAAGCAGCCTTGAGGTCGGCTTGGGAGCAGCAGGTAAGTGGCGCGGGCGCGCGCACACACACAGGAACACAGAGGTAGCTCTGCTCTCCTCTCTCTGTGTGTTTGTGATGGTGTGTTTGTGTGTGTGAGGGCAGGAGGGGGATGTGGCTGTTGAAATCAGCTCCAGGGTACGGCCACCTGTGTTGTGTGTGTGTGTGTTTTGAGCATCTGCCGAACGAGGGGGGGGGAGTTTGGCAGCCAGCGGTGCAGAACGAGGGCTTAGTGGGGACATGTAATTTCATTAATCAAAAGCGGATCGTGCGGACGGCTCCACCGGCCCCCTCCCCTCCCCTCTTTCCTCCCCCTCCCCTCATTTGCACCTTCTGCTGTGTTCTGACCTTTCCAGAGCTTCAACAAAGTGCAGCTTGTCTAGCCGGGGAATTAGGGGGGCGAACTAGAGGGGAGCGAACGAAGGAAAGGTTGTGCTTTTTCTCCCCACTGGAGAAAGGGGACGGGGTGGGCAGACAAGGGAAGGTGTCCTTCAACCCTTCGCTTCTCAGCTCTGGCAAGGCCAGAAGCTGGACAACCTAGGGGTCAGGCAGAGACCCGGAGATAACATCCAGAAACTGATCCTCCGTTTCGGATGTGTTTACCCCAGTTGTTGTTTTTTGCAAACATTGGAGTTTTATATTTTTCCCAGCTCCCGGTAGGAAGGAACGAGGGAGCGATTGGCTTGGGCGGGTGAGAAGGAATTGGAAACTTTGAAAGGCAGGCCTGATCTACAAAGGATTCCCCCCCCCCCCAAATCGTGTAAATAAAACAGATTTTTGACCCAGCCACATCCTGCCAAATGCTCAAGGCTGGATCAGAGTCTGTTTTTGCTTTCTGGGGTGCCCGTGGCAAACTTTACGAAACCCTGAAATGTATCTGGATGCACGTCCTCCACTATTTTAGTTTTTTTGAGGATCCGCAGAGGTTTAATCCAGAAGGTGGCGAGACCCCCTTTGAAGTTTGCAGTGTCTGTCCTGTCCATTTGCTTCTGAATTTTTTACCCACCTGCTTGTTGTTTTTTAAACAAATACACTGAGGATCCTGCCACTTCCTGTCTCTTCCTCCTCCACCCGTCCTGAAATTCTTCTGAGTTTGGGGAGGGGGGGAGCTAAAAGGGACCCATCACTTTAAAAAGGGGGAAACCCTAGCGATGGGGGGGGGAGGGCATCAGCATCTGAAGCACTCATCCCAAGTGATAATGGCGCATCTTATTTTTCAGGAATCGAGCCAAAACTGCCTTCTAGCCACAGTCCTCCTGCTAATTGCACAAGCAATCCAGCTTGCCAAGGACTCCAATGGCTTTTGGCACCGTTTAACCCCACCCCACCCCACCCCAAAAAAAACCAGCCTGCAAATGGAAAACAGTCTGAGAGGCCAGAATGCAGCCCCTCCCCAACTGTAAGGCAGCCTCCTGAGGGCATAGAAAAGAGGAGGGGGTGGAGGGATGGGAGAGAGAGAGAGAGAGAGAGAGAGAGAGAGAGAGAGAGAGAGAGAGAGAGAGACGATGCTGATAAAATCTAATTGCTCCATCGATTTTGCTCTCTCGGAGCTGCTGTCAATGATTGAGGTGTTCTTAAGATCTCTGATGCAACATTTAGCTGTTTCTCACTCAGCCTGGCCCACCAGCGACCTGGAGGTATTACCGGCATCTCTTAATCATGGAGTAAGGCAGCATGCGGTTAAGACCACCCCACCCCCTCATCCAACAGGAAAGGATTTTTTCTCCAGTGTTGCGAAAACCTGCTTCACCATTAGAGGGCAGGAGAGAGAGAGAGATATGCAAGAAACGCCAGCTCTCGGCTGCCCTCTGGTGGTTCGTGGGATTCCCGCAGCCTAATTTAGGCCCTCTTGTAGGCAACCATCTCTTTTTGGTTGCGGAACTGTTCATTTCAAAAACCGCAATTTCTGGAGAGGAGGGATGTGTAGAGTTAAAGCCGCCACTGCCATTGACGGAGTCATAAAAATCCACACGGGGGAGAGGAGGGGAGGCTAAATTAAATTATCCACTCTGTCCTTCCAGTCCAGCGATTCAATATTTTAGCTCCTCCGGCTGGCTTCTGCTTCCGCAAGCAGAACTGACACACATCCAGATGTTGGTTCGCTTCTTCAAGCCTTCCTACCTCTACTCCGGAGTAAAAGAAAGGAATCCATCATGCAGCCCCCCACCCCGGTCCAATAATTGATCTGAAATTGGCAATGCATGAAAGAGAAGCATGTGGAAATGAGGGGAGACTTTCTCCAACTCAAACAAACAAGCAAACAAAAAAAACCCTACCAGCCTCTGGGTCTAATTTGCAGAGTTGTTCAAATGGCCAGGTGGAACAGAATTATGGGTCTCTAGGCAGAGGAGAAGGAGGAGGGAAGCGTAATGATAGCAGCCAGAATCTGGAGAGATGTAATAGAAGAATTCCGTCTGAAAATTTAAAAAGTTCACATTTTTATGATTTAATTCCCTCTTAATTGCGGGATTTTCTTTCCATGCCGTTCTAGGTGCACCAAGTAGAACGGGCTTTATTTTTTTCTTAACCTGACTGCCTCTGTGGCTTCTCGTCATAAAAATTCCCTGTAAGATGACGGGATGTAAAGAAATAGTCTTGGCAGGCAGGGATAAGGCTGTGGCTAATCTTAATTGAGAGCAACACACAAAGGGATGAATGCCAGGGTGGCACCTGAGAGGCTTTCGCGCGTCTGGGTCAACAAATCCCATTTTTTCTATCCGGTTAGGTAAATTCACTCGAGAAGCAAGCTACTGGCAGTGACTTGGGGGTACAGGGAAGAAAACCTCCTAATTGAGCACCCCTTCTAAAGTTGCTAATGTGGATCTTTCTGTTCCATCCACTACAAAATTGCTAACTTTACAGTTAGTCCTCGACTTGTGACAGGTCCTCCTTTAATGACCATTCAGAGTTACGTCAACCTGGGAAAGGGTGATTTATGGCCTGTAAAGTATTTCCAGGTAGCATAATATTATCCCCCCCCCCTCCCAGTCTGTCTCTTCTTTCAGTGCTGTCTTGAAAAAAACTTTTACCCATAAATTTGGGTGATCTCTTATTATGGGGGTTGGCTAGATATAATAAAAATAGGAATCTCCGTCAGTCAAATTGTGCTTTTCTGGATTTTAGCTTCCTCAAGAGGATGTTTATAGGCGCATTTAAGTCCAAATTTCCTTCTGGAAGTTGTTGGTGCCCAATCAATTCGAGCTTTTCAAGAAGAGATTGGACAGCCACTTGTCCAAATGCTACAGGTAGTCCTCCCCTTACAACCACCGTTGATCCGAAAATTTATGTCGTTAAACGAGACAGTTAAGTGCCCCATTTTACTACCTTTCTCGCCACAGTTACTCAGTTGGGGAGTTGGTAACACAGTTGTTAGGTGAATCCGGCTTCCCCATTGACTTTGCATGTCAGAAGGTCAAAAAAAGGGGATCACATGACCTCAGAAACATTGCAATCGTCATAAATATGAGTCGGTTGCTAAGTGTGAATTTTGATCACGTGGCCCTGGGGATGCTGCAAACGGTCGTAAGCGTGAAAAATGGCCATAAGTCACTTTTTTCAGTGCCTGTGTAATTTTGAACTGTTGTAAGTCGAGGGCTTCCTGTATAGGTTTTCCTGCTTTGGACCAGGGGGTCAGACTAGAGGACCTCCAAGGTCCCTTCCAACCTTGTCACTCTTATGTTCTAAGTTGGCTCATTTTTTAAAGATGCATCTTTTATTTCCTCTCTGCAATTCTCAAGAGCCTTCCACCACTGAGATTTCAAACCCAAACCCCGGAGATAGATAGATAGATAGATAGATAGATAGATAGATAGATAGATAGATAGATAGATAGATAGATAGATAGATAGATAGATAGATAGGTGTGTATATCTATCTATCTATCTATCTATCTATCTATCTATCTATCTATCTATCTATCTATCTATCTATCTATCTATCTATCTATCTATCTGTGGTTCTCAACCTGTGGGTCGGGACCCCATTTGGGGTTGAATGACCATTTCACGGGGGTCACCAAACAACGCAGTCCACCATTTTTTCCCCCTTTTCCTTAGCTGTGCTGCTCCCTTTTATTCTATTGGCTTTTGAAAGCCAATAGAATAGACTCTCTTGAATAGAGTCTAATTCTATTGGCTTTCAAAAGCCAACAGGAATTGTCCAGGCTGTCTCTGCCCTGCTGAGCCCGCCAAAAGTCCCCTTCTGCAAATGGTGCTGCACCAGTTGAGTAGTCCTCGACGTACGACCAGTTGAGTAGTCCTCGACTTACGACCGGTTGGGGGGTCGCGGCATTAAAAAGGTTGAGAACCACTGATATATATTAAAAAAGCATATTAGTTAGGCCAAGTTCCCCTGAGTCTTAACTCTTCTGCTTCATTTTGTACAGCCGTCCAAAAGCCCCCCAGGGTATATTTTGCCCTCTCTTGATGGACATCTGCTCACATTGGCCTTTGGAAGCTAAATCCTTCCTTTTTATTTAATTTATTTAATTTTTTTTTTTTTTTTTTTAAAAAGGCCGGAACGTGCACCGCCTGCGTCAGCCCAAATATTGCCTTCCCCTGTTCTAGGCCTTGTGCAAATGTAAAGGGATCGATGCGTTATAGATTTGTGTGTTTGGAGTGCCAGATCTTCCTTTGGGTTGCTGATTTAGATTCTGCTCTGCCTGGAGGATTAAAGGAGGACGGATTGAGGGGTACTCAAACCTCGCAGATTTCCCTCCCCCCCCCTTTCCCTTTTCAGTTCCATTCCCCATTTTTTGGGGGGGGAGGGCATGTGTGTTTGTGGGGCTTTGCAAAGAGGCAACTTGAGGGGAGCCGGGGTGCAGGAGTTAAATCGTGTGATGCAGCTGCAGCTTATAAATGAACTGGGGGTCCCTGCTGGTTCCCCGATAATTGGGCCTGCCGGGGCCGCGTCTCGGTCCCATCCTCTCATTGGGGAACTAATTGAAAGTCCTGTATTGGGGGTCAGAAAATGCCCAACTAATTAAGAGCGGGGTATGGCGACCGCTGGGCAACCCTGCCTCCCTTCGCCCCACCATGTTCTTCTGTTTCCCTCTCCTGTTTCCAGAGTGCTTCTTTTATTTCACGTTTTCCCCCTTTCTCGGGTGACCCATCAAGGCAGAGAAGACCCCCAAGAAGTGGGACTGAAAGCCCTTTTGATTTTGATTTAAAAAAAAAAAAAAGTTTTCTGAACCAGCAGAAGTTATTTTAAGAGCAGAAGGAGACTCGGGATAATTTAGTTAAATAGGTTTTTTTGGGGGAAAAAATAAGATATTTTCTCCTCCCCCCCCCAAGTTACGGGTCGTCCTCTACTTACAACCACAATGGCAGGCCAGGATTTCCCTCCCTCCCTTTGTCCACCCGTTCGTCCCTCCCTCCCTCTCTTTGTCCATTTCTCCCTCCCTCCCTCTGTCTGTCCATCCTTCTGTCCATCCCTCCATCCGTTCGTCCGTCTGTCCCTCCATCCGTCCCTCTCTCCACCCGTTGGTCCATCTGTCCATCCATCTGCCTGTTCATCCCTTCCTCTCTCCATCCATCCACCCATCCATCCATCCCTCCGCCCATTCTATCTGTCCCTCCCTCCATCCACCCGTTTGTCCCTCCCTCTCTCCATCCCTCCCTCCCTCCATCCATTCTATCTGTCCCTCCATCCACCTGTTCGTCCCTCCCTCCCTCTCTCCATCCCTCCCTCCCTCCGCCGGTTCTATCTGTCCCTCCATCGATCCGCCTGTTCGTCCCTCCCTCCCTCTCTTCCTGTATCTGTTTACCCAGCCATTTACAGGCCTTATATGACCATCCATCAAATTCCTCGATTCTAGACAGCTTGCAGCTGTCAATCAAAGGAGAGATAAAAACACCGTTGGCCCTTCCCACCCACTCAGGCCCCCAGACCAAACAGCCTCCCAGCTTAACCCCCAGTTGTAGCTCAGTGCTTGGCGGGGAACAGCCAGATCTTCCGCATCCTTCGAGAAAGCTAAAAAGGTTAGAGATCCCCATGGATCTCAGTCGGGAGACCATTTCAACACAAATCCCTAAGGGTGGGGGAGAAACAATTGCAAGATTTTTCTCCTCCCCATCCTCAAAAAAAGGAAGGAGAAGGTCACCTTGTGGTGACTTTTCCATCTCCTCCTCAAAGACCTGCTTTTCCCACGCGTTCATTGCACTTATGCTTTCTTCCCCTCTCTCTGTCCTTCCCGTCTTCGCCCTCCCTCCACAGTCATTTGTCCTGCGTTTTCTTCCCCGATGCGCCCCCCTCCCCTCTCCCCGTCGCTCCCGGGGAAGGACACTGTTCGAATCCTTTCCTCTCCCCGCGGAGCTGAGCGGCTCTCTCCCTCCCCCCCTCCCCTCAGCCAATCAATGGCAGCCTCTCCGGCCCCGGCAGGGCTTGACGAACAGGCGATCAATAAGTTATTAGCACCATTCTGTCAGCCGTAATGTGGAGATTGATCGGGACTGGGGCTACCAGCACGCCACTTGGCACTTCCCCTGCCTGTTAAAGATGACAGATTAAGGGGATAAAATAGAGGAATTAAGTCTGGCTGTCAAAGGCCGACACGGACTGGGGTGGGGTGGGGTGCAGCCCCCTGATTGAAGGGGCACCGAGGGTGCCACTCCTGGGCATCGGCGGGCAAAGCTGCCGTCTCTTGGCGGCAAGGTGCGGGACCATGACGTGATGGCTTTGTCCCGGCCCTGCCTGGCGTAGGATTCACACTCTGACCCGCAGAGGGGATGAAGAGGGCGAAGATGGGGGAACGTCTGGAGAGCTGGCACCGTGCGGGCTGCGTGGGGAGCCAACGTGGTTCCTTTCCGTAGAGATTTGCCAGATTTTATGAACGGTGTAGTTCAGGGGTGGGGGAACGACGGCCCCTTGATGACTTGTGGACTTCAACTCCCAGAATTCCTCAGCCAGCATGCTGGCTGAGGAATTCTGGGAATTGAAGTCCACCTGTCATAAAAAGGCCATACTGTATTTCCCCAAAAATAAGACCGGGTCTTATATGAATTTTTGTTCCAAAAGACACACGACAGTTTATTTTCCAGTTATTTTGGGAGAAATATGGTACTGAATGCGTCCGTCTGGCTGACGATCTTAAGTGGGGCTTGTTTTTGGAGTGGGGCTTATATTATGAGCATCCTGAAAAATCATGCTAGGGCCAACAAGAATAGAATAGAATAGAATAGAATAGAATAGAATAGAATAGAATAGAATAGAATAGAATAGAATAGAATAGAATAGAATAGAATAGAATAGAAAATAAATAATAGAATAGAAAATAAATAATAGAATAAAATAGAATAGAACAGAACAGAATAGAATAGAACAGAACAGAATAGAATAGAATAGAATAGAATAGAAAATAAAGAATAGAATAGAATAGAATAGAATAGAATAGAATAGAATAGATGACCTTGGAGGTCATCTAGTCCAACCCCCTACTCAGGCAGGAAACCCTATAGCATTTCAGACAAATGGCTGTCCAGTCTCTTCTTAAAAACCTCCAGTGTTGGAGCATTCACCGCTTCTGGAGGCAGGCTGTTCCACTGGTTTAATTGTTCTCATTGGGAAATTTCTCCTTATTTTCCAGTTGGGTCTTATTTGGGGGAAAACATGGTAGTTCCCCACCCCTGGTAGAGTTGAAGGATTCTAAGCCTTAAGCATTTGTTAGACAAGGTTAGGGGGGAAAAAAAGAGAAGGATGTATTTTTTTATTTTATTTATTTTTTAAAAAAGGATGAATCTAAGAATTAGAAAGGAAACTTCCACGTATTTTTGGGACCTGGAAGGGCTGAGGTGCTAAGCTGCAATGGTGGGTCGCTTTAAATTCATTTTTGAATAGTTTCGTCGATAATTCATTTCATTTGAGGAAAACTCTTCCAAGCGTCCAATCCTTGAGCGTGCCTGCTTTTAAATCCTTTTTTTTTTTTTTTTTGCAGTGGGGGTGAAATGAAGACCACCTTGTTAAATGGATCCACTGCACCCAGTAGGCGTTTTTGACTAGCAGCCAGAAATAAAGGGCCAAATCCCACTGCTTCTTTCATTGACGGCCTCCGATCTTTCAATGCCTCGGACTACAGCGCCCATCCTCCTCGGCAGCCAGGGCAAGGGGCTCTTTCCCCTCCGTTCTGGGTGCCGTTGTCTTTGGGGCCAAAGCCCCCCCCCCAAATTGAAACACCGAGGGCGCCACCGAAGCTAGACAAACCAGGCGGCGGTTTTCTATTTAAAATCCCCATTCTGAAATCTACGCCGAATTGAAATAAATAAAGCCCACGCCAGGCTCACTTAAATTCCATAACCTCTAACTTTGCACGCTGATTAAACGAGGCAGATGGGGGAAGAAGGAAAAAAAAAATTAAAATAACCTGATTTGCATCTTTTAAAAAATTCTCTCTCTCGTTGCACACAGTTTCCTTGCACAGTTGTGTTGGCGAGGCAAGGAAATGTCTCCAGCGTCTAACGCGGCTCTTAAAAACAAGCCACAAGCTCGTTTATCCCACGGGTGTCTCTCATTACGGGAACCTTGAGGACTAGAACCTTGGCAGGATCGAGAGGGCCCCAAGTTTGCACGCCTACTGCTTTTTTTGCAGGAGCTTTTGCTGGGGGAGGGAAGAGGGGGGGGAAGGAAGAGTCTCTGGATGAGAAGAGGCTTAGATGCCTACAAGGACGGCACTCTTTCCGCCTGTTCTTATTCGACGTGCTTTCAATTCCCACCCCACTCCGGCATTATTATGGAAGAATATTGATTTTTTTTTTTATGTGCGTGGGAGAAGAAGGGGAAGGGGGTGGGGGAGGTGGGGAGGGAGCGAGAGGTTGCTGTGGTTGTGTAATTGAGTATTATATATATTTTGCACTGGCTGGCAGGACAGGGCAATGTGTAGATATGAAGGGGTTTGAGACCCCCCCCACGCACACAAAAGGGGGGGGGTTGAACACCGTTAGAGTGGGAGAGGAGGTTTCTGCTCCCCTTATCCCCCCTCCCCCCCCATTCCAGGCTTCCACACACACCCCCCCAGACCCCTGGCTGTTTCACATCAGGGCACAGGAAGCCTCTGGGAAACGCAGGGGAGCTGATCAAATGATGCAGTTAAGTAAGGAAATAAAGTAGATTTTGCAAATTTATGGCTGGGAGCCCCTGGCATCGATCAGCAGCGCACGGGAGGGTGGCTGGTGCAGGGCTGGAGAAACGGAGGCGAAGGCTCACAGCAACAAGACTCCCCCCCCCAGCTTTCCTCAGCTGGATTGTGGTCTGTGTGTGTGTGTGTGTGTGTTTACAAGCCTGAAAAGGCTCACAGATTGTGAAGGGGGGAGGCGGTGGGGGACCATGTGCATAATTGTGAATTTCCAGCTGATTTTTTTTTCTCTTCTCTTCTCTTCTCTTCTCTTCAATTCTCTTCTCTTCTCCTCTCCTCTTCCTTTCCCTTCACCTTCCTTTCCCTTCCCTCTCTCACACCCTTCCTTCCTCCCTCCCCTCTCTTTTCCCTTCCCTCCCTCCTTTCTTTTTCCTTGCTTCCTTCCCTTTCCTTTGCTCCCCTTCCTTCTCTTTTCCTCTCTTCTCTCTCTCTCTCTCCTCTTCCTCTTTCCCTTCCATCCTCTTTCTAGATGACGTTCTAGGCAAAAGGAAAGTCTGTGTGTCCAGCAGCAACGGCGACTGTCTTTTGGAGAGCAAGAAATCTCGAAGCGAATCTCCCAAAGGTGAGAACAGAAAAACCTCTTGCGATTTCTGCTGGGATGGGTGGAGTTGTGTCTGCTGTTTTTTTTTTTGTTTTGTTTTGTTTTTTTGAAGGAAGGAAGGGTTTCGGGGCTCCTGTCTTTTTTTTTTTTTCAATTTTTATTATTTTATTTTCATTACAATCATAAGAAAAAAAATTCAGATACATAAGAAGTTAAAATACAACACACAAATTCCGACATTGCTCACCCATTTCCCCCCAGACCGCATCCCCCTCTCATCTCTTCACTTCCCCCTTCTGTCTTTGAGAACCTCGTTTATAGATTTATTTTCAAAATTATTCTGAATTTTAATCGGGTCCACCCAGAGCAGTTGAGACGCCGGGTCTCCATTTGGCCTAATTTCCACCCTTTATCCAAAGTTATTAATCAGTTAACAAATTTTGGGAGTATTGTTCAAACAAGTCCTCGTTCATGTTTGCTAAAACATTGTGCCTGAACCCTTCTGCTTGTTTTCTCCTCCCTTTCCCGCCTCTTAGGCCCTCCACCCCAGTCCGCAAAGTTACAGGTAGTCCTCGCTTAATGACCGTTCCAAGTTAGGACAGCCTCAGAAAGACCGTGTAGCGCTTCCCACCGTCGTGAATCATTACCTTCCCCCTGCCTAGCCACATTTCGAATGTTTGGCAATGGGTTCAAATTTATAGCAGAGAAACATCCACTGGGCATGCCGGATTCATTTGGCGACTGTGTGGGTCATTAAACGGCCACGTGGTTTGCTTTGCAAGTGTCATAAAAACGGTTGGAGATTCAAGTTGGGTCACAGGGCGGCAACTTGTAACTGCCAATGTGTGTGTGGACTTCCAGGTGCCACGGAGCTCTTGGGGGCCTTGGCTACCGCAAGCAAAGCTTCCTGTCCCTCCATTGCCTCCACCTTCCATTTTATGGGGCAGATCCCGGGAGGGAAGTTTGAGCCTTGCGCGCACGCAGAACGCTCTCGTCAGCGAGTCAAGCTGCAATTCCGCTTTGATTGCTAGAGACACACCGAGAAAAACGCCGAAGGATCGACTTGGAAAGCTAGCAAGATCTGTTTCTTATAATCTCCCTAAATTAGGGGGGGGGGGAAACTAGCCTAGCCACGTAGCCCTTATTGATAAAATTGTATCGGAAATTCCAGAATGACCTAAATCAGCGTTTTCGCTTCGTTTCTACACTTTAAATGCAATTTAAACGGTTTGCAAAGCCATCCCCAGTACTTTGAATAGCTCCCCAAAGGAGATTAAAGACACCCCCACACACACACTTTAACGGGCTTCTCCAAATGAGTAGGGGCCTGAAAACCCCCCCCCCTTTTCTTTCCACTTGTAATTAGGCAGCTGTTAGGGGTCCCTCCCAGCGTGCTGATAATGCTGGTTTATCCAAGGAGGACTTAAGCTCTTTCGAAAGCTGTTTCTACAATTTTGATTTGCTGCTTTTTTTTTTTTCTTTTTCCAGATGGCAATTCTTGGATATTTTCTTTCCTAATTCTCCTTTTTTTTTCCCACTCCCCCTCCTTCCCGTGCGCACACACACACACACACACACACACACACACACACACACTCTCCAGGCTCCGGCTGCATCCTCTGAAAAATTAATCAAGGTGATAGCGGTTTAATCTATCTTGCGGAGAAGCTGAGCTTTAATCAGGCTTCCATGAAACCCGGCCATCTATCGCTTTGGGATCAATGCCACGGCGTTTCCACACACACACACACACACACACACACAACGAAAGCCGTTCATCCCCCCCCTCCTTCCTCAACTTCCCAATTGTAGTTGTGATCAATCACCTTGCCTGTCCCCCTCGTCCCCCGCCAGCTTAATTATTTTATTTTTTATCGATTGGTTGATTAAATGTTTACGCCTCCCGACTTTTTGGGGAGCGAGGCTTCGCAAATAAAACACACAGAACGATAAATTAACACCGGGATTAAAAACAAAGGCGACGCAACCTGGGTAACTCACGTCGCCTTACCTTAGCTGGCTTTGCAGTTTAAGCAGAAAAAAAAAAAAAAGATTTGGGGTGTTCTCCCCTAGTTCAGATGACTCCCTTTTGGGGGTCTGAACCCCTTTTCATCTAGTATGCTGAACCTGGCTACTAAAATAACACATTTTCTGGCTTTGCACAGTATTTTGTTCTCCAAGCTCTTAGCCACCAATTAACCCAGATTATCGAAGCGTAATGCATTGTCCGAATGCAGCCATTTGACTTCTTGCTTGCCAGTTTATCTTCTCTATTCAGCCATTGGCCGAGCTGCTGTGATGTCACAGAATAATCTACAAAGGCTCCGCCCACAGGCCTGATCATTGCTACTTCCGCGGAGGAAACGGAGAAGCAAATGGGGTGAAATGCTCAAATTTGGGGGCTGGCTGGTGTTTCTGAAGCCCTAAATATTTTCCTGCGTGCATCTAATAATACTGGGATACACTGCCTTGGAACAGAGAAGCTCTACATCCCATCTCCTTCAGGAACTGTGGCTGGACTCAGCCTTATCTGTGTTCCCTAAATAGTGGCCTATAAAGATTTTTTTTTCTAATTTTAATCCTTCCTTTCCATCTGCAGTAGCATCCTTATTGCACTCAATCTCGTTTTTTTTTTTTAATTTTAAAAATCGAACATTTTTGCTGGAAGTAGGTGAATTCAGCCGGATTCCGCTCTCGAATCAATTGTGAGGAAATCAATCCCATTTGTTTTGCGCATTCGGATCGATATGAGTCAGCCTGATTGAATTTGGGGTCCCTAAAAAAGCAGGTCCTTGATTTTGTTTAAGGGACCGTTCGAATTTACAACGGCGCTGAAAAAAGTGACTTAGGACCGTTTTTCACACTTAGCGACCGATTGTAGTATCCCCATGGTCCCACGATTTACATTCAGGTGCTTGACAACTGACTCACCTTTACGATGGTTGCAGCTTTGTAGCCCCCCTCTTTTTCTTTCTCTGTCTTTCTTTCTCTCTGTCTCTCTCTCTCTTTCTGTCTTTCTCATTTTCTTTATGTCTCTGTCTCTTTCTCTTTTTCTTTCCCTTTCTATCTTTCTCTTTCTCTTTTTCTCTCTTTGTCTCTCTCTCTTTTTTCCCCTCTCTCATTTCCTCTTTCTGTTTATGTCTCTTTCTCTTCCCCTTTCTCTCTGTCTCTCTCTCTCTTTTTCTCACTCTTTCTTTTTCTCTGTCTCTGTCTCTCTTTTTCTTTCTCTCTGTCTTTCTTTCTGTCTCTTTCTGTCTCTCGTTTTCTCTGTCTCTGTCTGTCTCTTTCTTTCTCTTTTTCTTTCCCTTTCTCTTTCTCTTTCTGTCTTTCTTTTTTCCTCTCTCTCTCTGTCTCTCTCATTTTCTCTCTGTTTATGTCTTTTTCTCTCTTTCCCTTTCTGTCGCTTTTTCTCACTTTCTTTCTTTCTTTCTTTCTTTCTTTCTTTCTTTCTTTCTTTCTTTCTTTCTTTCTCTTTTTCTCTTTCTGTCTCTGTCTCTTTTTCTTTCTCTGTCTCCCTCTCTTTCTCTCTCTCTCTCTCTTTCTCTTTCTCTCTCTCTCTCTCATTTCTAGCTTATTAGGGGAGAGGAACAGGATCTAAATGATTGTGCTCTTGAAATGGAGGGTTTTTTTTCCTTCCTCTCCTGCACACTTGCATGCACACCCGTGTCAGGAAGGGGATGACAGACAGTTGCTGCAATCTGGTGGAGTTCTCTCCTGGGAAGGCCGTCAGCCCCGCTGAACGTGGGCGGGCATGTCAGTCAATGGCAGGGGGTATTGGCAGCAGGAAGCCTGGGGGGGTGAGTTCAAAAAGTCTAGACAAGGCTGCTTCCTTCCCTGGGGTGAGGGGTGGGTTGCAAGAGCTGAGCGGCGTCTCTTCTCTGCTTCTCTCCTCCCCAATGAAGGGGGTCTCCAAGCCGGAGAGCAGGTGGGCTAGAAAAGGGGAAAATTCCATTTTTTGGGCAATGCAAGAAAAGTTTGAGTTTTGTTTTTTTTGTGTTTTTTGCATTTTTTTTATTTTTTATTTTATTTTCAGTTTTCCATTACATCATAAAAAATACTTCAGATAAAGCATAAAATAAATTTATACAAACAACTTTTGGAATTTTAAGAGAGCAGTTCCACTTAAAAATCAAGGTGTATATCTCTTCATTTTTTCGTGGTGGGTCTTCTTTCTTCCCATCCTTTCACGCCGAGTCTCCTTGTGGTCTCTCATCCATCGACAAACAAGGATTTTCTTGGCTTTTAGAAATCAGATTAACACTCAGCTCGGTCCTGCCTTGCATAGCAACGGAAAATCTAGTCCCGATTCTGGTTGTAAGTCGAGAGATAGGAAGCACTAAGGCTGTGCTTCAAAACCGCCTTCAAATGCTTGACAATGATAATTTGTGGCTATAAATGAATTCATCTCTCCTTCTGCAACCTGCATTTTTCCACCAAGTTGTGGCTTTCTCTGATACCAAACGGTAGTTAAACATTTCATACAAAAGTGATGTATAAGTAGCGTGAATTAAAAACAAGGAAAGAGAGAAAAACCAGCGAGGCTTCCTCCAGCTAGCATCTTCCAACGCCCGTGAACAACTTTAGTCTTTGCTTGCAGCCTAAAAGCAAAAAGACATTTAAACCGGCTCTGCTTTTGATGTGCCGCTCTTGCTTAATTCTCTGTTTAGCAACTGTTTTAGGGAGAGTGGAAAGAAGGCGCAGAACCCTGGACGAAAAGTCCTTCCTAGAAAGAAATATGCAAAAATAGTTAAATTCAGCTGCCCTGTTGCTGCTTTGCAAGCTAAAATAGGCTAGACTCAAGTTGGTAGGGGATTTGACACTCCTTAAAATGAGGACTAGTTGGCTGCCAAATCATTTTCAACTTCTATATTCAGAATCATGAGGACTGGAAACTTAACGTGGCAGCGTGGGAAACTGTGTTAGATTTGCAAGGTCCACTTCTTTCTCACTACTCAGCCTTCCGTTTTGGGCCTTTCTGCCCCACAGAAAACTCACACACACCCCTGTTGGAGGGCCCGGTGACCCAGATGACTCCCGAGGAAGATTACCGGCGCTTGATGTCCGCCCTCAACGAACACAGCACTTTTGAGGAGCAGCAGCAGCAGCAGCAGCGTCTCTACCAGTTGGCTGGCGGGATATCCGTCCCGAGTCACAGTGGTGAGGATGGGGAATTCTGGGAATTGAAGTCCACACATCTGGAGACTCTGGAAAGGGTGCAGAGAAGAGCAACAAGGATGATTAGGGGGATGGAGGCTAAAAGATAAAAAAAACAGTTGCAAGAAAGGTCTAGGCCAGGGGTAGGCAACCTTGGCTCTTTTATGACTCATGGACTTCAACTCCCAGCATTCCTGAGCCAGCATGGCTCAGCTTGGAAACCTCTCCCTTTCCCCTCAGCATGGCTGGCTGAGGAATTCTGGGAGCTGAAGTCCACAAGTCATGAGGGGGCCATAGTTCCCCATGCTGGCTGAGGAATTCTGGGAGCTGAAGTCCACAAGTCATGAGGGGGCCATAGTTCCCCATGCTGGCTGAGGAATTCTGGGAGTTGAAGTCCACGAGTCATGAGGGGACCATAGTTCCCCATGCTGGCTGAGGAATTCTGGGAGTTGAAGTCCACGAGTCACGAGGGGACCATAGTTCCCCATGCTGGCTGAGGAATTCTGGGAGTTGAAGTCCACGAGTCATGAGGGGGCCATAGTTCCCCATGCTGGCTGAGGAATTCTGGGAGTTGAAGTCCACGAGTCACGAGGGGACCATAGTTCCCCATGCTGGCTGAGGAATTCTGGGAGTTGAAGTCCACGAGTCATGAGGGGGCCATAGTTTCCCATGCTGGCTGAGGAATTCTGGGAGTTGAAGTCCACGAGTCATGAAGGGGCCATAGTTCCCCATGCTGGCTGAGGAATTCTGGGAGTTGAAGTCCACGAGTCATGAAGGGGCCATAGTTCCCCATGCTGGCTGAGGAATTCTGGGAGTTGAAGTCCACGAGTCATGAGGGGGCCGTAGTTCCCCATGCTGGCTGAGGAATTCTGGGAGCTGAAGTCTGTAAGGTTTTCCACTTAACCTCACAATTGCCCCAGCATTACTCAGGAATTTAAAAGAGCCAAAGAAACTCCTGAGCCGAGGTTTCAGCAAGCAAACAACTTTTATTTTGATCAAAACAGAGTTGGGTGACCCCATCTGTCTTCGTGGCTGGCAGAGAGATGAAGGCAACAACCAGAAAAGAAGTCTTCCACCTTTTATACCTTTTCAGAACAAAGAGATCAGGTCTTGGTACCAGGCATAAGATGGCACAAAAAAACAATTCTTAGATGATGACTCATACACAGCAACCCAGGCTTCATCTGTAACTCCATTTTCCCCCTCCCCTTACTGTGCTCTTTTCATATAAGCAATCACCTATATCTAAAGCATGAAACCCTTACTTTTCCAATATATATATAAAGCATCTGATCAAGCAATTAACTACAAAATAATGATTACAAAATAACAAAACAATGATTACATGATAACAATATATGTATCAATATAAAATGGTTACTATATATAAAATAAATGCTAATGTCAAACTTAAACATACTAAAATCATAAGCACAATAAAATCCCTTCAAGTCCACGAGTCATGAGGGGGCCATAGTTCCCCATGCTGGCTGAGGAATTCTGGGAGTTGAAGTCCACGAGTCATGAGGGGACAATAGTTCCCCCATGCTGGCTGAGGAATTCTGGGAGTTGAAGTCCACAAGTCATGAGGGGACAATAGTTCCCCCATGCTGGCTGAGGAATTCTGGGAGTTGAAGTCCAGGAGTCATGAGGGGGCCATAGTTCCCCATGCTGGCTGAGGAATTCTGGGAGTTGAAGTCCAGGAGTCATGAGGGGACAATAGTTCCCCCATGCTGGCTGAGGAATTCTGAGAGTTGAAGTCCAGGAGTCATGAGGGGGCCATAGTTCCCCATGCTGGCTGAGGAATTCTGGGAGTTGAAGTCCAGGAGTCATGAGGGGACAATAGTTCCCCATGCTGGCTGAGGAATTCTGAGAGTTGAAGTCCACGAGTCATGAGGGGACAATAGTTCCCCCATGCTGGCTGAGGAATTCTGAGAGTTGAAGTCCAGGAGTCATGAGGGGGCCATAGTTCCCCATGCTGGCTGAGGAATTCTGGGAGGTTGAAGTCCATGAGTCATAAAAGAGCCAAGGTTGCCTATCCCTGGTCTAGTTTAATAAAAAAGGAGAACTAAGGGTGACAGGATAGCAGCATTCCAGTATTTGAGGGGCTGACAGAAAGAAGAGGGGGGGGGTGTCCATCTCTTCTTCAAAGTCCCTGAAGGCAGAACAAGAAGCCACAGATGGAAACTAATCAAGGGGAGAAGCAACCTGGAATTAAGGAGAAATTTCCTGATGGTTAGTACAATTAACCAGTGGAACAGCTTGCCTCAAGAAGTTGTGGGTGCTCCATCACTGGAGGTTTTCAAGAAGAGATGGGACAGCCACTTGTCTGAAATGGTATGGGGTCTTGGGGTTGGACTAGAAGACCTTCAAGGTCCCTTCCAACCTTGTTATTCTGTTGTTATTCTATTCAAAGTGGCCAAGTTTGAAGAACACTCTTTACAGCCCATAAACTCTTTTAACACTGGGCATTTTGGGGCGGGATTGTAAATTCAGGACGGCTGCTTCTGAGCCTTGTAAAGTTTTTTTTTTTTTTTTTTGCTCTGTCGCCTGGAAGATGTTTTAATTCACTCTGGGTGCTCAGAGGCTCAATTAAAAATGGTGTTTCTGCCAGGCAAAGCTCTCAATGATACGCAGACGCCACGCGTGGCACCAACTCGTCTTTAATTATTTAGGATTCCTTTGCTCTGTTTATTTATTTGTGGCTTAAACTGTGGCGCCCACTTCCTTCTCCTGCCCCACTCACCCCCCCCCGGTGACCGTAATTCTGCATTCCTCTCCTTGTAAATATATATATATATATATATATATATATATATATATATATATATATATATATATATATATATATATATATATATATATATATTGTAAGCTGGCATCAACCAAAAGCACAGAAAACGTTCTGTAGATTCAGAAGACCAGAGTTAACTTTGGCTAGCTCACATCCCAGAGATCAGCTGAATTTTTTTCTCGAAGCCCAAACGTGCCCTCTCATGCGGGAGCCTTGGGTCGCGAATGGAACTTGGCACATGCTCAGAGGCCCTCTTGACCCACACACACCAAAGGACAAGCTGAATTCGCCGGCGAGTCTAATCTCGATTTCATTGGATTCCTCTCGGCACAGATATCCTCCGGGCGCGTCAAGAAGTCGCCTCGCGAAACCCCAGCAGCATAGAGCCTCACCTTCCCTCTGCCAGCAACTCGTCCAGCCAGCGCAGAAAACAAGGACTTCCCCAGCACCGGGATTCACACTTCACTGAGAGGTATCTCCTACCTTCGTACAGGTAGTCCTCGCCTTACGACTGTTTAGCGACTCTTCAGACTTACGACAGAGCTGAGAAAAGCGATTTACAGTCGGTCCTCACACTTATGGTCACAGTCGCCATTTTAACCCACATTTTTTTAATGGCATCGTTAAGCGAGACACCACAAGGTGACCCTTCCTCGGTGGGGAAGCCAGCAGGGAAGGTCGCCAATCGTCCCCTTGCAATGTCTCGCTTAACGACCGCCTCAAAAATGTGGGTTAAAAATCAGGGCACGGTCAAATTGAGGCCTCGCTTAATGACCACATTGCTTAACAATTAAGTTTTCCAGTCCTGGGGATGGCGGTCGTAAGTGGAGGACTCTCTCTCTCTGTAGCCCTTTTGCAAAACTGGGAAGGTCTGGGGCTCGAACTTAGCCAAGAAACGCAGGGAGATTTATGGCATCTCCCTTTCTCCGGGAGGTGGGGGGTAATGCACATGGTGTGTGTGTGTCTGTGTTGGAAGCCCTTGGCGTGGTGCTAAAATTCCATTTCAGCTTCCTGTCGGACTCTACAGGGAATTCAATCAGCACAGGGAGGCTTATTGTGGCAGGAAGAATAATTAGCTGCTGAAAAATTCAGCCGTTTGCTAGAGGCAGGGAAAGGAAGATCCCTTTGTGGGTTCAGCTGCAGATGGGATCCAGGGGGGGGATCCTAGCTAAGAAGGGGCTCACAATTGGCTCTGGAAAGCAAGCAGAAATGGCCCAAATTCAGCTGAATCTTGCATATTTTTAGGAAAAAGAGGGGGGAAAAAATATCTCAGCATCCTTGCCCAGAAGCCATTGAGTGTCAGGGAGGGAAATGGCCTGTTTTGGCTTTGCTGGTGTTGGAGACGCTGAACCGACAAGAAAGTTGCTTTTCAGGTAGTCCTCGACTTACAACAGATCCGTTCAGTGACCGAAATTACAATGGAAGTGGAAAAAAGTGATTTAACGACCGTTTTTCACCCTTGGATTGCAGCGTCCCAGGAGCCACGTGGCCAAAATTCGGTTGCGTGGCAACCGGGATGTATTTATGACCTACGGACAGCCAAATATCAGGGTGTTTTTGGCAATTCCAGTGTTCAGCTGGGGAATTCTGGGAGCTGCAAAGCGGAAACGGAAAAGGAACGTTTGTTTTCCATGCCGTCAGCCCAGCTGTCTCAACCTGGACTTTTCTAATTCCGCGAGACTACAATTCCCATCGTGGTTGGGGGGTGATGGGGTTTGTAGTTGACCCATGAACTTGAGGTCCGAGCGCTCTCTCAGATAGCCTGCTGGGGGCTGTGTTGTCAGTGGGAGCGACGGAGTTAAAACGCAGCGCGTTTTTTTTTTTTTCACGTGGGCCTGCTAACGACTTAGAAACATCGATTATCTGAAGGCCATTAGTGCTTATTGTTTAAAAAAAAAAAGCCAATACTTTTAAAGCTTAGCAAACCATTTGTCTCCTCTTAAAGGACATATCAAGTTTAGCAACACCGAGTTCAGAGCTTCTAATGTCTTTGCATGCCGGTTTGGTGTTTGTGTGTGTGTGTGTGTGTGTGTGTATGCGCGCGCGCGCGCGCGAACAACGCAAAGCCAAGAGCCCAGGATAGAAACCAGATTGATCCCTTCCCCCCCCCAAAAAAAAGTCGATTCGTTTTTTTTTAAAGTCTGATGTTGCATTGACTCCCGGCACCTGGGGCTGCAAGGGCAGGATTAGAACTCGGGGCGGGAACGGCGGAGAAGCCATTTCGGCCCAGAGTGTGGGAATTTGAGGGTATTTTAAGGGGAGAGAAGCGGATGAGGGGTCTGCAAACGCCAGAATGTCTTGTTTTGCTGCCCCACTAAAAGACCGGGGGGGGGGGTCAGGGGAAGGTCCATCTGTTTCACCAAACAAGGGATCTAGTGGCAGTAGTTATGGGGTGTGACCCCCTGCCCCCCTGCAGAGGCGATCAGATTAATACCTGCCGTGTGATAAGAAACCTTGGCCCCGCTTAATCCTCGCCGAATAACGTCAGTGGCTCCTGCCAGCTCAGCTGTCGGTAAGCAGATTGGCCTGGATGACACCGGATTCACAAATGCCCTCTGCCAATCCCAAATTTGACCCATTTTCCTGCCTCTTCCTGGGACGGAAATCCTGGCTTAGGGTGGGTGGGAAGCAATGACCCACATTGTTCAAGTGGGTTTTTTTCTGTGTGTTAAATACAAGTTTCCAACCTCAAGGATCTCGCTTCCTGGATTTGAGATGCTCCTCGGTGCCGGTTGCGGTCACAAAGGCAGATAGTCCTCACCTTCGCGACCACAATGGTTAGGCCCAGATTTCCGTCGCTAAGCGAGACATTTGCTAAGCGAATCGTGTCCCATTGACTTCCCCATTGGCAATCTTTGTCGGAAGGGGGAAATCACATGATCCCGGGACGTTGCAACCGTCATAAATACGAGTCGGTTGCCAAGCGTCTGAATTGTGTTCCCGTGACCCTGGGGGATGCTGCAACGGTCGTGTGAAAAACGGTCGCAAGTCCCTTTTTTTCAGTGCCGTCGTAACTTGGGAACTGTTCTTAAGTTGAGGACCACCTGCAACATCCGGAGGCGGCTTTACCCTGATTGCCATTTGCGACTTTCTTATCCGGCTTCCGACAAGCCAAGTCGATGGATGGGGAGGGGGCAGAAGCCAGCTTTGCTTAACGACCGCCTGATTTGCTTAACGACCGCAGCGACAAAAGTCCACAAAAACCACGCCGCCGAGTTTAAGCGATTTGCTTAACCGCCGCCTTGTCCAGCGACGGCAATCCGGGGACGGCTACCTTTATCTCCGGAGAAAGAGGCACAAAAGAGGAGTGGGAATCGGGACAGACAAGGGTTGGGGGGGGGAGGGCTCACCGAACCTTCTCCCCTCTGATGCCCCCCTGAAAAAAAACTCTGTGTGGTCCCTCCTCCTCCCCCCTCCATTCCCCGTGGGCTCAGCGGGTCATCCAAGGGCCACCAGTCCAGCGGTTAAATGGCACTTGATTCTCCCCTCCAAATTGGTCTTTAATCCAGCAGGTGGCAAGCCTGCCCAGCTTCCCCTCCTTGTGATTACAGCTAATTACGATCCGGGACCTGCTCCTCCCCCGGACCCCCCTCCTCTTCCCGGACCCCCAGCTTTAATTGTCCGTTATTCATGGTCTCAGCTGTCTGTCCAACGGTGGCGTGGGCTCGCCCGTCGCCCGCCGAAGCCACCTGGACTAATTGCAAGGCCAGAGGGATTAAGGTCCGGTGATTATACCCTTCATGCTGTAATTACATCAGCATCGCTTGGCTGCTGCGCCAGGGCTGGGCGCCCTGAAGGTCATGCGCTGCGTTACCTGAGATTAATTGGCGCTGCCAGCCAAGTGCGAGGCGCTGGCGGGAGCAGTTATGCGATTAGCATTAACATTTCAACAGCCCCCCAATCGATCCACAGCCCGCCCGGCCGCGTCCTCCAGACACCGGGAGCTGTGCAATTAGTTTAGAGGAAAGAGGGGGGGAGAGGGGAGGGGGATGCCCAGGGAGGGGGGGGCAGACAGAAGAGAAGGGCTGGAGGGGGAAGACAGATGGGTCGAGAAGCAAAGAGGCTGTGTGTATGTGTGGTCTGGCAAGCCGGAGGGTTTAATCCACGTTTGCAGATTTCCTGGCTGGAGTTTTTTTGGGGGCCCATTTCAGAAGTTTTGTGCGTGGACCGACGTCGGTGTGCGTTTGTGTTCTTCCAGTCTTTCCTCCCGCCAAGCATCTCTGGAGACACCCCCCCCCCAAATAAGCCCCTAGCTAGTCATTGGCAACCAATTTAGCATCAATCTGCTTGCCCGATCCATTTTTTTTGTTTTGAATGGAAAGCGGGGTGCCGTAATCTAGGGGGACCGTGTGTCCATCATCCCCAGCAGAGAGATAAGACCCCCTAACTAACCAGCCACTAACAGGCTGCTGGGTCTGTTCCAAAACTGCCTGAGAGCAGACCCCCCCCCCCAAGGCTAGGTGCCCCTTTTGTGGGGTATCCTTGGTTAGGGCCTCCAACCCATTTGATCCAGACACGGTGGGATAATTTTCACCCCGCTTCTTTTTGACGATGGAGCACCGGAAGTAAATTTGGGCCATTTTTGAAAGGGGGGGGGGCTGTGAGAAAGCCAGTTATGGGACCCTAGCTGGGAATATATTTTTGCTTGTTTGTTTTCTTTGGGTGTTTAACAGGAAAAAAAAGACAGAATGCTGAAATATTGACGTCGGTTTATCTCTAATTGCCTCCCAGCAAGTTTTAATGCTCTCCTTTGCGTTTTTTTCTCTGTAGGGAGATGTCCCACCCCCCACCTCTCCTGTCGCCCCAGAATGCTCCCCACATCGCTTTGGGACCTCACTTGAGACCCCCTTTTCTTGGGGTGCCTTCGGCTTTGTGCCAGACGCCAGGTAAGAGGCCCCCCCACCCCCGTGCTGTGAAAGGGCTTTGGGAACGCCCTGGGGTGGGGTGAGGAGAACGGAGGCTTTAAACTGGGAGGAGAAGGCGGTGTCATATATATATATATATATATATATATATATATATATATATATATATATATATATATATATATATATATATATATATACCCTAAGGGCCAGTTGTGGGAGTGGGGTGACTACAGAGTGGGTGTGTGGGAGGGCTGGATAGGGAGCCTGAGAATGGAGGTTGCTTCCCTTCCTTTGCTCTGCTGCTTCTTTTATTAATTTCTTCTCTCCGTGTGGCCTGTTCGTTAATGCCGTCCATTAATTAATTGGTTTGCTAATTCTCATTCTACGTTCTTCATTTTTCTCTCTCTCTCTTTCCCCTGGGGTCTTCCTTCCTGCCTTCCCCCCTCCCTTACTTGTCTCTCTTCTTTCTTCCTCCTTCAGTGTCCTTCCTTCCTTCCTCCTTTTTTCTCCTTGTTTTTCTCTTTCCTTTTTCTCTGTTTCCCTCCCTCCCTCCTGCTGCAATTTCCCCGATTTATTTATTTATTTTATTTATTTATGAGACTTATATACCGCTTTAAGTGCAAGCACTCTCTAAGCGGTGTACACCAGTAAGCAATGTGTATATCTGTATTTACATTGCCCCCAACAATCTGGGTCCTCATTTTACCTACCCCGGAAGGATGGAAGGCTGAGTCCACCTTGAGCCGGTGAGATTTGAACCGCTGACCTGCTGAACACAGTCAGCTAAAGTGGCCTGCACTCTAACTGCTGCGCCACCTCGGCTCTTATTAATTCACCCCTCCAGTCTTCCTGAGTCTGCAACTTACCTTCTCTCTCAACCAGTCTCAATTCCCAGGCGGACCTTATTCCGTCCCCAGGTGGACCCTGCAGGGAACTGAACCTTGAGTGTGCAAAGCTCAGCCCCCTCCCCCTTTGCCCTCGGCCCTCTCCCCGTCTCTTGTAGCCTGAATTTCACGTTGCTTCCTTTTCAAGGTTACGGTTTCCTCCAGCCGGCCCAAGCGGAGATCTTTGCACGCCAGCAAGAGATGCTCAGGAAACAGAACCTTGCCAGGTGAGAGTTGCAACACAACCCAAACGCACACAGGGCTTGGCACCCGGGGTCTCCTGCCCGCCTCCTCGTTCGTCCCCGGATGACCAGCAATTATCGAGTGGACTTGGCAAAGCCCGGCCAATGGGGCTTTCGTTTTATCCTGATTTTTTTCTGGGCAGCTGACCTTGTTTAAAGAACATGGGAGATGGGAATTTCACTCTTTGGGCTTGGCAGTGCCCTCGGGTGCCACCCACGCTGGGCTCCACTTAGCCCCCTCGCTGACCGGGAGGAGACGAAGGAAGAACTAAAAGCAAAGTTGAGCTGGCCACTTCGTGAAAAACCTCTTTATGTGGAAGTAATTTCACATTGCCATTCATTTTGGGGCTAGTTCAGTATCTCCGTCTGTGATTTCCTTGTGGTCTCTCTTCCAAGTACTAATAAAGCTTGCTCGACCGCTGAGCCCAGACAGAGTATTGGGGAAACAAAGTAGAAGAGATTGGGAAATAATTTGAAAGGTGCTGTGTTGCCGGATGTTTGAAGGGTGGAAAAAAAATCTCCTTCCAAGTGTGATTCATGTTGAACAGGATCTCCAGTTTGACCAATTGGCCAGGTTTAAGTAGATCCTTTGGATTGCTTTAGATTTTCTTAAGAAGCATCCCTCAGCACCACCCCCTGAGGCGGCTGACTGGATCCCTCTTTAGAGGCAAGGCTCTTGATGAGGCTGAGAGGGAAACAGCAGGCCTCAACAACCACAATTGAAGACAAAAAAAATCTGTTGCGATGAGTTTTGCTCCATTTTACAACCCGGTTGTTAAGTGAACTCAGCTTCCCCATTGACTTGTCAGAAGTTGGCAGAAGGGGATCACGTGACCCTGGGACACTGCGACCGTCATAAATATGAATCAGTTGCCAAGTGTCTGAACTTCGATCACGTGTCCATGGGGGTGCTACAACAGTTGTGTGAAAAGAGATACGTGCCCTATTTCCCCGAGAATAAGACCCAACTGCAAAATAAGCCTAGCATGATTTTTCAGGACGCTCATAATATAAGCCATACCCCAAAAATAAACTCCAGTTAAGATCATCAACCAGACAGGCACATTTAGTACTGTATTTCTCCGAAAAGAAGACCTAACCGGAAAATGATCCCTAATGCATCTGATGGAGCAAAAAATTAATATAAGACCGGGTTTCATTTTGGGAGAAATACAGTAAGTCAATGCCCTTGCAACTTCCAACGGTCACTAAAGGAATATTGTCGAGACTACATGTAATCATTGGTGGCAGCAGTGGGATTTCAGTTACGTCTCTTCTCTCCCAAACCCAATTCCCTGCCCGCCTAGGCTTGAGATGTCAGCGGAAATTATCCGGCAGAAAGAACTGGAGAACCTTCACCGCCAGAGGCTCCTGGCTACTGACCCCATGGGTTTGCACCCGGGTCTGCCTCCGGACCACCCCGCCTTGCGCAGCCTCCACGACATCCCGGAAGGACACCCGCTTCGGGACGAGCTCTCCCGGAGGAACGCCATGCTGGTCCTCCGGCACAACAACGCTCCGCTGCTATCGCTCAACCCCCAGGGGGTCCCCACCGCCTCCACCACCCCTCCCAAGGAGCAGAGCACGCGGAGGGGCACCCGGAAGGCTGCGCACTCTCGCTGCGAGGCGCTGGGCCAGAGCGAACCCAAAGACTTGTTAGACAGCCGCCCGCCGGACAGCAACCACGAGGAAATGAAGGACTCGGATAGCGAGGCCGAAGCGACCGACGAGAAACCGGATGCACTGAAGGCTGAGAACAGCGGCGGGGTCGGCGAGGTTAAGGAGTGCAAGGAAGTGGCAAAGACTGGGGAGGGCGCCAAAGAACTGGGTGAGGTGCCAGCTGGGCAGAACACGCCCTGTAGTTCCTCCAGTGCAGAATTGCCCAGCTATCTCCTGGGTCCGACAATGGGCAAGTCGGAGGTCAAGCTACTCCCCACGGCTTCCCTCCCACCACCTCAGCCGCTCCCGTTCGGTTTCCCGTATACGATGAGTCCGTATTTCCATGCAGGTGAGTGAGCGGGAGGGGATGGCTGGCATACTCAGATGGGGGAGAACACTCTTTTCCTTTTCTTTTCCTTTCCTTTCCTTTCCTTTCCTTTCCTTTCCTTTCCTTCCCTTCCCTTCCCTTCCCTTCCCTTCCCTTCCCTTTTTTTGGAGAAGGGCAAAATGTGCAGAATTCCCAGGTGGAATCTGGCAATCCGATTGGGCAAAATTTCCCCGTTTCTGGAGAGGGAAACCAAAAGCCACCGTCCCCACCTTTCTGAAACATCACCCAGATTTCTTTTGGCTTAAGAAGGTGTGTAAATCCATTTAAAAAAAAAAAATTAGACAATGGTTATCTAACCAAAGGCACAGCTGGAAAGCTCTCTCATTCCACCAAAAAGTTTTGTTTGCAGAAAAAAAATTCCTCCAGGTCTTTTTTTTCCGAGATCGGAACTTCTGCAAGAGAGTTTGAAACTGACCGGTTTGTGTCAGCTCCCCTCAAAGAGTTAAATGCACTTTTCCCCTCTTTAATTTGCAGAATGAGTTTTTTTTTACTGAGATGGGTGGAGAGGCCGGAGACTCTGTCCAAAATAATTTGTGAGCCTTTTCCAGAGATTTATTCCCTCTGTACACACACCCTGTTTTGGTTGCCTCATCTGTGCGACTGTTAAAATGTTCATCACATTCCCAGCCCGAGAGGTTAGTGGGGAAAAATGTGTTTCATAGTCTTGCTTCTGCTTTGTCTGAAGAGAGAAATCTACTCATTTCCGATAACTTCCTAGATAAATCCATGCAGCTTTCTCGGCAGCAGAAAAGATGTTTTTTTTTTCCCCCTCCTGGAGTTTCTGAATGGCTTTTCATTCAAGTCTTCAACAGATATTTATTTATTTTATTTATGAGACTTATATACCGCTTTAAGTGCAAGCACTCTCTAAGCGGTGTACACCAGTAAGCAATGTATATATATATTTACATTGCCCCCAACAATCTGGGTCCTCATTTTACCTACCCCGGAAGGATGGAAGGCTGAGTCAACCTTGAGCCGGTGAGATTTGAACTGCTAACCTGCTGAACAGTCAGCTAAAGTGGCCTGCAGTACTGCACTCTAACTGCTGTGCCACCTCGGGGTATTTTTTTTTCCCAGGAGAGAGCTTAAAAGGTAAAGACAGTTGGAATATTCTCTAGCTTCTTTTTTTTTCTGGGAACTCCTGGTGGTCTTCCATCCAATCCAGCCAGCTTTGTTTTCCTCTACACAGCAGCAGCCAATGCAACAGTTATTGTACTGTCCTATATATATCTGAAGGGGGGGCTTCAAAGGGTTGAGTTGAATACCTGGAGGTGGTCCTTGACTTAACCACCACAAGTTAGTAACACAGTTGTTGAGTGGATCTTGCTTCCCTGTTGACTTTGCTTGTCCGAAGTTCGCAAGAGGAGATCACGTGACCCCAGGCCACCGTCATAAATCTGAGTCCGTTGCCAAGGATCTGAATATTTATCACATGACCACAGAGACGTTGCAAGTGGTCGTAAGTTTGGAAATGGGTTCTGAGCCCCTAATTTACAGGGCCGTCGTAACTTTGAACTTTGTCTTGGAGCTGAGCAAAATGGATCTTTTGGGGATGGGTTTTTGGGGAGGTCCACATAACCCTGGTGGGAAAACGGAGCAGAAGAAGAGAAGACGCGCTTTGTAAAATGGCCTTCACCACTCGGAAGTAACTCCACTGGTCCCAGCAAGATGGACCTGGTTCTTTAGAGAAGTTTGAGAGAAAAATTGTGGATTGTTGGGTTAATTCCTTGGTCCTGTTATAAAAAGCAGAGACCCTTTGGGGAGGGTGATGGATGGCTAAAATTCTTGCATTGATCTGGCGTCTGCAGAGCAATTAGCGCTAGCTTCAGAGAGCCTTGCCTTGACCTCCATCCACCCATCAGACTGAGAGATCCCCCTATGGATTGAACGCCTGTGTGGGCAGGTGGGCTGAAGAGCTGGTGGATCTCTGCATCTGGGTCTGGTTGGAGAAGAAGTCCAGGAGGAAAGCCACGTTGGTCCGTGCGATCAAGAACCGGAGCGATCTTAGCATGGTTTCCAAGTTGCAAGGCAGAAGTTCTGGTGATGTAGCTGAATCGGGTTTGTGGTGCCTCGCTTGAGCGTCTGCCTTTGAGTTACGCCCGATTGTCCAAGAGGAAGAAAAATGAATAGGGTCGAAGAAGAAAAAAACAAGGGGTAATGAACGTGCAAAGGAAGATAACGCCACACTTGGAATACTGCATCCGGTTTTGGTCGCCACGATGTAAAAAAGATGTTGAGACTCTGGAAAGAGTACAGAGAAGAGCAACAAAGATGATTAGGGGACTGGAGGCTAAAGCATATAAGGAACGGCTGCTGGAATTGGGTATGTCTAGTTTAATGAAGAGAAAGACGAGGGGGGACATGATAGTAGTCTTCCAGTATCTCAGGGGCTGCCCCAAGGGAGTCAAGCTATTCTCCAAAGCCCCTGAAGGCAGGACAAGAAGCAACGGATGGAAGCTAATCAAGGAGAGAAGCAACCTGGAATTAAAGAGGAATTTCCTGACTGTTAGAACAGTTAACCAGTGGAACAGCCTGCCACCAGAAGCTGTGAATGCTCCAACACTGGAGATTTTTAAGAAAAGACTGGACAGCCATTTGTCTGAAATGGTATAGGGCAGAACCCAAAACACTCAAAGAGCCACTTAGACTGGGAGCCGCAAAACCCTTTTGATATCTGAAATGAAGATAACACTGCATATATCCTGTTTTACCTTTATTACAGGTGTATATATACATATACGTACACACACACACACACACACACACATCAATAAAAATATAGAAAAACAAACACCAGGATAAAAATAAACAAGACCGTTTAATTAATATAAACAACTGGTAAGTAAAAAGAGTTACTGAGCATATGTATACATACATATACATACATATATATAAAAGATCATAAAGGTAAAAAAGGATATATGCAGTTACTAATATCAACCTTAAGCATAATAAAATCCCTTCAGCAGTGTTATCTTCATTTTAGATATCAAAAGGGTCTCTCTCTCCCTCCCTCCCTCTTTCTGCACTTAGTCTGCCAGTCTCTCTCTTTCTCTTTCCTCTCTCTCTCTCCTTCTCTTTCTCTCTCCCTCTCTTTCCTTCTCTCTTTCTCTCCCTCCCTCTCTCCCATCTTCTGCTCAGCTGGCTTCAAGCTGTTCTCCAAGTTGACTCATGGACTTCAACTCCCAGAATTCCTGAGCCAGCATGGCTGGGCTAGCTGGCTCCTCCCCTTCCTGCTTCCTGCAGAGACGCAGCCAAGGGAGGAGCCACGCCCAGAAAGCGGCTCGCACCTGTGGGAGAAGCCGTGAGTCCCCTCTCTTTTTTGCTTGCTTGCTTGCTTGTGCACGCGCACACACACTCTTACACACACACACACACACACACACACACACACACACACACACACACACACACACACACACACACGGAGGGGGGGAGAGAGAGAGAGAGGAAGAAAGAAAGAGAAGGGAAGCGCACGTGCCTCTCTCTCTTTCTGCAAATGGCGGCGGAGGCAGAGCCACGTGCGGCTCCGGAGCCCCAGGCTGCAGACCTGCAAGTGAGTCTCTTCTCTGAGGCCAAGGTCCCAATTTTGTCTTCAGGCCTTCCTTTCTTTCTTTCCTTTCTTCCCTCCCTCCTCCTCTCATTTTTTCTTCTTTCAATTTTCTTTCTTTCCTTCCCCCTCTTTCCCGCCCTCCTTATTTCCTTTCTTACTTTCCTCCCTCCTCGTCCTTTCATTTTTTCTTCTCTTTCATTTTATTTCCTTCCTTCCCCCCTCTTTTTTTCTCTCTCCTCTCCCTCCCTCCCATCTTCTGCTCAGCTGGCTTCAAGCTGTTCTCCACGCAGCTCAGGGGAGGCCCCCTGGGCTCTTTTATGACTCGTGGACTTCAACTCCCAGAATTCCTGAGCCGGCATGGCCGGGCTAGCTGGCTCCTCCCCTTCCTGCTTCCTGCAGGGACGCAGCCAAGGGAGGAGCCACGCCCAGAAAGCTGCTCACCTCGTGGGAGAAGGGCGTGAGTCTGCTCTTTTTTGCTTGCTTGCTTTTACACACACACACACACACACACACACACACACACACACACACACACACACACACACGGAGGGAGGGGGAGAGAGAGAGAGAGAGAGAGAGAGAGGAAGAAAGAAAGAGAAGGGAAGCGCACGTGCCTCTCTGTCTTTCTGCAAATGGCGGCGGAGGCTGAAAGAGCCACGTGCGGCTCCGGAGCCCCAGGCTGCAGACCTGCGCGTGAGTCTCTTCTCTGAGACCAAGGTCCCAATTTTGTCTTAAGGCCGCCTTTCTTTTCTTCTTTCTTTCCTTTCTTCTCTCCCTCCTCCTCTCATTTTTTCTTCTTTCATTTTTCTTTCTTTCCTTTTTCCCTCCCTCCTTATTTCCTTTCTTACTTAGTTCTTTCCTCCCTCCTCGTCCTTTCATTTTTTCTTCTCTTTCATTTCATTTCTTTCCTTCCCCCCTTTTTCCCTCCCTCCTTCCTTCTTTATTTCCTTCCTCCCTTATTTTCTTACTTCTTCCCTCCCTCCTCTCATTTTTTCCTCTTTCATTTTTTTCCTTCCTTCCCCCCTTTTTCCCTCCCTTCCTCCCTCATTTCCTTTCTTATTTCTTCCCTCCCTCCCTCCTCCTTTCATTTTTTCTTCTCTTTCATTTTTCCTTCTTTCCGTCCCCCTTTTTTCCTTCCCTCCCTCCTTCATTTCCTTCCTTCCTTACTTATTTTCTTACTTCTTCCTCCTCCTCCTTTCATTTTTTCCTCTTTCATTTTTCCTTCTTTCCTTCTCCCCTCATTTCCTTCCCTCCCTCCTTCATTTCCTTCCTTCCTTCCTTCCTTCCTTCCTTCCTTCCTTCCTTCCTTCCTTCCTTCCTCTGAGCTTCCCTTTGAGACAAATGGCTCCCTAGATACTCATCAGATCAAGCAGCAAATCAAAGATGCCTTAAGACTTGGGGGGGGGGAAGGGAGGGAGGAAATTGGGGAAAGGAGGAAAGATAAAAAAGAGAGAAGGAAGGAAGGATAAATGGTGCCAGGGAAGGAATGAAGGAAGGAAAAAAAGAGCAGGCAGTAAGAAAGCAAGGTCCTAATGGCGAGGATGGATCACAGGCTTACTTTTTCATTCCTGTAGTCAGTGCAAAAGGTCACTAAGTGAGGCTAACCAAGGACTATCTGCCACAGGAGGCTACGCTTCCACGGTTTATCCAACTGGCCTTTTGTGAAAATTCTGCTCTAAAACGGCTGCCCAGAATCCCTGGGAGGGAAGCAGCATATAAATTTTAATACCTTGCCATTACCTGGGGGGTCTCCGCTTCGCTCCTGTGGAGACACCCCAGGTAATGAGGGGTGTCTGGCCTCTCTGGAGGAGTTGCCCAGGATCTAGAGGACTGGGTCCAAAAAAAAGTGGCTTTTTTCTTGGGAAATATAATTTCTCTCCTAGTTAGGGTGATGGATTAGTCCTTGCTTATCCACCCCATAATTCTGCCTCGCCCTTGTAACGGCCTCACCCTCGCTGGTGGGGGAGACCCCTTCTGCTATTCCTGCCCCCCCTTCACCTAAAAGCACTCAAAACATGTTGAAATCATTAGTGCCTTTGACACACACACACACACACACACACACACACACACACCTTCCCCTTCCTCCAAAGCTTTCCTCCTCCCTTCCCCACGACATCCCAACCCCCCCCCCCAGCTCCAGGCGAGGAAGCCCCCCTGGCGGAGTTCGCCTCTGAATTGACCCTGCCTGGGATTTTAATTGACAGTTCATTAAAGATGGATGTGTGGCTGGAGGGAAATGCAGGAACGGAGGGGGGGGGAAGCTTTGTGATTTATTTTTCCACTTTGCCTTCGCTGCCTCTGCTCACCCCCGTTTTCCCATCTCTCCCTTCCTCTTTTTTTTGCTCCTTCCAGGCACGATGGGAGGTCTGTTCTTGGACGGAGAAGAGAGCCCGGCCACCACCACTACCACCACCACCGCGTTGCAAGACATCAGCAAATGGACCGTGGAGGACGTGTGCAGTTTTGTCAGCTGCCTCTCCGGTTGTGCTGAATACACTCAGGTGTGTTGCCACTGGGTTCCCTAACAGTGCAGAAAGGGCAAAGCAACACTCAACACAACACTCCCCCTTGCGTGTGCACACCATCTACAAACAGAGGGCCGATTTCAGGAAATCAAAAACTCCCCAAATATTTTACGGCTGCCTGCTTACATACAGGCGTCTCCCGTAGTCCTTGACTAACCCCAAATTTCCATTGCTAAACGAGACAGTGGTTAAGTGGGCTTTGCTCCAGTTGACGACCTTTCTTACCACAGTAATATGCTGGTTAAGTAAACCTGGCTTCCCTACTGACTTTGGATGGTGGGAAGGTCGTAAAAGGAGATCACACGAGGCCGGGGTGCTGCAACTGTCGTAAATTTGAACCGGTTGTGGCCAAAAGTCTGAATTTTGATCACATGACGTGAAAAATGGTCATGTCAGTTTTTTCAGTGCAACTTTGGTCCTGAATGAATGGACTAGAGTCAAGGACTAGAGAGAACTGCCTGCCTTTGTGGTGGGAATATGGGTGTCTTGAGCCCCAGTTTCTGGATGACAGCCTCCTCCTCACCACACTAGTCCTTTTCATTAGCTGTGTGAATTACACACTAAGCCTTTTGCTGGGATCTGGAGTGCTTCTTCCCCCAGCATTTTGGAATCCAATCCGAAGCGTCTTGAGGTTTTGCCGCTTATTAATCACAGGGGCTAAGAACTTGGTTACTCCCGTAAAAAGACACTCTCTCAAGCATCTTTATTTATCCAATTTATACCCTGCTCACTTTGTCTAAGAGAGACATAGATAAAAACAAAAAAAAACCAATTTTAACTAATTTCAGGGGGGTTGTTTGTGCCCTGAAACCACCTACCCTAAAAAGGATTCATCTGTAGGCTTTGAACCCAGGATGGGATGTCCTGATTTTGTATTCTAGAACTTGGCAGAAGTTTTAAAAAGTGGGGAAATGATATTTCCAGACCCGGAGTGAGGATCACCCCCACGTTGGCTTAGCTTGTCTAATAAAAGCAGTGGCTGAAGAAAGTCCCAATTCCCCCCCCTCCCCCCCAGAGATGGAAGGGAAACGGACAGGAGGAATGCCCCAAACCCATCCATCACTCCCCGGGTGAGTGGGTGGGAAAGCCAGGCTGCCAGCTGGAAGACAAAGTGCTTCTTAACTTGGCTTCTGAGTTAGCACATTGTGGCTTATAAAATGCCCTTTTGAGAACTCCAGCTGCAGAGGGGAGGCAGGCTGGGAACATCTGGATTCTTCTGTCCCCCCCCCCCCCAAGAAGGAGAGACCGCTGGGAAGGAGGGGGCTTAATGCCAAGGAGGCAGGATCCGAAGAGAGAGAGATGGCTTGTTTTTGTTTTGTTTTGAAAAAAGGCTGGGACTTCAGTTGTCTACCAGCAGCTTTATTGCCCCCTTTTTGTGTTTTCCTAAGAATAACAGAATTGGAAGGGACCTTGGAGGTCTTCTAGTCTCACCCTCCCCCTGCATGCAGAAGTGCTCCCTACCAAAGGATTCACGCAGGGTGATGAGACACCCTGTGGCTTGCTTTTGGCTTGACGCAGGAAGCCAGCAATTGTGGTTTGTAAGCCAGGGCTTAGGATGTGTGAAGCAAGACTTCTTCAACAGAGAATTAAAGGGTGATGTGAATTACCAGCTAACCTGAATTGAGGTCTATGAAAAACAAAGGCTGTTAGCCAACTTGAGACATGTGGACTTCAACTCCCAGGATTCCCCAGACAGCATGCTGGCTGAGGAATTCTGGGAGTCGAAGTCCACCCATCTTAAAGCAGGGCTGCTGGGAACTGAACTCAACCCATCTTTAAGTGACCAAGCTAGAAAAATACTGATTTATACGCAGTCCCATCTCTCCATTGCAGTCTTCTGGGGGTCTATAGAACAATGCCTTGTTTGGGGAAAGGAATTGTGGCTGTCCATTTTGAGCCAAGTCGCAGCCAGGTCTTGCTATTTGACAGGTCTTCCGGGATCAGGCCATTGATGGCGAGACGCTGCCCCTTTTGACGGAAGAACATTTACTCAACCACATGGGCTTAAAACTAGGCCCAGCGTTGAAAATAAGGTCACAGGTAAGAGGCTGTTCGAAATAAAATTAAACGAAAGCGTATGAACAACAAAAAAAAATCCATCAAACTCTCACACTATACACATACGTGGGGACTCATTCTTTTGGGGAGGGTCTCTTCAAAATGCAAAACTTTAGAGGTAGGCCTGGCCTTAAATCATGGTTTACTCTGTGTTCTTTAACCTTGGCACACGCAAAGTTGCCAAGGGTGAAAGACGCTGGTTTTGCTGTCCATGTGCTAAGCCGTAAACCACGGTTCATAAACCACAGTGGTTGAGCTAGGCAGCTACTAAGTTTAGTTTTTTTTATTGTTTGTTTATATTGAGCCCTGTAGTTCAATATAATTTAACTTTTTGGGGTTTCTTTATTATTTTATTTTTAAGCTGCCCATTAGCCAAAGTGCTCTGGCGATGTGCAGTAAAACCCAGCGCGATGGAATAAAATCCAACAGAATGCAAAACTCACACTATACACATGGGGAGCAGCAAGACAGTCATCCAAAAATTAGAACAGTACCCAGTGAAAATGCAGCCTAAAACCCCAGGTAACAGTCAAGGAGATTTAACCTGGTTTATGAGGGAATCTCTTCCCCAAGTTTGCAAGGCTGGAAAACCTGGCTTCCAGGCTTTTAGCTGGCTGGTGAAGTGGGAGAGAAATTACATTTTTCAGTGCTGCTCTAAAAAAGAAAACTCAAATCCTTGAATATAGAAATGGAGCTGATGAAACAGGCTAGCTTTATTTACGGTAAACAGTTCTCAACATTTGTTCTGAAACATTTGTTAAGTGAGTTTTGCCTCATTTTATCGCTGTTGGAGGACTTACCTGCATTGCATTCTTTTTCTTTTAAACCCAAATCAGGAAAGCACTGGAGGTAGCCTCATCCCTGCTAGTTGAGTTTGTGCCATCATCCTTTGTTGAGCTGAAGGCTTCCCATTAAGCAATAACCTAGGTTAAGAGTGTTGTGTGAACATAACAGCCAAGGTGGTTTGCCTGCCATGCCTGCCGTAAATTTCTTTCTGCGATTTTAGCAGACTGCCAAAGTCCAGTTCATCGTGGTTGAGTCAGCCCGTCCTGCTTTTTTAACTATTGCAGCTTTGTAGAAATGCATGAATCCAATCTGGGTTTGATGCCAAGATGATAAAGCATTTGGATTTAAAGCTTGAAAGGCCTCCGTTTTAAGGTTGGATTTTTAAGGGTGTCCCCCCCCCAAATCTGCAAGGCCTGTGCCCTTTGCCAGGTGCCCCACAATCCAATTTCCCCTTGTGTGCTATTAACTCAGGTGCCTTGGGCCAATCTCTGCATGCTATCCTGCTACAAACAGGATGATTTTGACCTCTTTTATTTTTATTTTTAAATGTGCCGGCTTCAAAATTCTTCCCGCTTCCCTGCTGCTTTGTGTGCCCCTCCACAGATCCCTTTTTGGCCTGCATAGGTTCTTTTAGATCCCACTGGTGGCATGGGGGGGGGGTTTCCTGTTCTCCCGCTTCCTCTGAGTCACGTTTATTTCCAGCGCAATCGTTCCACGGGGAACAATTGCCCAAAGAACCGTTTTATTAGATCCCTCGTAAACAGCCGAGGCTTGGGGGAAAGTAATAAAGCTGCCCTTATCGTTTTAACATAATAAAACAAATGTGTTGGGGGGGGGGGCAGAGAGGAAGGTGAGTCTGCATTGGTAAACAATATTGCTCTGTGCCTGGTTGGCACCAGGGGTAGGCAAACCACCTTGGCTGTGTGTTCACACAACACCCGTAACCCAGCGGTCCAAGATGGTGCAGGTGTGACGTGACTTGGAAGGTTCCCCCACCTACAAGCTTTGGAGGGTCACCTGTTCAGGTAGAAGAGTCCAAGAAGGCAGAGCAGGAGTGGCAGGATCAGAAAGGAGTTTGGGATGAAGCGGGTTTGGGATGATGTGGTGGATATCTTCGGAGTCCCAGGTTTCTGAAGCTGTGCTTTTGACCCAAGAGGTGTGCCCGGATCTGCAGCCAAGACTTTTGGGGCCTCTTTTCAAAGTGCCACACCCCCTACACACACACAGACACACACACACACGTTGAATTTCCACATTGCAACCTTCGATTTGGTTGCTTAGACAGACTCCATCATGCAAGACCACCTCTGATTTATGAGCTTGGTGGTTTTCTTGCAGACATTTCATTACCTTTGTAGGTAACACCATCAGTGCATCAAACTCAGAGAGCACCAAGGACCCCACAGTCATTGTTCTCTTCTCCTCCTCCTGCTCCCACACCCCACTCTCTTCTAGCACTGAGGATGTTACTTAGGTGGGTAATGAAACGTCTGCAAGGAAACCACCAAACTCAGAGAGCACCAAGCACCGCACAATTCAGTCCTGAGCTACAAATATTCTATTTTCTCTCATTTTTCACTTGGAGGTTGAGTCCCTTGAGGTTCCCCCCATCTTTTGCCCCTTAACTGCACTCATAAGACTTTAAACCCCGGTGCTGTTCCTTCTCTACGCTTCAGCTCTGGAAGAAGCGTAGATGATGTTGAATCTCAGACACTTTATTTCCAAAACGTTTGCAACCTTAGCTTTGCTTTGGTTGTCCGTTTCCCAAATCCTCACCTCTTGGCCCTGCCAAAATCCTCGCAGGTGCTTTATTTCCTTTAAAAAAAAATTTTTTTTTTATAAACTTTATTCATCTATAACATAAAATACAAAAGCAAATAGTAAGGGACGATAGGATTGGGAGTTGAAACATCCTCCCGTTTTTACGCCTCTTGCTGTGGCTGTTTGTGCAGGATAAGAGAACTTGTGTAAGATAAGAGAACTTTTATTGTCATTTTTTTACTGTGAGCACAACGGCACACATCCCTTATTTCCTTATTTCTCTTTTCTTGCTGCTTTTTCCTGCAGGTAGCCAAGAGGGTGGGCCGGGTGTTGTATATGGCGAGCTTTCCCGTGGCTTTTCCACTCCACCCGCCCGGCCTGCGGCCCACGGATTGCAACCTGCCTCCCGCCGAGCTTCGCCCACCCTCCACCGGAAGCGTGGCCTCGTCCCCCTACGGAGGGACGCTTCTGCCCAGCCGGGTCTCCCCCAAGCAGGAAAATGGGACCTCTGTCTTGGCCCTGGGGGATGTCCCCAAGGCCCCTTCCTAACCCCTGGCCTCTCCGCCATCGGTCATCCCACAGTCTGAAGAAAAGAAGCAAGTTCCTTCCCCCCCTCCACAAGAGGCAGCGTGGAAATTTTGCTAAAATATTCAAATGGGGGGGTGGAAATAAACGCTTGGAGGGATTTTTTTTTTTTTTTTTTTTTGGACTTAGGGAGGGTGTGAGGGACCTGCTCCATTGCAAAGAAATCTTGGAAGGAAGACAGACTCGGAGAAGGAAGCCCGTTGTGGAGATCAACGCCTCTGCAAACCAGCCCCAGACGGGCTCCAGGGGGGCAAGGAAACCCCCCTCCCCTCTTCCTTTTTTTGGAGGGGTGGAACAGCCCTGGCTGAACTGGTCCAGAGTTCCTTTTGGGGAGGGGGAGGTCTATGCATCGCTAGCAGCTTTTGAAGTAATACCAAAGACAGACAAGTGATCCAGCATCTGAACTCCGCTCCATGTTTATTTTTTATTTTTATTTTTGGGATGGTACGACGCAGCCAGTCCTGTGGACTTAATCTTCTTTCTTTTTCTTTGACTTTCTGTGTCTCTCTTTGGTGTGCATTGATTCATTTCTTGTTTCCATCCTGGACAGAAAGAAAGCAGGAAGGATAATGTAGTTGGAGGTATCCCTTCTGGAAGGTAGGTTGTGAGTGAGAGAGTGTGTGTGTGTGTGTGTGTGTGTGTGTGAGGAGTCTTTGGTGCTCTCCCAGTTTGGTTTTCTTACAGACCAGTGGTTCTCAACCTGTGGGTCGTGACCCCATTTGTTGGGGTCGATCGACCATTTCACGGGGGTCGCCAAACAACTGCAGTCTGCCATTTCCCCCCCCTTTTCCTTAGCTGTGCCTCTTGAATAGAGTCTAATTCTATTGGCTTTCAAAAGCTCCAGAATTCCCAACAGAATTAAAGAGTTGGAGGCCCACCACTTACACTTTCAAAAGCCAGTAGGAATTGTCCAGGCTGTCTCTGCCCTGCTGAGCCTGCCAAAATTTCCATTCTGCAAATGGTGCTGCACCAGTTGAGTAGTCCTCAACTTACGACCGGTTGAGGGGTCGCAGCATTAAAAAGGTTGAGAACCACTGTTACAGACGTTTCATTACCCAACTAGGTAACGTCATTAGTGTACTGATGACATTACCTAGTTGGGTAACGAAACGTCTGCAAGAAAATGAAACTCGGAGAGCATCAAGAGTTCAACCCTGAGCTAGCTTCTCTGTGTGTGCATACAACACAGAGCCATGCTCCATTTTAATTGGCTTTTGTGCACAAAGTGCAGTGGTTTTTTTTTTTTTAGTTTTTTTTTAAAAGGCAGGGCAGCCTGGGTGAGGATATGGAATTGCACATTTTCCCTGGTATCCACGCCCAGGAGTTAACATGGAGCCCTTGCCAGCTTTCAACCAACGTGTGTGTGTGTGTGTGTGTGTGTGTGTGTGTATATATATGTATGAGGAGTCCTTGGTGCTCTCCGAGTTTAGTTTTGTTACAGACGTTTCATTACCCAACTAGATAATGTCATTAGTGTACTGATTAGCTGGGTAACGAAACGTCTGCAAGAAAACCAAACTCGGAGAGCATCAAGGAACTGAGTTGAACCCTGAGCTATCTTCTCTGTGTGCCTGTGTGTGCATACAGAGGCATGCTCCATTTTAATTGGCTTTTGTGCAGTGGTTTTTTTTTTAAATTTTTTTTAAAGGCAGGGCAGCCTGGGTGAGGATATGGAATTGCACATTTTCCCTGGTATCCACGCCCAGGTGTTAACATGGCACCCTTGCCAGCTTTCAACATGTGTGTGTGTGTGTCTGTGTGTGTCTGTGTCTGCCTGCCCACTTTGATGGAAAAAAAAAGAATGCAGGGGCCAAACTTTTAAAGCACCCCTGCAGTCTTTTTTTTCTTCCTCCCCTCGGTGCATTTTCAACAGCAAACCACACTTAACCCAAGATAGCTTAGTTGGGACCTTAGCTTCATATCAAGAGTATCCATCACTTTAAGGCTTTCCAAGCAAAGCAATTGAAATAACAATAAAAAGGAAGAGTTCACTCAGTTTATAAAAACAGGAATGTGTCGGGTGCGTCCTTCAAAACTTAGAATGATTCCTGGGGACAGGGAACATGAAAAGTATTGGGGGGGAGGGGGGGTGACAGGTAAACATAGCCTGAGTTATTAGATGAAATCCTGGCCTAATGAGCCAGCTTAGACCAGTGTTTCCCAAACTTGACAATTTTAAGGCATGTGGACTTCAATTCCCAGAATTCCACAATGCTGGCTGTGGAATTCTGGGAGTTGAAGTCCTCATGCCTTAAAATTGTCAAGTTTGGGAAACACTGGCTTAGACGGAAGGGGTAAGTATTTTAGGTTACATGTTGTGAGAATCCCATCAGATGGCAAAGGACAAGAGAACAGGTAAGTTGGCTCTGGAGGGGACAGGTGTTGGGAAAGGGGGGGGACAGGCAGGCCAGAGGCTTAGAGGAGTGGGTTGGCATGAGCCCGCCAAAGCCTTGGCCTGCCTGCCCTCCCCAGTCTTCCCAGCACCTGTATTTCCCTCCCTCCTCTTGGCCCCCCCATCTTTGGCCTCAAGGGGTGCCTGAGGTAGGGAGGGGCAGGCCCTGGGTGCCCCCCAGGTCTGCCAGGGCGGCTGGCCCATCTTCCCAGGGCTTTCCTCCTCTTCCCCTTCCTCCCCCCCCCCAGGAGGGCTGCTGGGGGCTAAGTCGAGGTGGGGAGGGCTGGAAGGATGTTAGGGGCTGGCTGGGGAGGGGCTCCTTGCCAACACCCCTTCCTCTTCCCTTGCCAACTCCCCTGGTGGCACCCAGGGAGGGAAGGGGTGGGGTATTCGGCAAGGAGAGCCTCCCCAGCCTCCCTCTAACTTCCAGCCCAGCTTTCCCACCTCAGCAGCCACCAACAGCCACCCTGGGGGGGGGGGGGGAAGGAAGCCCTGGGAAGATGAGGGGCTGTCCCAGCCCTGGTAACCTGGAGGGGGGCAGCCCCAGGGCCTGTTCCTCCCTGAGGCCAAAGATGGGGAGACCAAGAGGAGGGGGGGGAAATGGGGAAGGGGGGGCAGGGGGTGTGGGGGGAGGGGTGGGAGTGGGGGAGGGGTGGGTGTGGGAGGGAGGGAGAAAAACAAGAGCCAGGGTGTAGTTTTCAAGAATCTTTATTAGAGGTCAAAAAAACAAGCAATACACCCCCCCTCTGATACCCCTCCCTCCCACCTACACCCTCCCTCCTCCCCACCTTTGGCTTCAGTCCTGGCCTAGAGGGAGCCCAGGGGAGAGGAGACCTTGGGAGGAGGGGGGTAAGTCTCCCTCCTCCCATGACCCCCCCCCCCAAGGCCCCTCTAGGCCAGGACTGAAGCCAAAGGCATTGGGGAGGCTAAGTGAGGCTGGCAGGAGGGGCACAGAGGACAGCTTGCCAAGCCTTTGGGCAAAATACCACCCAGGGGCCATTGGCAGTTGCCCTCTGCCCTGCCCCAACCCCTCAGCCTCCCCCAGTCCCCCCCAAGACCCCCAACTTCAGCCATGGTGCAAGAGAAGCTGGCAAGAGAGGCCCTCAGATGCCAGGAACAGCCTGGGAGAGGGGCTTTGATGCCCCAGATCTTCCTAGGGCCTCTTTGCCAGCCTCTTGTTGGGCCGTGGCTGCTCCTGACCTATCCCCCCCCCCCAAGGTGTGACCCACCATGCACAGAGCTGGCTTCCTCTGCGCAGCCCTTGTTCGGAGTAGGCATGCACAAATGTTTTGAAATTAAATGTAAAGTGCCAGGTTTGGAGCCAAGAGGGCCCCTTGCTTTGAATATATTGTGCATGCCTACTTATAACAAGGGAGGAACTGCAGACTTACCTGAAGGCATACCTGTTTCCTGGCTCACCTGCCTAGTCGCTGGGGGGATTGGGGAGGGATGAGCAGTTGAGATTCCACAACAGCTTCTCTCAACTTTGGCAAGTTTTAAGTTGCATAGACTTCCCAACTAGGGCTGAAGTCCACCCACCTTTAAGCCTGCCAAGGCTGAGACATGCTGGGGACCCTGAAGGCTTCAGGGTTGAGGTGCACCCCTTTGGGGGGGGGGAAACGCCCTAAAGAACTTCAATTCCCGTGGTGTTGTGGGGATTTGCAATCTCACAGCACAAAGGAACCCAAGTTCTGTGCATCCCAAGTAGGTGGACCTCAGTCCCAAAACACCTAATGTGCAAGGATGTCCCACATCCCCTCAACAAGACCCCCATATGGGTGATCTTATCTCCCAGAATTCTCTGGCTACATTGCCAAGCATTCTGGGGACTGAAGTTCAATCAGAAATTCTATGTTGGACTTCGAAATTCCCAGAATACAGAAATAAGCTAGAGAACACCAGAGACTGAATGATAGGTGCCTGGAGAGGACCTCAATTTTTAGGGGTTTCAAGTATTGCAGGAACTAGGATATCCTATGCCCTGTGCGATGGAAGAATCCCCGTCTCCTGGCTTGATGGACTGCAAGCTCCAGAATTCCTAACAGAATTAAAGAGTTGGAGGCCCACCACTTACACTTCATGGGATTGGGATTGGTCTCCTAATCAAGTCCCAGAATTCTGAGCCCATAGTTCAGAAGAATTGGGGACCTGTCATCTACAGGACACGGACCTGTCTCCTGGCTTGGTGGACTGCAAGCTCCAGAATTCCTAACAGAATTAAAGAGTTGGAGGCCCACCACTTACACTTCATGGGATTTGTCTCCTAATTAAGTCCCAAAAATTCTGAACCCATAGTTCAGAAGAATTGGGGACCCGTCAACTACAGGACACGGACCTGTCTCCTGGCTTGGTGGACTGCAAGCTCCAGAATTCCTAACAGAATTAAAGAGTTGGAGGCCCACCACTTACACTTCATGGGATGGGATTGGTCTCCTAATCAAGTCCCAGAATTCTGAACCCATAGTTCAGAAGAATTGAGGACCCGTCATCTACAGGACACGGACCTGTCTCCTGGCTTGGTGGACTGCAAGCTCCAGAATTCCTAACAGAATTAAAGAGTTGGAGGCCCACCACTTACACTTCATGGGATTGGTCTCCCAGACTCCCAAGTCCTAGAATTCTGAATGCAGAAAAATTGGGACATACCAACAAGAGACAGCATGGAGCTGTCTCCAAGATTAGTGAACTTCAGTTTCCAGAATTCTCCAGTCCATGTGCTGGAGACAGCTGGAAATTGAGTTGCAGCCATCTGGTGACCTTGGGATTAGGGTGGGTGAGTGGGAGGGAGGGAAGGGGACCTCAATCCTTAAACTCCTCTAGCCTACCACTGCTAAGAATTCCAGGAGCTAACACTCATCCCTTTGAAATTTGCAGGCTTCAACTCCCCAAGTGTTTTAAAAGCTGCAGATTTCCTGGGAATTGAAGTCCAGCCTTCTAAAAGCCATTTGGCTTTCTAAAGCGGAGTTCAGTTCTTGACATACCTGGTGGGTTTTACCTGACGGGAGAGATCAGGGTTTCTCACCCTTAGCAAGAGGTGTGGGTTTCAACACTCAAGAGTTCTGGAATTTGAAATCCACACATCAAGTTGTTAAGGTTGAAAAACCCTGATCTAAGTTCTTCTGACATCTCAACCTCAACTTTGTCCTACAACCTGAAGCCATATAATCCTACCAAGGCATAATAGCCATTATGCCTTCACCCTACCATCCCATTTAAAAAGCTAGAGCAGCCATGATTTCAAGATTTATGGGGACCAAACGCAAGGGCTTGCATTTCAAGGGTGTATCCCCATAAACCACAAAACATGGTTCTTTAGCCAAGCTAAATGGGATAAAGACTCCTTCATCTAACTCACAAATGACAAGAGATATCCTGGCTATCTTGGGGATCCCTTCCCAACCAATGGTGTAAGATTTGCTAACTCCTTATCCTAGATCTGATCTGTGTGGGTCTCAGTTCCTGGTGGGCACCACATGTGGGGTGAAAAAAAAAGGCCTGTGTGGGTCACAGTGCGGTGAAAGCTGCAGGGAAAAAAACGCTTCTCCATCAGGATCCAGCTGTTTTGCCCGCTGCAGTTTCAGCGCAAAGAGATCCAGGCCTCTGAAAGAAATCCACAACAGGCTGTTTTTACAAGCCGAGAACCAACACAAAACTTCCCTTCCCGTACAGAAATAAAAATTGGGAGGAATTGGGGGTGGGGGTGGACTCAAAAGCATGCATTGTGCTGCCCAGTCCGGCTCTTCCTGTTGGGGAGTTTGGGCCAAAAAATTTAAATAATGTCACTTGCAGGAAAAGAGCCAAGTCCTTTTTTTTAAAAAAAAAAAAAAAAAAAAAAAGATTTGTAACTGTAGTTGGATCTTCATCTCTGCCATCTCCATCGCTGGTGGTGGATGATCCTCCAGAAGAGGAAGGGGCAGCATTGAAGGCTGGCCTCTCTGTTTTTTCTTTCCTGAGATGGTTTTATTTTGAGATGGTTTTAAGAACCCCACATTATTCTAAAGAGGCAGTTTTGGCAGCCAGCGTGGCAGACTTTTTACGGCTCCACTGCCGGCTGACAAATTTTTCTGGCCCGTCCCTCCAGTGCCTAAACTCGGCTTCAGGGCCAGCTGGAACAATGCAGCCCCTTCCCCTCAAGTCCGTCCATCCATCAGTCTCCATCGGAAAAATCCAAGTCTTCCACCAGGTCCTCTCCTCCTTGTGCCAGCTGTTGCAACTCTGCCCGAGTGAGCGGTGTCTGGCGACTCCTCCGTGGTCGAGGGGCGGCCTTCTCATCTGCTGGAGAAGGAAGAAAGACTCGGTGTCAATCCAACCTCATTGGGAACAGGAGGAGGGGGGGCAGAAAAGGCAGCTGGGTGCTAATTAATCTCCGGTGCTAATTAATGGATCGTCGGGCAGAGCTCAGGAGGGGGCAAGATGGGAATGGCGAGATGGGCAGAATATAAGTTTTAATAATAAATAGAGCAATAAATAAACAAAGCACCTGGGTTTTTTCTAACGGAGATGGAGGATCAAGGAGAAGAAAATCTTTATTCCCCCCCCACCATTTTATTTGAGAGGGAGCACAACCCTGTAAAGGGGGAGGCTTCCAAAACTCACATCCTAGAAATAAGGGGGAGGGGAGGAGAAAGGGCTCCTCTCCAAATGTTTCGGGATGAGTGGTTGCAATGTACGGAGGTGAATGTAGAAACATGCTCTTCCCTCTTAAAATAGGCTACTTAGTGAGCACATGGGGGGGGTCCTTTTGGGGTTGGGACCCTCCCCAAACCCTCTGGTCTGCCTCTGCATTCTTCTGCTGGAGACCCACCCTGTAAAACCAAGTTCCTACCCTCCCAACTGTTCCCAAAACCTGGATGTGCAGATCTTCTCATAATGGTTTAGAAGTCTAAGTGGGGAGACTTAGAAATATGGGGGGGGGTTATCAACCTGCCCACCCCAGAGAGAGGGAAAATTGAGAGAGAAGGACCAGGGGAGAAGCCAAAGGGCCTTGCGCATGGCTGTTAAGCACCAGAATGGAGTAGAAACACATCTGCACACATCCATGGGACAGGATGGGCTGGAGACCACTTTACATCCAGTGTGAACACAGCCATCTAAGGGTGGTGCAGTCTGGAACCACCCCCCCCCCGTCAGTGGGGAGGGGGAGGGCTGTGGGGGAGCCCCACACCACAGCAGCTCCACCTGCTCTACTTCGACCTGATTTCGGGCAGAAACCATTTCTCCCCCTTTCTCAGAAACGTCAAGACACTGACTGACACTCAGGATCACCTAACGAGGAAACCAGGGTTTTGCCATTGAGGCTTGGACCTCCAGGTTCAGGATTTGGCTCCCAAACGCTCCCGACGAAGGGAAGGTTTGGGCCAACTGGAAAACAAAGCAGGGGGAAAAGCAGAAACTGGAACAGCCGCCCGAAAAGGGACGGCAGAACGAGACGTCGGGGGTGAGGCCGCTGCGGCACTTCCAACGTTTCGGCAGCCCCAGAGAGACAGCGTTTTTGTGAGTGTGGCACATGGACGTGCCAAACGGTGGCAGCCGTTATCTGCTCTGGCCTCTGTCGACGGTCTATTCTGGGCAAGGGCACCGAGGCTGGCATGGCAGGCCTCTGCCATCTGCTACTGAGAACTGGGCACTGCGCCGGCCTCTTTTAACTGCATTGCTGGGGGGGGGGGGGAGAAGGAATGGAGGGGAGGGAAACAAAGAGAGGCCGGAAGCTTGGAGAACTCTCTCCCAGTGCAGGGCAAAATCTGAGCCCTTAAATTTTGGATTCTGCAAATAATTTTCCAGAGTTAACAAGAAAGAAGAATACAAAGGCACAATTACCTGAATATGTCCCTCTGGAGGGGTTTTGTTTGGGGGCTGAAGGTAGGGGTGTTCACTGAGACACCCCCAACGCCTCTCCCACCAGGCTTGATCCTGCTTTGAGGCCTCCACTGAGCCCCTGGGGGCTTCAGAGGCCGGTGTCCCTGGCTCAGCCAGATAGGTGGGGCTGGGGGATTCGCCCTCCCACCTACAGGCAGTCCTCAACTTATAACCGTTCGTTTAGTGACCGTTCAAAGTTACAATGGCACTGAAAAAAGTGACTGATGACCGTTTTACATATTTATAACCATTGCAGTCTCACTTAATCAAAATTTAGAGACTTAGCAACCGGTTCATATTTATGACGGTCACACTGTCCTGGGGTCAGGTGATCCCCTTTTGCAAACTTCTATTCTATTCCCTATTCTTTTCTATTCCATTCCATTCCATCCTATATTCTATTCTATTCTCTTTTCTATTTTCTATTCTTTTCTATTCCATTCCATCTTATCTTATCCTGTATTCTATTCTATTTTCTTTTCTATTTTTCTATTCTTCCATTCCCTCCTATCCTATCTTATCCTGTATTCTTTTCTATTCTATTCTATTCTACATTCTATTCTTTTCTATTCTATTCCATTCCATCCTATCCTGTATTCTATTCTATTCTCTATTTTCTATTCTTTTCTATTCCATTCCATCCTATCTTATCCTGTATTCTATTCTATTTTCTATTTTCTTTTCTATTCCATTCCATCCTATCTTATCCTGTATTCTATTCTATTCTATTGTATTCTACATTCTATTGTATTCTATTGTATTCTATTCTATTCCAATATCTATTCTATTCTATTCTATTCTATTCTATTCTATTCTATTCTATTCTATTCCTACTCTAATTTCAAAGGAACTATGGCCAATAATAATGAAAGAAGGTCAATCCAGAATACAAGAGTTACAATAATTTCTACGAAAACACGGCCACCAATAATAAAAGTGAATGAACCAATGGATACAATGTTGAATTTTCCCATGGCAAATTAGCCACGGTCAGTTGTCCTAGACCCAGCTACACCTATTCTGTTTGGTTTTAAGATGGTGGTCTAAGATTGAAAGGTCATTAGGGAAAAGATGGCTCTGAGGAAGAGCAGAACGATCTGTGGGGGTCTCGGAAACTCCGTAATCCCCTTTTTGCTGCAAACGGAAAGCTGCAAGGAAGCCCCTTAATTCTTTACCGTCTGAATCGCTCTGATTCTCGTCATCTTCTTCCTCCACTTCATATTCTCCTTCCTCCTCCTCCTCACTGCTGCTCACGGAAGCACGGTCTGCAGCCACCTTCTTCCCTTTCTCTGTACCCAGAAAATAAAAACGGGAACAGACGTGACATAAGGTCCCTCTCTGAATTCACGGGGGATATAAAACAGTTCTTCTGCAACCAGTTGCAGCTTAAGGGACAAAAACCAGCTTTTTAAAAAATTATTCCTGGACTTTTTAATCACGAGAAAGCAGTTAAAAACAAAGTGAAGGGTATGATTTATTGCAACCTGAAGCTTGCTTAGAGGACAGTGTCCAAAGGAGTACAGGAAGTCCTCAACTTATGTTGACACACTCACTAAATCAGATGAAAGAATCAGCTTCTTCCACCAGTGCCAGCCACAGGAAGAAGCTGAGGATTTGCACCGATTATATAAAAATATACTGTTTTTTTTCAGAATGCCATTTTTTAAACTGGCTCTAGAGAGACAGGGTTTTTTTTTTTAAAGTAAACAACTAGGAGTCTTTTTTAAAAATAACAATTTAAAGTAATACAAGTTTCATTTTGTCGTTGCAATTTATACACCCTCTTTCTATCCTAGGTGGAGACGGTCCAAGTGATATAATAAATGAAATAAAAATAAGCTTAAGCAAAAAAAAAATAAATAAATAAAATAAAAACCATTAAAGTGTGTGAATTTATTCTCTGCTTTCCCTTATACCCAGGAAAGAATGAAAGAGGAAAAAATGAAAGGAGGAGGAGGGAGGGAAGAAGTAAGAAAATAAGGAAGGAAGGAAATAAGAAGGGAGGGGAAAAGAGGGGGGGGAAGGAAAGAAAATGAAAGAGAAGAAAAAATGAAAGGAGGAGGGAGGGAGGGAAGAAATAAGAAAGGAAATGAGGGAGGAAGGGAGGGAAAAAGGGGGGAAGGAAGGAAAAAAATGAAAGAGGAAAAAATGAGAGGAGGGAGGGAAGAAGTAAGAAAATAAGGGAGGAAGAAAATAAAGGAAGGAGGGAGGGAAAAAGGGGGGAAGGAAAGAAATAAAATGAAAGAGAAGAAAAAATGAAAGGACGAGGAGGGAGGAAAGAACTAAGAAAGGAAATAAGGAGGGGGGGAAAAAGGGGGGAAGGAAGGAAAGAAAAAATGAAAGGAGGAGGGAGAGAAGAAAGGAAAGAAAGAAGAAAAGAAAGGCGGCCTTAAGACAAAATTGGGACCTTGGTCTCAGAGAAGAGACTCACGCGCAGGTCTGCAGCCTGGGGCTCCGGAGCCGCACGTGGCTCTTTCAGCCTCCGCCGCCATTTGCAGAAAGAGAGAGAGAGGCACTTGCGCTTCCCTTTTCTTTTTCTTTCTTCCTCTCTCTCTTTCCCTCCGTGTGTGTGTGTGTGTGTGTGTGTGTGTGTGTGTGTGTGTGTGTCAGAGTGTGTGTGTTGTGCGTTGTGTGTGTGTGTAAGTAAAAAAGAGAGCAGACTCACCACGAAGTGAGCAGCTTCCTGGGCGTGGCTCCTCCCTTGGCTGCGTCCCTGCAGGAAGCAGGAAGGGGAGGAGCCAGCTAGCCCAGCCATGCTGGCTCAGGAATTCTGGGAGTTGAAGTCCACGAGTCATCAAAGAGCCCAGGGGGCCTCCCCTGAGCTGGCTGGGGAACAGCTTGAAGCCAGCTGAGCAGAAGATGGGAGGGAGGGAGGGAGGGAGGGAGGGAGAGGAGAGAAAGAGAGAAAAAAAGAGGGGGGAAGGAAGGAAAGAAATAAAATGAAAGCGAAGAAAAAATGAAAGGAGGAGGGAGGAAAGAAGTAAATAAGAAAGGAAATAAGGAGGGAGGGAAAGAGGGGGGAAGGAAAGAAAGAAAAATGAAAAAAGAAAAAATGAGGAGGAGGGAGGGAAGAAGAAAGGAAAGAAAGAAAAGAAAGGAAGGAAGGCCTTAAGACAAAATTGGGACCTCGGCCTCAGAGAAGAGACTCACGCGCAGGTCTGCAGCCTGGGGCTCCGGAGCCGCACGTGGCTCTTTGCCTCCGCCGCCATTTGCAGAAAGACAGAGAGGCACTTGCGCTTCCCTTCTCTTTCTTTCTTCCTCTCTCTCTCTCTCTCCCCCTCCCTCCCTCCCTCCCTCCCTCCCTGTGTGTGTGTGTGTGTGTGTGTGTGTGTGTGTGTGTGTGTGTGTGTTTGTGTGTAAAAGCAAGCAAGCAAAAAAAGAGAGCAGACTCACGGCCTTCTCCCACGAGGTGAGCAGCTTTCTGGGCGTGGCTCCTCCCTTGGCTGCGTCCCTGCAGGAAGCAGGAAGGGGAGGAGCCAGCTAGCCCGGCCATGCTGGCTCAGGAATTCTGGGAGTTGAAGTCCACGAGTCATAAAAGAGCCCAGGTGGCCTCCCCTGAGCTGCTTGGAGAACAGCTTGAAGCCAGCTGAGCAGAAGATGGTGGACCTGGACACCCCCCCCACACACCCTTACCTGCGGCTCCGGAGCCGCCACGTGGCTCTTTGAGCCTTCCCCTGCAGCTCCCAGCCTCCATTTGCAGAGAGGCACCTGCTCTCTCTCCTCCCCCCCTCTGTCTCTCTGTGTGTGTGTGTGAGGAAGGAAGGGAAAAAGAGGGGGGAAGGAAGGAAAGAAATAAAATGAAAGAGAAGAAAAAATGAAAGGACGAGGAGGGAGGAAAGAACTAAGAAAGGAAATAAGGAGGGGGGGAAAAAGGGGGGAAGGAAGGAAAGAAAAAATGAAAGGAGGAGGGAGAGAAGAAAGGAAAGAAAGAAGAAAAGAAAGGCGGCCTTAAGACAAAATTGGGACCTTGGTCTCAGAGAAGAGACTCACGCGCAGGTCCGCAGCCTGGGGCTCCGGAGCCGCACGTGGCTCTTTCAGCCTCCGCCGCCATTTGCAGAAAGAGAGAGGCACTTGCGCTTCCCTTTTCTTTTTCTTTCTTCCTCTCTCTCTTTCCCTCCGTGTGTGTGTGTGTGTGTGTGTGTGTGTGTGTGTGTGTGTAAGAGTGTGTGTGTTGTGCGTTGTGTGTGTGTGTAAGTAAAAAAGAGAGCAGACTCACCACGAGGTGAGCAGCTTCCTGGGCGTGGCTCCTCCCTTGGCTGGGTCTCTGCAGGAAGCAGGAAGGGGAGGAGCCAGCTAGCCCAGCCATGCTGGCTCAGGAATTCTGGGAGTTGAAGTCCACAAGTCATAAAAGAGCCCAGGGGGCCTCCCCTGAGCTGGCTGGGGAACAGCTTGAAGCCAGCTGAGCAGAAGATGGGAGGGAGGGAGGGACACACACACACACACACACCCTTTTGATATCTAAAATGAAGATAACACTGCATATATCTTTTTTACCTTTATTGTATGTATGTATGTGTATGTATGTTATATGTATATATATACACCTGTAATAAAGGTAAAAAAGGATATATGCAGTGTTATCTTCATTTCAGATATCAAAAGGGTTTTGCGGCTCCCAGTGTTTTGTTTTTGGTGGGAAACGGGTCCAAGTGGCTCTTGGAGTGTTTTGCAAAACCTCTCTGGTTTCCTGGCTGGGCTGAGGTTTTTGTTTTGCAATTCTCCGGCTGCTGTGTGTTTTATGCCTCATTGTATTTTGTATTTGAATATATTTTTGCTCCGAGCAGACTGAGATGGGCAGCTGTATAAATCAATTTAATAAATAAAGCTCTGGCATCCTTCCCCTAGGGCAGAGTTGGGGAACGATGGCCGTTTTATGACCTGTGGACTTCAACTCCCAGGATTCCTGAGTCTGCCTGTGGAAGGAAGGAAGGAAGGAAGGGGGAGAGAAAAAGACAAGGAAGGAAAGAAAAAGAGTGAGAAAGGGAGAGAGAAATAGGGACAGAAAGAGAAAAAGAGAAAGAAGGAGAGAGGAAGGGGAGGAAGAGAAGAACGTAGGAAGAAAGAGGGAAGAAGAAAGGAGAGGAAGGAAGGAGAAAGGAACAAAGGAAGAGGGAGAAGAAAAGGAAAGAAAGAAAGAAAGAAAGAAAGAAAGAAAGAAAGAAAGAAAGAAAGAAAGAAAGAAAGAAAGAGGAAGGAAGGAAGGAAGGAAGGAAGGGAAAAGAAAGAGACGGACAGAAACAGAGAGAGAGAGAAAGGGAAGGGAGAAAAGAACACAGGAAGAAGAGAAGAAAGAAAGAAAGGAGGGAGGGAAAGAGGAAGGAAGGGAGCATCACTGTCCTCTCTTGATTATTCCCAGCCCCTGAAATCTTGGCAGATAACAGCTTAGGGGGAATCCAGGAAGGCCCAAGATGGAAGGAATTCAACAGGAACACACTTCGACAGGAGAAAAGCAAGCGTTGTGTGCATTTTAAGTTCCTTGCAAGGGGTGGGGAACACGACCACCCCCCTAATAGCCCTTCCAGGCTGCTTTTCTATATCCTTCTGCAATCCCCCCCCCCCACTTGCACTCCAACGGGAAGGCGCAAAAGGCAGACACGACCCAAGTTATGGGCGCAAAATGCAGGAACAAGTTACAAGTCCCTAAGGGACATTTGGGAGATAATCCCAGGCTGATTGCACCCTCTATTATCCCCAGGTACCCCCTTCCTTGCATTCAGGGGAGGGGGGTGCAGGACTGGTTAATTGCCGCATAAAAGGAGCACACTCCCCCTGCCAGCCCCAGCAAACCCAGTGGGATCACAACAAGGAGCCCCATCACAATTTCTTCTGTTCCCCCCCCCCTCTGGTCACTGTCCCCTTCCCACCCACCCACCCCCTCCCTATGCAATGGGGTAATGTGATTACGGGCTGGATATCCGCTAAAGTTCATTAGACATTCGCCGTGGCTTAATGTGGACAGATCGCTCATTACCGGCCGGGGTCTGGGGAGACGGAGTGCCAGCCCAGCGGTTTCACGCAGCTTTAATTGCGTCCTGACACGGCCATCCACCATCAGGCCCCCAGCCCATTAATAACCAGGGGCAGCCGTGACTCCCCCCCCAGGCCCATCAGCCGGTAAATGAGAGGAATGCGTGATGTCGCCTCTCCCTGTGGTGGCTGCAGACAAGCCATTGATCAAATCTGGCAGGCAGGAGGGGGAGCCCCCCTTCTCAGAAACTAGAGGGGGGGTGTCTGGGATGGAGGGGTCCAGGTCCTTGACCTCCTGCCCCCTTTCTGCCGAAGAAGCCAAGCCACCTCTGCGCTTGGGCTTGTGAAGAGGGAAGGCGAAAGAAAGAAAGAAAGAAAGAAAGAAAGAAAGAAAGAAAGAAAGAAAGAAAGAAAGAAAGAGAGAGAGGGAGGGAGGGAGGGAGGGAGGGAGGGAGGGAGGGAGGAAGGAAGGAAGGAAGGAAGGAAGGAAGGAAGGAAGGAAGGAAGGAAGGAAGGAAGGAAGGAAGGAAGGAAGGAAGGAAGGAAGGTCCCATTCTGGTTAAATCTTAATAAATAAGATTTATTTCAAATATGCTTTCCTGGTTGAGCCACATGGAACAGCTTGGTCCTTCGCACTAAACAGTAAACAGCCGTGGCTTCCAGGCCACAAGACAAACCCACACCATTTGGGGCGTGTGGGCAAATGCAACAGAAAGTAGCACTTCTCCCAAGAACTTGGGTGAGATCTTAACAGTTCTGCCTCAGCTCAAAGGCCCACTTAGTCCACGAACCTGGGAGATGCACAAGTAGTCCTTTTTTAGTGACAATTGGGACTAGCGACTTGATTGCCAAGCACAGAGACTGCTAAATGAAACAGCAGTGCGCTTATGATCTTCCGTCAGCTTTCTGTGAAGGTTGCAAATGTGGCCGTAGTTTGTGGCCGTAGTTTACATCACTGCTGTACTGCAGTCACTAAACGAGGACTATCTCTACATGCAATCATGTTTTTCTCTCTCTCACCTCTACTAAAAGCCACCCTGGTTCTGCTAGTGATGTGTAAGACTCAGAGCTATTCCAACCCCACCTGAAAGCTACTCCAGCCAAATCTTGTGGCGGGGGGTTTCCAAAAGCTCAAAATCACACTTTTGTCCCCTTGTCCTTTTCCCAATTCTACGTAAAAACAGGGGTTAGGCCCGACTGCCAACAGGAGTGGAGAAAAACATTGCTTCTATCTACTTTCCTTGGATAGAAGCTGGAGGATTCAAATCCCAGTATCCTTGGCCAAGGTGAGGATGATGGGAGTTACAATCCAACGCTTCATTTCCCCAAATTGGGATTTAACTGGGGGAGGGAGGGGCAGACATCTGCACAGCACCCCATCTTTTTGACTGGGGTTCAGCAACTATAAAGGTGAACCGACCTGTTTTTTAGGGATTTTTGACTTATTTCGGGGAGAACGCCCGACGCCACCCCAAATTCCGTGTCTGCCCACCGTGCCTTTTCCAGACCATCTTATTCCGCTGAGACCGGAGCTGCTATAAAACGCTAATGAGTGCTTAACTATGGCAATATTTAATTAAAAAGAAGAAGAAGGGGAAGAGGGGCTGTGAGCTGCTGCTAATTAACAGAAAATTGGTAATTTCCTAGCTATTAGCGTCTTATTTTCCACTCATCTGAACACAGGCAAGGAAGCACAGCGACAGCATAAATAGGCTGAACACAATCTGGCTTATCCAGAGGTGCAGGTGGCTGGCAAAACTGGGGGAGCCTGTGACCTCTCTTTGCATTAACCCTAACCCCCTATGGAGCAGAGGACAATTAATCAATGGAATAGCTTGCCCCCTAAAACTGTGGGTTTCTCTATTGCTGCAAGTTTTCGAAAATAGACCGGAAGATCATTTGACTGGGCTGGTGTAAGACTCCTGCCTTGAACAGGGGGTTGGACTAGAAGATCTCTGAGGTCCCTTTCAGCCCTATAATTAGTAATAATAAAGTTGGAGGGGAGCTTGGAGGTCATCTAGTCCAGCCCCCTGCTCAGGCAGGAAACCCTATATATCATTTCAGACAAATGGCCGTCCAATCTCTTCTTAAAAACTTCCAGTGTTGGAATCACACATAATTGTGTGTTCAATTTTTCCTGCAGGAGAAAGACAGCCCCGCTCCCTTAGCAAAACGGCCCCCAACCATCTGGAATGTGAAGGGTCAAAATGAATGTCACCATGTCCTGATTTCCAGATGTGACAGCACCGGCTCTTCCTCCACCAAGGGTCTGCTCCAGAAACATCACCACCCACCTGTCCATCTTCCCTCCCGGGAAAAACCCTTTCTCTTGGCTGAATCAATAGCTTCCTAAGGAAGGAAGGAAGGAAGGAAGGAAGGAAGGAAGGAAGGAAGGAAGGAAGGAAGGAAGGAAGGAAGGAAGGAAGGAAGGAAGGAAGGAAGGAAGGAAGAAAAAAGCCGACAACATCACCGGTGCACTGAAGCGCATCCCAGTTGCCTGTTGAAGAATACGGGAACAACGTGCGTGGCAGTCACCCGCCGTGTGCAGAAGTCAAAGGAAGTGAAAAACGCAGCAGGATTTTGGTTTGGGGTGACAGTCTCTCTCTCTCTCTCTCTCTCTCTCCCACACACACACACACACACACACACACACACACACACAACCATCTCAGGACAAGAGAGAGAGCAAATCAAGCAGGGATGGATAACAACACCTCAATTAATCCTTCACAAATCTATGGGAAAGTGTGTGGAATTGGCTGCAGCAAAGCTTAATTTGTCTGTCTCTCTGTCATATCTATCTATCTATCTATCTATCTATCTATCTATCTATCTATCTATCTATCTCCTATCATTTATCTTATGTATCTCTATCATTTCTTATCTATCTCTATCTCATCTATCTATCTATCTATCTATCTATCTATCTATCTATCTATCTATCTATCTATCTATCTATCTATCTATCTCCTATCATGTATCTGACCTTTCTTTCTTTCTCTCTCTCCCTCCCTCCCTCCCTCTCTCTCTCTCTCTCATCCACCCATCAATCATCCATCTATTATCCCTCCCTCCCTCTACCTCCCTATCAAAAATAGTACTTGTAAAATTTCAGGAAGAAGAAACCTCACCTGCTTGTCCTACAGAACATGTCTAAATTCCTTGGGGACATCAAGTCAAAAAGGCATCTCTGTTCCTTAATCACCCTCTGGTATACCACCTGTGACTGTGGAGGTTTCACACACACAAAAATGGATACTGACCGGCCATCCAGAATTGGGCCCTGGGGCTGTATAAGTCTTCCTACTCTCTAGAGAGGCCTTTGCTGATCAAAGTGCCAATTTTGCTTTATAATTGGTGAAGAGTTTGCATAGAAGTTGTAAATCACCCTTCCCTGAAAAGCAGCAAGCTGGAAGCTCCATTGAAAGGAGGGTGCAAGTTTGCAAATAACAGGAATAATTAAGAGTCTGCTACACAAATTAAAACTATTTCAAGTTCGGGATTTTGGATAGGAAATGCCCCATTCCAACCGTCTCTTTCCATTGTTTTGAGTCAGAAAGAGTTTCTCGGATTGAGACAGAGTTGATTCAATTTCAAGACACTCCAGAAAGGGAAAAAGACGTGTGTTGCATTGAAATCCTTTTCAGTTTTAAACATTTTCCCTAGCAATCAATTACGATGGTGGTTTATCCACGGATTTTTGTTCCTTGGTTATGGGATATGAAGTTTTCTCAGGAGCTGTGCATTTTAATTCTTGTATATTGCCATTTTTTTAAATTTTGTTTGTCACTCAGACTCACTTGCTGAGATGGGTACCCATAGAGACCGAATAAGGACCTTTTAAAAAATTGATTGATACCCGCAATGCAGTGATTGTATAAAACTGCCCCAACAATCCAATTTATGACACTCATTGTTTCCAACTGGGGCCTCTGCATGTTACAATAAATTTGCCAAGCTTGAGAAAAATAACTTAAAAAAAAAAAGAGGTTAAAGATGTATTTTTCAGACGAGATTAGAAACGAATCTCTTCCCAAGTGTGTTGACTAAAACGATCTCTCCAGTTGGATGGTTGGTTTTCTGAGGCTACTTATGTCCCTAAAAATGATTATTTAATTCAGTTATTATTCTTTCCTTAATCGGTTTCTTACCGTGAACGTGTCACCAATTATTTACCGTGGATGTAAATGATAACAATAACAATGATTTGTATACTTTAGCAGTAACAGCAGGGAGCCCAGCCAACGGAATAAATGAATGAGTGAATAAAACCACAGCAGTACTATTAACTCAAAAAATCTCACATCTCCCCCCCCTTTTTTTTAGCCAATTTGGTAAATTTGTGCTTTTAAATGAACTTTTCCTTGGGCTTAAAACTGATTCTGAAAGCACTCAGGCAGATATGCCCATCCCTGAACTGTGTTTTAAAAACAGATTTTTTTAGCCCTGGGAAACTGTTCTGAAATGGAAAGGGGGGGGGGCATAGAAAAGTATTCCCTCCACTTTTAAATTATTTTAAGTTCTTGCTCAGGGCTCTCCAATCTTGGCAACTTTTAAGACTTGTGGACTTCATCTCCCAGAGTTCATGGCTGGCTGAGGAATTCTGGGAGTTGAAGTCCACAGGTCTCCGAGTTTGAAGTGCTCTGTTTTTGCTTGAAGCTGGGAAGCTGGTGGCAGTTGAGTGAAGGGCAGTGGTGCAGTTTGTGAGACTGTTTTGCACCAAATGCTTCCTCCGACCTACCTTTACGGGAGAAGACATCCGAGGAGGCCTCCTCCTCTGAGCTGCTCTCCATTTCAAAGAGGTCCTTAAGCTCCCTTTTATCCTCCTCTTTCTTTTCGTTTGGCTTCTTGCGTTTGATTTCTGGGAAGTTTAGCTCTTCCAGCTGCAGCCAGGCAACAAAGGAAGGACAGAAGAAGAAGAAGAAGAAGAAGAAGAAGAAGAAGAAGAAGAAGAAGAAGAAGAAGAAGAAGAAGAAGAAGAAGAAGAAGAAGAAGAAGAAGAAGAAGAAGAAGAAGAAGAAGAAGAAGAAGAAGAAGAAGAAGAAGAAGAAGAAGAAGAAGAAGAAGAAGAAGAAGAAGAAGAAGAAGAAGAAGAAGAAGAAGAAGAAGAAGAAGAAGAAGAAGAAGAAGAAGAAGAAGAAGAAGAAGAAGAAGAAGAAGAAGAAGAAGAAGAAGAAGAATTAAAAAGTAAACACACTGAACATCTCAATTTAGCCCCAATGAAGAACAGCTGGCTGGTTATGTTAAGGATGTTTTTAATTACCACAAAATTACATATCTATCTATCTATCTATCTATTTATCTATCTATCTATCTATCTATCTATCTATCTATCTATCTATCTATCTATCTATCTCTATTTATATCTATCTATCTCTGTTTATATCTAACTATATTTATATCTATCTCTATTTATATCTATCTATCAATCTGCTTATCTATCTCTATTTATATCTATCTATCTATCTATCTGCTTATCTATCTCTATTTATATCTATCTATCTATCTATCTCTGTTTATATCTATCTATCTCTGTTTATATCTATCTCTGTTTATATCTATCTATCTCTATTTATATCTATCTATCTATCTATCTATCTATCTATCTATCTATCTAATCTATCACTATATTTATATCTAACTATATTTGTATCTATCTCTCTATTTATATCTATCTATCTATCTATCTATCTATCTATCTATCTATCTATCTATCTATCTACCTACCTACCTACCTACCTACCTATCTACCTATCATCTCTATATATAAGAAAAAAAAACGGAAAGAAGGGAATATGAGGCTCCTGAAGTAAAATATTAACAGAATGATACAGTTGGAAGGGGCCTTGGAGGTCTTCTAGTCCAACCCCCTGCTCAGGCAGGAAGCCCTAGAGCAGGGCTCTTCAAAGTGGGGCCTTTGATGACTTGTGGACTTCAACTCGCAGAATTCCTCAGCCAGGCACGCTGGCTGAAGAATTCTGGGAGTTGAAGTCCGCAAGTCATAAAAGGGCCAAGTTTGAAAAGCCCTGCCCTAGAGCATATTCTCACTTCCCAGTCTGAAATATTGAAGGGGGGGGGGGAAATACCTTACAGAGGAATCTTGAATTTTAACTACGGCAGGATTGTAAAAAGGCTGGGATTGTCTTTCATTTCCTAACCCGTTCACCCCAGCCAATGCAGCCTTCACAAAAGAATGCAGAAAGTCCTTTTTCTGGGAGTTTCTGACTAGTTTCCGAGCAAGATCTCGGAATCATAGCTCAATGAAAATGTTGGGGGATCTCAAAATAGGGGTAAAAGTACTCCTCTGATTGCCATCATTGTGTGGCCAGACCTACCATGACACAAAGCTGGGTTACTTGGGACTAAAAGCCTGGCAAAGTCCATTAAGCAGAAAGTAGCAACGGATCCACTGGTCACCTCTTGTGCTCCTCAGCCAGGATCTCAAGATGGTTTAGATTTAAGGATTTGGGTTCTTACCCGTTCTTTGCCAGTAATTTCAAGCTGTATTTCCTTCTCTCTCAGTTTCTTCCAAGTCACATAGTAAGTCATTAGAGGAGTTCCTTCTGCTTTTACGGTTTTTTCCCACTGCTCCTGTCAAAAAAATTCACCGGAGACATAAGAAAGCGTTTCCTAACGTTCAGGAAATCACCCGCTTTTTCCACTCCGGGTGCAGGGGTATGTGTATGTATGTGTGTGTCTCCATATTTTTATTCCAGTTCCGGAGACTGAAGTGAAATTGCAAAAGCCGAGCGGTGTGTTCAAAACGGCTTCGGAGGGGAAAATCTACACGTAGAACTTTGCCTCCTTGTCCTTTTATTATTGTGCAAAAACAATAATTCGCCAAGCATCCTGCAAATGTTTTTGCAGAGTTATGACTACTTAGCAACAGAAATCCTGAGATCAATTGTGGCCGTGAAGTCGAGGACTACCTGTGTATTGTATGTTCTTGTCATTTTTTACTTTCCTTTTTGCTCAACTGATCATTCGAATGGTGAGCGGGTTGAGCTAAGAGGTGGGGAGGTGCATTGTAACTAATTTATTTGTTAAGAAATCGAGAATCAAATGGCCTTGGTATAAAGCAGGGGTCTTCAAACTTGGCCCTTTTGCAACGTGTGCCTGGCTGAGGAATTCTGGGAGTTGAAGTCCACAAGTCGCAAAAGGGCCAAGTTTGAAGACCCCCCTGGAATAAAGCTTCCCTTTTCAAGGTGTGAAATAAACAGGTGTTTCTCTTGAACAGGAAAACCTTCCCCAGCTGAACAAAAGGGGAATAGAGGTGACTCACCACCGCCTCCCGATTCGAGACGCCAAAGGAAGCTTTGTGGCGCTTGGCGGTGATGAAGGCGGCGTTCTCCTGCAGTTTTTCCAAGAGCTGACGGACGATTTTGCAATAGTTGGCTATCTTGCAATCCTTCAGAAAGGACTTCAGCTGGAGAGGAGGAGGAGGAGGAAGACGGACCGGAAAGAAACAAGACAGCAAAAAAAATTCCATGAATGGCTCTCTCTCTCTCTCTCTTTTTTTTTTTTTAAGTCTGACCTGCCTAGAGTTTTCTATTCTCGTGTTTGGATCTGGCTGGCAAGAGTGCAAAAATTAAGATGGGTGGGATGTAGCTTCCTCCAAGCCTTGGCTCCAATTTAAAGTTGGAATATATAAAATAATTCTTACGGTCTTGCCAAGTAGGGCGGAAAAAAAAATATCAAAAGAGGGAGAACGAAAACAGCCTCTAGAGTCACAAGCTGTTGATGGAGCCTTGGTGAAGCCACTGGCCGCAATGGAGGCGGAAGGCCTGGCTGACCGAGACAGGTCTTCCGGTGGCCCTTAGTGACCTCTGACTTTGAGGCCAGCAATGGTTGTCCCTGATAACCATTTTATACCTTTGCCTAACTCCCAAAAGGAGCTGATGGGCTGATGTGGGCCAAATTGCTTGGAAATCCAGCCTGGTTATGTTATCGAGTGAACACTTGGTTTAATTTGTGCCAAGAAAAAAGACAGCAAAGGTGTGTTTGGGCAGGCAGGCAGGCAGGACAAAAGAATGAGAAAAAGAGAGGAGAGGAGGAGGGAAGGAAGGAAGGAAGGAAGGAAGGAAGGAAGGAAGGAAGGAAGGAGAAAGGTAAGAAAAAACTAAAGCAGGGGTCGGACTAGAAGACCTCCAAGGTCCCTTCCAATTCTATTCTATTCTATTCTATTCTATTCTATTCTATTCTATTCTATTCTATTCTATTCTACAGAAAGAGTGAAATAAAAAGGGAGCGAGGGAGGAAAGATCTATCCAATTTCATATATATCATCTTTAAGCAGCATGCTGTTTTGTTGGAGCGTGACCTTCCCCAGTCTAACCAGCTCTGGACCACAGCTCCCATCCTCAGCAGGCTAGCTGGGGCTGATGGGAAAGCCCAGGCCGATCCTGGCTGAAGGGGCACCTATCCTACCTGCCTGCTTTGGAGACAGCTTCCCCAACCTGAAGCCACGTTTCATTCCCCCAAAATTAGCATCCTCTTTGAATGTCTCTGGAGGTTGATTCTGAGTTCCTGTGCCAGCTCTGAAGGGGAGGAGGCTGGATCAGGCCCACCACTTGACCCCCTGGGAGGGGGGGGAGAAGAGAGGACACACAAAAGTCTTTCGGAAAGAGAACCCTTTCTCCCAGCTGTTTGTGTGTGTGTGTGTGAAAACTAAGACCCTTCACGGCTGCTCATTTGACCTCAGACCCACCCCGACAGTGGCTTTCACCGCCCCCCCCCCCATGCCAGGACCACTGAAATATCCCCCCCTCCCTCCCCGGCCTGGGAGAAGAACAGCCCCTTATCTGCACACTCCGGCTTCCTTTCTGTCCCAAAAAATAAAAGCGGGAAGTGTAAGAGCGGGAGGGACGAAGAACAACGTGGCGCCTCCCCCAGCCCTCCAGGCGCCCCCAGAGAAGGGGAGCGCTCCCTTTCATAATTTGCACGCTTCCTTTCACACATATACACAAGCACATCCTTGCAACCTCCAGCGGAGGGAGAGAAGACAAGGGAGCAATTCATGCTGCTGTGCTCTGCGGGAAGGCCGCGGCCTGGCACAGTCGGAGAAGGGGAAATCCAGCTGCCAAGCCCTTCCTGCATTAATAATCCAGCTCTGGGTGGAAGGGGAGACATCAAGCAGACGCTGGTTCTTCCCCCCCCCGCCCCCCTCCCTCCCTGACTCGCTCTCCCAGCTGCCTCAATTAAACCGAATCCATGCAAAGCTTGGGAAGGCTAGTTCTGGATCTTAGTCCGTGCTGACCTCCTCTTTGGGGGTGGTCCGTCACTAGCCAGACAGGGGGGAGGGAAGCCCACCCCGAGGCTGGGGGGAGCAGGAAGGAGGGAAGGCCAGGCCGGGGTGAGCGGAGGGAGGAGTGGGAGGTGGGAAGAGTGGACCCAAAGGCCTCAGATACTGACCCGTGAAGAAAATCACATTTTTCAACACCTCTGCAGTGCAACAGGGTGGAAATCAAGAGAGCCTTAAAATGCTCTAGCAGGGATGTAAAGAAAGGGAGGGGACAGGCTTTCCTGCCCTCCCCCCTTTCAATGATTTAGCCAAGCAAGGCTAAAACAAGGCCATTATTGTGCAGAAGGACACTCATGGCATTACCTAGTAGGGTAATGAAACGTCTGCAAGCAAATTAAAAAAGGTTTGAGAGCATCTCCGGCTACAGGGATTCCCTTCTACTGGGAACGTGCACCGTTTTGCAAAAAAGACTCTCTCTCTTGGGTTTTGTTTTATGTACTACTGATTTTTAAGGTAAGACTCTAGTCCTGGGTGTGCTTGGAAGCATGTAAATGATTGCTGGGGTTTTGTTTTAGTTTTTTTTTTTTTTTGCTTTAGGCTGTCAACCTGGGGGAGAAAACCTGGGGATACTTAGCAATTTTTTCCCCCGGTTTATTTTAGCCATACAAACTCCATTTACCTGAAGGATGGCGGGCAGAGCCAGTTCTGGGAAACCGACTGTGTAGGACTGGCTGTGGAGATATTCTAAAGTCAGGTCATAAAGCTGTTCAAGAAGGCCATCCTAGGAAGAGAAGAAAAAAACATAGCACAAAATTTGAAAAGGGTTTTTGAAGGCTAACTTCCCACCGAAGGAAGGGTTAAACTACAGCACTCATCACCCGAAACTGAGTTAAATCAATGTTTTTCGACTTGGCTACTTTTAAGCAGCTGGCTTGGAAATTTTAGGAGCTGAAGTCCAGACTTCTTAAGGGGGCCAAGTTTCAAAAGTTGCAGTATTACTTCCCCTAAAACAGGGGTCTCCAAGCTGGGCAACTTGTAGACTTTAATTCCCAGAATTCCTCAGCCGTTTAAAGCAGCCACGTCGAAAAACATTGATTTAACTCAAGTTTGGATGATGACTGCTGCCAGTTGCATTCTTCCTGAGATGGGAAGTTAAGCTTTCAAAAGCCCTGCCTGGCTGAGGAATTCTGGGAGTTGAAGTCTACCAGTTGCCACGTTTGGAGAGCCTTGCCCTAAAATATAAAACCTGCCCACTTCGCCTACTTACACGAAAGGCTTTCTCCTGCAGATTGGCGTTGGAGAGCTTCAAGATGACGGCAAAGTTAACAGGCTTAGCACTCATTCGCCCGGGTTTCTTGTTGAAATCTACCTGCTGGAAAATCTGTGGAAAAAAGAAGAGAAAATAGAATGGAAAGGTCAACCAAGCATCAACAGAAGAGAAGGTGTGGGAACATATAGCTAGCAAATAAGATTTTTGCAAGCCTCTGCTGGCTGCCTAGCCTGCAGAAGGCCACTTGGTCATCTTAAACAAACTATACTGGGGTGCAGTTTTTTTTAATGAAAAGAAGGACTAGGGGTGACCTCATAGCAGTGTTCCAATATCTGAGGGATGGCCCCAAAGAAGAGGGAGTCAAGCTATTCTCACCTCCCAAGGTCCCTTCCAACTCTTGTTATTCTATCACCCCCAGTTAAATGGCCATCCATACAAGATTGAGGAACGCTTCCACACATCCCGATGCCAGCAACCTCTAGTTTAGTAGTGAAGGACTGGGCTAGAAAGCTAGGAGGCTGTGAGTTCTAGTTCCGCCTTAAGCACGAAAGCCAGCCAGGTGACTTTGAGCCAGGAGACAGCGAGTTCTAGTTTTGCCTTAAGCAGGAAAGCCACCCGGGTGATTTTGGGCAGGTCACCAGGAGCCAGTGAGTTCTAGAGCCAGCTAAGGCATGTAAGCCGGCGGGATGGAGTTCTAGTCCCCGACCTTGGCCAGCCACTCTTCCCCAGTCCATCCATCCCACCTCAAGAGTGTTGTCATTGTGGGAAAAAAATAGGAAGGAAGGAGGGTAAGGTATGTTTGCTGCCCAGAATTAGATATAAAGTAATAATTCTGGGAGTTGAAGCCCACCCGTCTTAAAAGGGATCAAGGTGGAGAAACGCTGGCCTAAATCAGTCCCTAATGCTGGTGAAGTGATTTGACTGCCCCCTGCCCAGAGCTACCCTACCCATCAGCCAATTAATGAGTCGATGGTTTTGTTAACTCTCTGCTAAACTCTCCTCCATCAAAAGGCAGGAACCCCCTTTGTGCCCTCCGGGATCCAAAGCAAGCCCGTCCCTGGCATTAGTGCTGCTCTACGGCCCCCGCCCCAAATTTATTCTAATGCAAAGGCCAGCTCTGCCCCCGCAGCAGCAGCACCAGGCCGTGGACTCATCATCCATCGGGATTTTGTTTTATTTTATTTTTAAAGGGCAAACGCTCATTATCCCTCAACGTGCTTTCCTGCACCTTCCCTCCCTTCACACCACCCGGTCTTTGCCGCGGGGAGGCGGTGAGAGCCCTCACCCTCATTCCCTGTGCCAAGAGAAGCATAAACTGTCAAGGCACGTCACCGATTTCCTGCTCATTTCCAGTGACAGCAGCTTGGGGAATATCGGCGCTCCCAGGGACCTCACAAGACGCCCGAGCTGTCACCGTGCGGGTGACAAAGTGTGCGTCTGTGTGTGTGTGTGGGGGAGAAGCCGAGTGGGAGGGAATTACAGAGAAGGGAGGGCTGCATTAGGTTGCTTCGGAACGGCAGTTCCAGTCAGGGTTTTTGCAAAGTGGGAATAGAAGGGAATCTGCGACAGGATAGCCGCATTCCAATATTTGAGGGGCTGCCCCAAAGAAGAGGGGGGGGGATCCACCTATTCTCCAAAGCACCTGAAGGCAGGACAAGAAGCAGCGGATGGAAACTGATCCAGGAGAGAAGCAATCTGGAATTAAGGAGAAACTTCCTAACAAATGAGTACAATTAACCAGTGGAACAACCTGCCTCCAGAAGTTGTGGGTGCTCCAACACTGGAGTTTTTAAAGAAGAGACCGGACAACTATTTGTCTGAAATGCTACAGAGTCTCCTGCTTGAGCAGGGGGCTGGACTAGATGACCTCCAAGGTCCCTTCCAACTCTGTTATTCTGTGGATTAGAAGACTGGGGGGGGGACTCCATCCGAGGGCACGCCCTTTGCTGCATCTATGCAAAAGGAGGTGACATGGCAGTTAACAGGCCAAATTAGGGGGTCTGTTGAGGGGGTCTTTTAGAATTTTAGACATCAGGGAGGGGGAGGCAATCACTATCAATCTCACTCCTCTCTGAGGCTCTTTTATGGGGGGGAAGGCTGAGAGTCAACACTTTACTTTCCCATTTTCACCTTTATTTGGGGACGAGGAAGAGAGGCAGGCAAAATGGGTTAACATTGAGGTTGTTTCTGCCTGCAAAATGCAGATTTAAGAAGAACCGGGTGTAGGAAGAGCTTGGAATGGTTTCCCCCAAGGCAAGCAGACAGCCCTGAACTCAATGCAAGCCCCCAAATTTGGGAGCATTGCATTGAGGAATGCAAAAGGGGTTGGTTTTTTTTTTTTTTGCTTTTTTTTGCGGCGTCTGGGGTCCTGCGTGGGCAGCCTTGGTGTTCCTCCCAACGGCTGTCAGCTCAGCCAGCCACATTTCTCTCCCACTCCCCCCCCAGGAGAGTGGGAGAGATGCTGCCCCCACCCTGCAGCATTGGATGTGACTGAGGGCGGAGAGGCCAAACCAGCGCAAAACCACTGAACGTCTGGGTTGATCTATGCGGCTTGCCTCGAGGGAACGCTGCTTTCTACACACACAAACACACACACAGTAAAGCAGGGGTGGTGTGCAAAAGGCTGGGTTGGCAGAACCCTGGCGGAGAGGAAGGAGGTGGACGGGAGCAGCTGTCCAGAAGCCACAAGGAGTCCTGGGGAGGCAGGAAGCAAAAAGGATGTGGTTAACAAACAGACATTTTGCAGCAACGTGGGGGGGGGAGAGAAAAACCCACAGCAGGCTTTTTTTTTTTTTCACTTCCTGACAATTCTCAACGAAGCGTGGCAGTTTGGTCAACTCCCCAAAAAACCCCACCAAGCCTCACCCTCTCCCACTCGCTTTTTATTCGGGCCGTTAAGACAAGAGTCACAAGCAAATTTTGAAAACTGGAGGAGGGAAAGAGTAGCAAAGGGGAACGCTTTAAAAAAATAATCTGAGTTTATTTTTATGCAATGGGCGTTGTGTCTGGTTGGTTCTGCTAGTGCTGGAGAGAGAGGAAATTGAAAGTTCTGGAAGGAACTGCCCATCTACCAGAATTTTTTTCCCCCAGTTGTGAGATGGGAGGGAAGGAAGGGAGGGTGGCAAGCTGTAGAGCAGATGTGTCAAACTCACGACGTCACGTGACGTCGCGCGACATATCAGAACTTTCCCCCATAATAATAATAATAGTTGGAAGGGACCTTGGAGGTCATCTAGTCCAACCCCCTGCTCAGGCAGGAAACCCTACACCATTTCGGACAAACGGCTGTCCAGTCTCTTCTTAAAAACTTCCAGTGTTGGAGCATTTACCACTTCTGGAGGCAATGGGGTGAGCGTGGTTTGCTCATGACACATCTGGCCAGCGGGCCGGCAGTTTGACACCCCTGCTGTAGAGGGTTGTGATTCCCTCAATCTGAAGAAGAGTGACAAAAAGGTTTAGCGGTCTGGAGACTAAAACACACAAAGAAAGAACTGATTGCTGGAACTGGGGATGTCTAGTCTAATGAAGAGGACGACGAGGGGGGACATGATAGCAGTCTTCCAGTATCTCAGGGGTGACCCCAAAGAAGAGGCAGTCAAGCTATTCTCCACTCACCTCCAGAATGAAGGGCAGGACAGGGATGAATGTCTGCGTGCTTTCCGATAGGAGGGTTAGCGCCCGAATGCAGTGCATGCGCAGAGGGTAGAAACGAGCGGTAGGTACCAGCCTGGAAAAGGAAAGGGATTTAAAAAAATAAAGGGGGGGGTCCCCTAACCAAAAAGTGTGCGCAATTTTGAAGGGGGATGGGTGACACAAGTTGATATACAGCGGCTATAAATTAATCTCTTTAAATATCTGTTTTTATTTCCTCCACTTTTAGTCTATCTTCTTAATTCTGTACAACGGCATGAAAAATCAATTGATGACCATTTTCCAGATTTATAATCCCCTCGGTCAGGCAATCCAAATTCAGGCACTTGACAACTGATTCGTGTTTATGACAGTTTGCAGCGTCCTGGGCTGGTGTAAATCAATGGCCTTCTAACAAACAAATTCAAAAGGGAAGTTAGATTCATTTAACAACCATGTGACTTACAACAGTAGTGATCCACTTAGCACTCGTGGTAAGAAAGATCATAAAACGGGGAGAAAGCTCAATTAACAACAGTCTTGTTGAGTGCGAGAAACTTTGGGCTCAGCTGGGGCTGCAGGCAAGGACGACCCGTGATTTGCAATATAATTTGTGTATTTAAAGATTAAAGATGAAAAGATCACCTTTATTGTCATTTAATGGCACACATTAAAAATGAAATTCTGTCGCCTGCTCTCAAAAATGTCCACATGCATAAACCCAGATATAGATATGCTACATACATGCATATGTATATTCCTACCGCTTTAGATATAACTACATATAAATATTAAATCCCTGGCCATCTTTATTAAACTTCTATGCTGCCTATTTCGCTGATGCGGCGATTCCGGGAGACTTGCTTGTTAAAAAGTACTAGTAAACAATTAAAATTAGGAAAAAAAATTGATAGAAAAGCTAAAAACCAAGATTTATGTTTTTAACTTTGCCTTTAAAAAATTCAAGTGAAGGCAGACCTTTCTTCTCCGTCAGGTCTAGCTGCCCCCAACAGCGCTTCTCACCCTCCAGGCTGGACCCCTCCCCTTCATCTCGGCCAGCACAAGGGGAATTCACAATAGGCAGCCCACTCACCCGTGGCCCCCCAAGGCATGGGAGAGCAGCAGGTTTTAGAAAAAAAACCACAAAGGAAAGAGCAATTCTTTCCCCCTGCTAGTTATCCTAGTTATTGTCACGAAACACATTTAAAATTCTACCCTGGACTCTCCCTGGAGCAAGGAAGCTGCTGCAGATGGTAAGCCTCACTTTCCCTTCTGTCAAAGCTCCCCAAATCCCTTTGCTGCCCGCATCCCAGGCACTCCAGCTGCTCTCAAGGCTTTTTTCACTAGGGACTAGTGCCATCTTCTGGATAGAGAAAGTACGTTTTTTAAAAAATAGAAATAAATCAGCACCAGCAGCAGTGGGAATTAACCTATAAAAGTTGGGATGAATTTAAAGGAAACTAGAAAGGCAGAATTGATACAGTTGGGTGATTTCCTCCCCCCCCCCGCCTTCCCCAAAGGGTTCAGATTGGAGAAAACACCAGTGGGGATAAATTAAGGCTGAGCCACTCAGTTTGTGGTGGGGATAAATGTAAGGTTCAGTCATTCAATTTCTAGGGTAGTTTTTCTGGGTCTTCCTCCAATTTCCAACTGGAGTATAGATAAAATTAGAAGGAGGTAAAATACCACCCAAATTCTAACCCCAAAGTCTAAACATTCAGAAGTGATTTATTTCTGTAAGTTTACTATTTGCCACGGCTTGTATAAGAATCATACAAGTATGATGGCTTGTATAAGAATCTTTATTCAAGCATCAACAAAATAAGCATCAGTGGGCTGGGCTGGGCTGGGCAAGAACTGGCCCAACATCACCTCGTGCCTCAGCTGAGCCTCTATTTTATCCTCCTAGCTCTTGAATATATTATATAGGCTGACTTTTAGAATAAATATATTATGCAGCCTAAATAAACCGATTTGTGGATAAATAACATACAAGCCCTGGTGGCATAGTGGTTAATGTGCCGTACTGCAGGCAAACTCTGTCCACAGCCTGGGGTTTGATCCTGACGGGGTTGAAGGTTGACTCAGCCTTCCAAAATGAGGACCCAGATTGTTTTTTTTGGGGGGGACGCAATATGCAAATAATGCTTTTACACTGTCAACCCGCCCAGAGAGCGTTGCATATTGCTCTGGCGCGGTACATAAGCCTAAGTGTTATTGCTATGCTCAATCTTAAAATAAATCAAATCAAAGCCAAGTTTTAAAAATGTCAGTGTTTTTTTTAAAAAAAGGAAACTTTTTTTTTTTTTAAACGTTGGAATTTTGGTAAAAGGGAACTTGAGCAAATTTTTCTTGTCGTGGATTGTGCCTTTCTTTACAGGTGCAAAACGCAGGCAGGAATTCGGAGGGCTGCTAAAGCCAAAGAGAAGTACTCAGAAGACTGATAGACCTGCCAAGACAGGCTAGAAAGGGCTTGGCTTCTTTGACAGGACAATTAAGAGCCCCCCCCCCTTTAAGGGATGGAAAGACAGCCTGGGGGGGAGAAAGAGCTTGGCAGGTGGGGAGGAAGCAAGCACAGAAAAAAAAATCTGATCCGTTTATCTTCACTGATGTTCAATTACCTGGGTCTTTTTTTTTTTTTTAAAAGCATCTTATCATCACTGATCTGATTTATTTAACCATCCCTGACCCCAAGCATTGGAGGGTGAGCAGATAAGGATTTTTAATATAAAAGCTTCCAGGCTTGCAATGTTCCTCTTGAAACTCGGAACTTTCTGAGCGCAAAACTGTTCCAAATTAAAAATGTTTTCTTACTCCTGCCAGTTATCACAACAGGCTGTCCTTGACTCACTGACTAAACCAGACAGTTGTTAAGTTAGTTTTGCCCCAGTTTACAACCTTTCTGGCCACTGTTGCTGTGACCCTGGGACACTGCAACCGTCATAAATACGTGTTCAGTTGCTCACGGGACTGTGGGGACGCTGCCACAGGTGTGTGAAAATCGGTCATAAGTCACTTTTCCAGTGCCGTTGTAAATCTGAACGGTCACAAAACAAATAGCTGTGAGTTAACGACTACCTGTGTTTCTTAATCTGGCCCTCTGGAAGTTACACGGTCAAGGGGGTAGGTGCTCAAGGGGGTAAGCGATGTGCAGCTACTTACTTAATGCAGCCAATGATAACTTGGGTCAAAGGGTAAATCAGCGGTTGCATAACTTCATTTGGATGCATCGTACTCAGAGCCCGGCACCAAAAATATAGGCAGTGGACGTACTGCCAGTTGTAAACTGACTGATAGTTTTCCTATTTAAAAGAAGAAGCAGGAAGCGATGCTGAAAAATTAATGAAGCACACGGTAAAATTCACAGCTGTTCAGAATTGTGATCAGAGCATTTCCGCTTTCTTCTTCCCTCCCACTCCTCTTTTCCTTTTGTGCCCTGACTTTTTAGAGTATGTGTTTTTTTTTTTAAGTGAGCTATAATCTTCATACTAAATATTTAGAGAGTGGTGCCAAATTGCCATTTATCCTAGAATACGTTGATTACAAAACTGTTATTTAAACTGAGACTGCACAGTTCTTGAGATGGTATGGATTCAGCTACACAACCAGCCTGTCTGAAAAGAATTGAACTGTTTGTGTAACTGTGTTACGCAACACAGGAATGGTGTTTTGTAAATTCACATGTTGGGTAAATCCAGCCAACACCGTTGCATGAAGTTGGGGACTCCTGATCTAGGGGTCTCCATGAAGCTACAAGCTCTACATGAAAACTGGGCTTACCTACCCGATTCCCTAGTCCAGGGATAGGCAACCTTGGCTCTTTTATGACTTGTGGACTTCAACTCCCAGAATTCCTGAGCCGGCATGGCTCAGCTTGGAAATCTGTTTCCCCTCCGCATGGCCGGCTCAGGAATTCTGAGTCATAAAAGAGCCAAGGTTGACTACCCCTGGCCTAGCCCGTTACTAAGACTTCCTTTAACCATGGAGAGTCCACTGCTTGTTCCTTCAAATAAACCCACCTTCTTTTTGACGGACATCGCCCCGCGCAGGTGGATGGCCAGCTGGCGGATGTAAATGAAGGCCTGCTGGTAGGACACTGCATGATCCAGAGCGTACATCTCTATCAGGGTCCGTTGCATGAAGTTGATCAGGGGGAGAGCGTTAGGAGAGGTGAATCTCGAATTCTTGACATAGGAAATGTACATTTGCTAATAAGATGAGTAGAGAAAGACAAGCAAGAGAATTAGGCCGACGTTGACCATGGTTCTCCAGTCACTTGCTTTGAGGGGGGCGACTACAGAAACCAATTAAATAAATCGTGTTATCCAATGAGGAACTGACTGAATTCGGCTAGAGATAGTCCTCTATTTACAACAGTTTATATTTAATGACCCAGCCTAAAAATGAATTTGTAGTCTGTGGATTTTTTGTGGCCGTCTTACCTTAAGAACAGAAGGCAAATAAGCTTCCTGCTTATACCGGCAGATTTTGTTGAGTATCAAAAAAGCTAGGACTCTGACAACTTCATCGCCCGTGCTCCAGAGTCGAATCGTTTGCTTCATGAAAAAGAAAAAATAAAGTTGTTTTCCATTTTTTGTTGTGCTTTTAAAATGAGATCCCCTCTAGTGTTAGAAACTGAATTTTTCCCAAGTGCCAATTAAGGCAATGCCTCTAATGTCATGGTTTTGACTGATGAAAGTCTTCAAAGAACTTTGAGGCACTATTTATCTTAAAGAATCTTTATTCAAGTAGCATAGCACTGGCATGTACATAGGCAAAGCCAAAATCTGAATTCCCCTTCCCTGAGCACATAGTATCAAAGCACAATTCCCTCCTCTAATTAACAGTCATAAATCACATTCCCCAATTAGCTTGAAATGCAGACTTTCCCTCCAGTTCTTCAACCCGCCATTTCTTATCATCTTTTATTTCAAAAACCTTGGTTCTCACCCTAGTTACAGTACTGTTATGTCTAACTAAACTCCCTTGCACATTCCTTCCCCCCCCCCCAGTATCATCTAATTCTAACTCTAATTCTAAGAGTAAAACATAAGAAGGAAAATGGCTGCATCTCCACATGTTGTCAAAGCAAGAACATCCGATGTTTGCAGCACTGACATCTAAATTTCAACACTTTTTATGGCCTAAAACAGGGTTTCTCAATTTTGACAACTATAAGACGTGTGGACTTCAACTCCCAAAATTTCCCAGCAGGCATGCTGGGAGGTCAAGTTCATTACATCTTAAAGCATGCTGGCTGGGGAATTCTGGGAGTTGAAGTCCACAAATCAAAGTGGCCGAGGTTGAAAATACCCATCTAAACCTATACTGCTAATTTTAAATCAAAGAACTGTAAATCCTTGTCTACTGGTATTTTGCTCTTAATCCCACTCTTTGCCCACTTTTTTGGTGTAGTTGTGCTTTTTGAAAATTTATTATTTTTCTATAAAATGAGGAAAAAAAGAGAGCCAGTTTGGTGTAATGGTTAAGATGCTGGTTCAGAAACTAGGAGACCGGGAATTCTAGTTCCACCGTAGGCGTGAAAGCAAGACTACGTGACTTTGGGCCCTCTCCCTCAGCACAACCCACTTCACAGGATTGCTGTTGTTGTGGGGAAAATAAGAGGAAGAAGGTGTGTTGAATATGTTCATCGCCTTGAGTTATTGATTAAAATAATAAAGGTGGAGTAAAAATCTAATTAATTAAAAAAAAAAAACCAAGTCAAAAGACATTTGCCCTGGAACCCATTATCTAGGACGGAAGCCAGGATTTTAACAGGGGGAATCCAACTTTTAAGTCTTATTCCTGCTAGCCAGCTTACCTTAAGTAGCACGCGACACTGTTTGGGGAAGCTCAAATAATAAGGCACGATGGCACTGATGTGCTGGAGGACAGCCGTTGTTACTGAGGTTTGGGTTAAACACGACAGAAGCTGCAGAGAGAGAAAAAAAAGACAAAATTCCCCTTGATCTGGCTCCAAGACTGACCAGTTTCAAATCTCTTATATTCCCTTCTGCCCCCATCTCAAAGGTGCTTCTTCAAGAACATTTCGAAAAAGCACCTTTGGGATAACTATGACCTAGAATGACGGAGACTTGCCACAGACATCCCTTCTGCCTTGTTCAACTCTGGCAGAGGTGATCTGTGACAGGGGTCTTCAAACTTGGCCCTTTTAGGACTTGTGGACTTCAACGGGCTGAGGAATTCTGGGCGTTGAAGTCCACAAGTCCTAAAAAGGGCCAAGTTTGAAGACCCCTGACCGATGGTCTTGTAAATGTTGCCTTTCTGCAATTTCTACGAGTCGAAAGTCAAACTGTGGACCCGCTGAGGATTCTCTGTCTAGTGCTCTTTCCATAGAAACAGGAAGGAAAAAGCTGGGGGGGGGGTCCATGGTGTTCTCTGCAGATGTTGGTTTTCTTGCAGATGTTTCATTAGCAATAGCGATAGCGCTTAAGACTTATATACCGCTCCATAGTTCTTCACAACCTTCTCAGAGCTGTTTATAAATGTCAGCATATTTCCCCCAACAATCTGGGTCTTCCTCATTTTACCGACCTCGGAAGGATGGAAGGCTGATTCATCGAACTCCTGGCTGTGGGCAGAGTTAGCTTGCAGTACTGCATTCCAACCACTGTGTCACCACAGTGCGCTGATGGTGTTGCCTAGTTGGGTAGTGAAACGTCTGCAAGAAAACCACCCAGCTCAGAGAGCACCAAGGACTCCATAATCCTCCTCCTCCACTCTGAAAACTTCACTCTCTTCTAGCACTGAAGATGTTACCTAGCTGGGTAATGAAATGTCTGCAAGAAAACAACCCAGTCCAGAAAGCACCAAGGACCCCATAATCCTTTTCCTCCTCCTCCTCCACTCTGCAAACCCCACTCCCTTCTAGCACTGATGATGTTATCTAGTTGGGTAGTGAAACCTCTGCAAGAAACCCCACCAAGCTCGGGGAGCACCAGGCACCCCACAGTTCAATGCTGAGCTACAAATATTTTCTGGTATTAAAACAAAAAAATCTTCCCAAACCAGGAAGATGTGCCCAATAACCAAAACAATGGCCAAATTTGACCCTCTGTTACAAGGTGATTTAAACTCACCTGAATGGTGCAGCCCAAGTGCATTTTGATGTCCAATCGTAACTTGCCCCACAATGGGCTGGAGGAAGGCAAGACTATCCTAAAAGGATTAAGAGAGAGGTGATTTAGAAGAAAACAGGTGACTCAGAGGCTGACATTTTTCTAACTGATAGGAGACGACTGAATTTCAACTGGGCTGGCTGATGTTCAACCGGGGAAGCTTCTTGGGATTCAAAATTCAAGGCAGAATGTAAAATCTGGAGGGCACCACAGCATGCAGCTCTTTCCATCCAGAGAACATTCATTTATTATTTTACTTTGCAATCCACACAAACATGGGGAATGTATTTCCAGGCCTGCTGTTGTTCTGCCTTCACAACAGCCTGATTTTGCACAGGTGATCCTCGACTTACGACCGAGACAAGAATTTCCATTGCTAAGCAAGGTGGTGGTGGTGGTGGGGGGGTTAACCGAATTTTACAACCATTTTTTTGCCACAGTTGTTAAATGAATCACTGCAGTCGTTAAATGAATCCAGCTTCCCCCACTGACTTTGCTTGTTGGAAGCTGGCTGGGGAAGTTACAACTGGGGGATCCCGGGGTTGCCAAGTGCCCAAATTTTGATCATTTGACCGTGGGGATGTTGCCATTGTGATAAGTATGAGGACCTGTCAGTGGCATTGTTAAATTCAAATGGTCACTAAATGAATAGAGGACTAATAATAATAATAATATTGGAAGGGACCTTGGAGGTCTTCTAGTCCAACCCCGTTCAGGCAGGAAACCCTATCTCATTTCAGACAAATGGCTGTCCAGTCTCTCCTTTAAAAGTTCCAGTGTTGGAGCATTCACAACTTCTGGAGGCGGGTTGTTCCACTGGTTAATTGTTCTAACTAGCTGTATCTGTTTTATGGAGAGGGAACTGAGTCTAGAGGACACTCAAGTGACTAGGCCTTATCAATACACAACTAAAATGGGCAATCCGTTGAATTTAGCCAATCTGAGATTGTGTTGGCCTTTTGGCTAGTTATTATCCCAGCCTAGCCCTTCTTGGCCAACGTCAGCTGGGAGCTGAGATCACATGGAAAGCACAGCATATAAAAATACCTACCATTATTCAGACCCACCGAGGGCCCACGAGGCTACGCGGATCAGATAGCTGCAGACTGACCACCCACGTGCCAGCTAGAAAGGGATTAATTGTACCCTCTCTAACCAGCTGCTCGCCTTTGCTGCCCGAAAGTTCAGCGCTGACCCTGTCATCTATCCAATTTCCTAGATTTAGCTCTTTTGCAAATTAAGCCTTCAATTATTTTGGATCGGGTTTTGGCAACAGTGGAAATACACCACCAGATGGATCGTACCCTTTGTTTTGACACCAAAAGCCATTTGGTTGTCCTAGGGATAAGATTAAACTTATTTTATGCTCCTGCCCAGGTTACTGAACGGTAAAATGAGTTAACAATCCACCAACCTGGCCATAAAAAGAACTCAAATGAGCCAATTTAGCAGGTTGGATCGATAAAAGGTGCCGAGGCTTTAAATAAACTACAGCCCCAAATTTCTTTTGCTAAGCAAAACAGCTGTTAGGAGAGTTTTGATCCATTTTACGACCTGCTGATCCATTTTAACACTGCAGCTGTTAAATGAGTCACAGCTTTTCCCACTGACCTTGCTTCTAGGAAGATTGTAAAAGGGGGTCATGTCCATGACTCCCGGGGACACTGCACACCAACTGGCTTCTGATCTTGGGAAATGTCTATTTATGCAAACATTTCCGCTTTGGCTTTCGTTCTAGAGCTGCATCTTATCAATGGAACGGAACCCGCATTATATCATGATTACTTGGGAAGGATGATGGTTATGTGGTCCCAAACCAAGCCGGGGCTTTTTAGAATTTCAATCCTACTTTTGCAGTGTTTCGTTTGGACTATTTTACGATTCTTGCGGTTCCCCTCCTTCATTTCAAAAAGAACCATCTGAACAGACCAGCTTTGATTGCATAAACTGAACATTGTTTCATTTGATTCACTGTTTATTTCAGAAGTTTTTCTTAGGTGAGGTGGGTGATGTAAAGCTAGGACATGTGAATGAATAAAAAGATCCTGTGATGTCTAGCATGTTTTTAGGGCTTTAATATCTTTTTTTTTTTTTAGGAAGCTGGACACAGAATTATATTTTTCTAAATTAGTAGTTAAAAACCTATTCTGCTCAGGATGGATTTTTTAAAAAATGCCCATTAGGGATTGTAGGAATAGTCTTTTGCATGGTGGCAATTCCTAGATTGGAAGAATAAAAAGCAAATAAATGTCAATAACCCCCCCCCCAAATTAACTTACTTTGATTTATTTTTTGCAGGTTTCACCTGAAGCAATTTTTGCAGAAGAACAAAGAGGTCACGGACGCAGAAGGAGACAAGGGTGTTGAAGACTAAGCAGGAGATGGAAAAATAGAAATGTTTCATCAATGACTTTAGTAATCACGAGATGACTCTTATTTACATATAGCACCATGGCTGGCTGGGGAATTCTGGGAGTTGAAGTCCACTTGTCTTAAAGTTGCTGAGATTGAGAAATACCAATATACAGTGGTCCCTGACTCACAGACATTCATTTGGTGATCGTTTGAAGTTGCAACAGCATTGGAAAAGTTGACGTATGGCTATTTTTCACACGTATGACTTTTGCAGCGTCCCCCAGGGTCACGTGATCAAAATTCGGAAGGGGCAGTAAGTTAAGAACTACCTATCACTCAAAATAATAATGGGAGTTTTTCCTAATTCCCAGAATTCAGTTTGCTTGCTTTTGGTTTAATGTTTTTGTGAACACAATTGTTCTGGCTTGCAATTGACAGCATAGGACTTGGTGCCACCTAAGGGATCTTAATCTAAATAAATAAATGTGTCCAAACTCACAGTATAATCATCGAGGCCAGCTAAAGCAAACCAAGACTTAGGGCATAAGTATCAACTAAGATGGGAGTGTGTTTTTTTTCATCCTTTATTTTTGCAAAGCTCAGCTCTGGCAGATTTTACCTGTGCTGTCCGTGACTTTGAATTTGCCAGAATCCGGCCCGGCTGCTTCCCCTTTGGCGGTGATCACGCAGGCTTTAAAAGCTTGAGTGATTTCATGGAAGATCTTAGGAGAGAGTTTCTTCTATGTGGAATTAAAAAAAGAAGAATTATCTTATTATTTTTATTCTATTCTATTCTCTATTCTATTCATATCTGTAGTTAAAATGAGACAGAGAAAATCAATTTTCTTTGTTTTGGGCAAGACCTTCCATATTTAATCAGACTTATTTGCAGCTCCTAAAGAAATGTTGCTTTTTAAAAATTGTCTCTCTTACCTCTGCAACTTCCTTCCAGTGTTCCACCATTTTCAATGACACTGTGATAAAGTCCATTTTTTTCCGCTTAGCTGTTTTTTCTTCTTCTTCCTCCTCATCTTCATCATCAGTTGCTTCCTATCAAAGGTTGTTTAAAAAAAAAAAAAAGCAACCATTAGCCTGATATGGGTGACTTCCAGGGACAGTCACACAGTTTTCTTGGGAATAAAAAGAAATTGGTTTCTCTGATAATTTTATTTCTATAGTCCTGCAATATGACAGGAGATCAAAGCATTAACTAAGCCGGATTCTAATTGGCATCAGAGAGCTAGCAAGAGCAGTGAGGTGATTCCTGATGTTCAGATATACTGCAAATAAATTAATTACCTCTAATTTTTCAGGCAACACGTGATGGTTTTTCTCTTCATCAGAACTGTCAGAATCATCAAAATTGAGCAAAGTCTTGTCATTTTCTTCCAGAAACTTATAAAATTCCGGATCTCGTTCCTTTAGTCGAGAGAGCTGGTCTTTATGCTCCGAAGCATGACCTTTCTTTGTTTTCCTGCACAACAGAGAAGAGTTTAAGGAATTTAAGTTTATATATCTATATATCCAGCCAGGAAGTGTTTTTTTTTTTAAATGCTAATAAACCCTACAAATTTCAAAATGCTCTATCGTGGCATCTGCTTAGAAGAGAAACATTAGGGGTTTTTGTTTCCTAGAAAAAACGAACAAAAGTCCTGATTTTCAAAATTTTAATAGGAAAAAGTCAGCAAGGGAGTATATTTGGTTCCTGGGCGGTGGACTTTAAAGCAGTGTTACTCAACATTGTCAATTTTAAGAAGCGTGAAGCAATTCCCAGAATTCCTCAACCAGTAGGCTCCCAGTGACGCTCAAGGGTATGGCTGGCTTGCGTTTTTCTCTTCCCTTTCCAGTTGGCTTTCGTTCTGTGTTGTGTCCTTTTTGATTCTAACTTGAAAGCCAAAGGGCTGGCTGGGACCTTTTGGGAGTTGAAGTCCACCTATCTTAAACTTGGCAAGGTAGAGAAACATTGTTTGAGGAAACCCTTTCTCATTTTCTACAAGATGGAGGCAAGGCAAAATTAGTCTTGCATCCTCTCATCTAGCTTCCAAATTGAGAATCCTAGGCACAAAGTTTAAAAGTTATCTCTCTATCTATCTATCCATCCATCCATCCAATCATCCATCCACCCACCCATCCATCCATCCAATCATCCATCCGACCAATCATCCATCCATCTCTTTCCATCCATCCATCCATCCATCCGACCAATCATCCATCCATCCATCCATCCACTCACCCATCCATCCACCCACCCAATCATCCATCTGTCTTTTTCCATCCATCCATCCAATTATCCATCCATCCAATCATCCATTATCCATCTCTTCCCATCCACCCATCTCTTTCCATCCATCCATCATCATGAAAACTCACCTTTCCACTGGTATCAAAGTACATCCTGATTTTTTTTTGCTACCAAGTTCTGAAGGCAACATTTTTTTCTCATCTCCCTCAGAATTTGGAGTATCTTCTACCAAATCATCTTCCAAATCAGAATCAAATCCAGACGTTAAAAACTCATCCACGCTCAAGTCACCCAGTTTTTTGCTTCTGAAAAGAAAAGATTTTTTTTAAAAAAAATAAACAATATCTCTTTTGATTATAGATGGTCATGTTTAGAAAAGCCAATGCATTATGACATAATAAATGCTTCATCATCTGGCAAATATAATGGACCCTCATTTCCAAGTTGTTAATTTCACGCTAGTGACACTATTTCCAATCGTAGAGGCAAACGGAAAAGACCAATATACAAACACACAATGAAAATTTAACACACTGTTTTTGACATTGTTGCTTTAATTGTATGCCACTCTTTGTCTCTGGTCTTGGACTGTAATAAACCTGAATGAATTTGTATGCCAGCCAAAGTCACACCCATGAGATGGGCAGCTAGAGAGATTTAATAATAATTAAATTATTATGAAATAACTTCATAAACACAAGAAAATCAATTAAAGGCAAAAGCCCATCAAGAGACTCCCTGGATTATTTTAGAATGTACAACTTATCTATGATTATTTATAAATTATTTCTAATGATTTATTATTAGGAGACATTGTTACCCACTTGCTTCTCCTGAGTTTTGAATCCCTTTTAACTGCCAGAGCAAATAAACAAATGAAGATAACTCAAACAAATAAACAAATAAAAACAAATGAAATAACTCAAAAGAGATTTACACCCACTCCTCTCCAACCTCTCCTCAAACTGAATTCACCAAAAGTGCTTCAAAATTCTCGGGTCCACAAATTACAACAACAGGTTTTTTTTTTAAAAAAAATAGCATTTCTGCATTTTTTTAAAGCAGGGGCTTTCAAAACTGAACAGGAAAAGAGAAAAAACATAGAAAATAAGCCTTTGAGCCTTCAATTTTCAATTTTATCCAGTGTGACTAAAAATGAAAATGTGAGGGGAAAAAATCTTTCTGGTTTACCTGGAATTGTCCCCCAATATTAGAAGTCTGCCATCCTCCATGTTATATTTTTAAAAAATTCTAATTTATTTTTAAGAAATTCCAATTAATTTGCCTCAGAAGCTTCTGGAAAGATAAACCTGCTCCCAATTGAGCACCACCTGAGGTAAAATGCCCAGGTGTTGCTCATTGCTCATTACCTAACCGTTGCTCCCAAGCCAGCAAGTTAGGGTGAGATAAATTAGGTTGAAAGGGCTTAACTGTTATACCAGGTGTCTCCAAACATGGCCCTTTGATGACTTGTGGACTTCAACTCCCAGAATTCCTCAGCCAGCCTCCATTTTGTTTGTTAAGATTTAAGACAGGGGTCTTCAAACTTGGCCCTTTGATGACTTGTGGACTTCAACTCCCAGAATTCCTCAGCCAGCCTCCATTTTGTTTGTTAAGATTTAAGACAGGGGTCTTCAAACTTGGCCCTTTGATGACTTGTGGACTTCAACTCCCAGAATTCCTCAGCCAGCCTCCATTTTGTTCGTTAGATTTAAGACAGGGGTCTTCAAACTTGGCCCTTTGATGACTTGTGGACTTCAACTCCCAGAATTCCTCAGCCAGCCTCCATTTTGTTCGTTAAATTTAAGACAAGGGTTTTTAAACTTAGCCCTTTAATGACTTGTGGACTTCAACTCCCAGAATTCCTCAGCCAGCCTCCATTTTGTTCATTAGATTTAAGACAGGGGTTTTCAAACTTGGCCCTTTAATGACTTGTGGACTTCAACTCCCAGAATTCCTCAGCCAGCCTCCATTTTGTTCATTAGATATAAGACAGGGGTTTTCAAACTTGGCCCTTTAATGACTTGTGGACTTCAACTCCCAGAATTCCTCAGCCAGCCTCCATTTTGTTCGTTAGATTTAAGGCAGGGGTTTTCAAACTTGGCCCTTTAATGACTTGTGGACTTCAACTCCCAGAATTCCTCAGCCAGCCTCCATTTTGTTTGTTAGATTTAAGACAGGGGTCTTCAAACTTGACCCTTTGATGACTTGTAGACTTCAAATCCACGTGTGCCTGGCTGAGGAATTCTGGGAGTTGAAGTCCACAAGTCCTCAAAGGGCCACGTTTGAAGACCCCCTGCTACATTTGAGACCATCTCAAAAATTTTAAAAAGCCACCTCAACTCGAGCCTATCACCACCCCACTCCAAGTCTATCCTTTCCGATTAATTAATGGGGGAGAGTTTAATTAATTAATGGGGGAAGGTTTGGTTAATTCATGGGCAGTTTGTTTGCTCGCTGCCTTCCACGCCACGCCGGGTGTCCCCGGAGTCTGGAGTGTATTCCTTCACACGAGCACGCTATATACACGCGTCGGGTCGGACGCCTAGGCTTCCCACCTGGGGGACGAGGTAACATGGCACACCACGTGTTCCTCCAGGCCGGCACCAAACAATGCAATGCAACGCGCTATTTTTTCGGTTTGCAACAGAGTTGGGGCAGAATGCGCGTCAACCCAAGGAGGAAATTAACCCAATTCCCTATTCTCACGAGTTTGCGGGGCTGCACCCTCCCTCCCAATCCCGCAAGGGCTCCTACCCCACCCACCCACCCCCCAATTCTTGCGAGGACGCCCCACTTTGCCCGGGACCCGCTTGGCTTTGCAAGCGCCCTGACCTTTTGGCGGCGGTGGTAGCCATGCTACCGGAGCTTCTCTCCGCAGCTGCAACAACGTGGGAACTAGCACTTCCTCTCCCACAATGCAACTGAGTAGCGAGAAAAGGGGAAGCGCCGAGCCGAGCCGGCCGGATTGGCTTTAAGGTTCACTGGCGTGAGTGGAGGCGTTGCTTTCCGGCTGTAGCCGAGTGAAAATGACAGAATAACGGAGCTGGAAAGGGACCTTTAGAGGTCTTCTAGTCCAACCCCCTGGCCATCTCCTTTCAGACAGGTCCTTGTCCCACCTCTTCTTCAAAGCCTCCAGGGATGGGAGCATCCACAATGAGTGAAGGGGAGAGGAACGGTTTGCAGCCAAGTTTTGCAAGTTCGACTTTGCTCGGCAGGGCCCCGCGTTGCCAAACCCGTGTTTGCCGCTCGTCTGAATGAATACGTTGGGAATTAAACGATGTCCGCTTATCCTAGGGTAGGGTGGGGAAAGGCCGATTCCTCCTCTCCCCCCCCCCCGCCAGGGCCTTTTGCATTCTCTCTCGCCAACTTCCCGAGCCAGCGAGTTCGCTTAACTAGGGTTTGAGTCAAGCCGCGAAGGACCCGGGGTTGCACCTCCCGCCAGCTGTCAATCGCAACCCACCCGGGCGACGTTCCCATGAAACTCGCAGGTTAGGGAGTTGTGGGAAAGCGAGCTTGTCGCATGGGCTTTGCAAGAATGCACTCCCCCCCCCAAAGAGTACCCCGTGGCATTCTAGCCTTCGCGTGTGTTATCTCCGCAGATTGAAGACCCATTTTGCTTCGCAATGAAATCTTTGCTTTGCAATTATATCTTTGCAATGAAATCTTTGCAATGAAATCTTTGCAATGAAACCCTCGCTTTGCAATGAAATCTTCCTTTTCCGATCACGACCAGGATTATTCTAAGCGATGGGAGCCTGTCCCCAAACAGGGTTAAACCACAGCCTCCTCCTATGCAGGGACTGACATCACGGCCGAAGCGGGGCGAGAGAGCCCAGAGCCGGCCACCAGTTGCGAATTGCGGAGCGGGCGGCGACTTGACACACATCGATTCTCCCAACCTCCCCTGTATTATCGCTGGGTGAACGGAGGGGAGGGGGCAGACAGAGAAAGAGAGACGGGGGGGGAGGCCCAAAAAAAAAAAAGCAAAAGTGATTTGTCGTTTCGGAGCAGAGGAAGCGCCGGGCGCTGTTGAGAAGGGTGCAAGGAGAGAAATTGCCCCCCCCCCTGCCCAGGACCGTCCAGCAGAGCTGGGAAACGGATTGGATTTTACCCGGGAGAACTTTTCCAGCCCAATCCATCAATCTGGAGAACAAAGTGCCCGACCACGGAGGCCACCTTTGTTGCTTAGCCCTGGAGGGTCCCGCTGGGTGAGTCTTTTGCAAAGGGGGGGGGAGGACAATGCTGCAGCTTCTGGGCAGTCTGCACGGGGGGGGGAGGAGGAGGAAGAGGAGGGGGCTTCCTCCGGGGGTCGCGCGTACATGGGGTGATGCACAAGCCCCTTGTTGCGGGCAGGAAGAAAGCGCTTTTGTTGCAGACCCCCACCGCCTCCTTGCTCCGGGAGGGAGGCGATCAATCCCAGCCTACCCCCTCCCCAGCCTGAGCTTGATCCCCCCCCGGCCTGGGGGGGTCTCCCCCAGGCTTGCCCCCCCTCCCCCGGCGTTGCAAAGGATCCTCTGCATCAAGAGAAGACGGAGCCAAAACCGCCGTCTGCAGCCATCCATCACCGGGAGCCGGAGGGGGGGGTGTGGATGGGGAGAGGAAAAGCACCGCAGTGGGGGGGCGGGGGCGTGCTGGAGTATTTGCCCCACCGCAGATGGGGCAGGGGTGATGGGGGGGGGAAGGAGGGAGGCAAGGGGGGGGCTCGCTTGCGCGTTGCGGCTGAGAGCAGAGAGGCGCGCCGGCCTCCCTCCCGGCTGAGATGGGGGGGTCATTTAAGGTGACTTGCTCAGCGCCAGACGGACGCAGTCCCACCCGGCTGCCTCCACGACAGTCCCCCCCCCCGCGTCGTGCATCTTGCTGATTGTGCAAATGGGCGGGAGAGCCTGGGATGGGGGGGATGCGCGTGCAGAGAAGGGTGCAAAGAGCAAGGGATCTGCGCCGCGGCTATAAAAAAAGCATCCCATTGTTAATGTGATGATAAGAGATGGCAGCTCTGAGCAGTGGGTTTCCCACCGACCCTTCCCCCCCCCCCCCGTCTCCTGCCCTTCCTTAAATCTTTGTGCAAGTAGGGTTGGTCTCTCCTCTGTCCCCCCCCCCTTCCCCACACAAACAGACACAATATGTATTTTGTCTGTCCCCAAAAAATGGGAAAGGGGTGAGAGGAAGAGATAAGCAGGGGCGTGGGGAGGGGGACACCCAATAATGGACACTTTTTTGGATCAGCTTGAATTGGGGAGGGGGTGCGTTGAGGTGTGGGGTTTTTTTGCAGCCGACAGGCCAAACTAGGAAGCAGAGAGAGAGAGAGAGAGAGAGAGAGAGAGAGAGATGGGATGGAAATTAATTGGGGGAGGGGGGAGAGAAGCAAAGTGCTTCTGAATAAATCATGGCGCTTTATGGATTTGGGGTTTGACCTGGATTTTTATAGCTGCAGCTGCTTGCAAGGAGCAGAGGGAAGCTCAGCTAGGCTTGGCTAATATCCTGGCTCCTTTTGAGCTGGCCTTTTAAAGCATCTTGGTTGAAGGAAAGGAGACTGCAGGCGTCACTCCTGGCTCTTTAATGCAGCGGCGTCTTTTGCTTTTCCAAAATTGCTTTCGGAAATCGCTCCTTGCTGGGTTTGTAAGGCCCTCAAAACCTGACTTTTTTCTGCACGTAGGAGAGAGATTTGGCAAAGATCGGATGGCAGAATCCCCAAATATTGCAACGGCGTCCAGCGTTGATGTAAAGGAGAGCTCTTGCAACATCCCTGTTGGGTTTCTGCCTGAGTTCAGGAGCAGAGAGGGTTTCCGTTGGGCACCTGAGTGAGTTGCTGCTCACTCATCCGATTGCCTTTTTTCAGGTTTTTTCCCCATCCTGTCTCCAAGTAATGCAGGGGAATTACTTTGAAGAATTTGCTAAAGGAGTATTCACAGATAGCCTGGCTCTCAGCTAGCTTTTCTGTCCAACCTACGCTTAAAAAGTATAAAATATCCAATGTTTCAAGTGTTGATCGATCGGTTATGCCCAGGACAAAGATGGTAAGCTGAATGCTTAATCTCTAGAAATCTACCTAGGGTCTCAATCAGAGATCTGGACAACTGGAGACAATTTGTGGGGTCTTCTAAGTTAGACTGATTTTGTAGACTTTCCCCCCAGTCCTTGCTAGGATAACTGGTGCGCTATAATGTCACATGTCTGGAATGTTTCTGCTGGCAGATTCCCAATAAGGGAATCTAAATTATAAACTTCAGCAATGCAGTGTATCCAGGCAGATGCTCAGTTCAGAATTTCAGAACTGGGATCGCGTTGGAGGTCATCTAGTCCACCCCAGTCCTTCATTTGACTGAACTGATTGATGGTCATCTTAAAGCGAAAGAAAGACACCCAATAAAATAGAGACTGCTGGAGAATTTTCATGGCTGTAGCCCTGGGTCTTCAAACCTGGCTCGTTGATGACTTGTGGACTTCAACTCCCAGAATTCCTCAGCCAGCATGCACGTTTGAATTTTGATCATGTGGGATGCTGCAACGGTCATTTTAAGTGTGAAAAATGTGTTCCAATATTTATTCACCGATTCGCCTTGGCTTGGAACGTCTCCTGTTTGTTTTTGTGCAAATTTGTGGCTTATTGTAGCTTCATATTTGTGACTTCAATCACAACCTGCCCAGTCCTACACAATTACAGCTTAGAGTGATTTGCTGAGAGAACGGGGAAATAACTTTTTGTATGATGCAGAATATTGGGGAAGGGGCATCTGGTTCAATGGGAGCGCTGAGGTCAGGCGTGCGGTTGCTGAGTTGTGCTTTGCCACTGTGTCACAAACTCTGCCCCAAATGGGTGTGAGGCCAGCTTTGCAGCCCTTTGAAATGTCAGCTGGAACTTTTACAGCTGTTTTCAGAAGCTACCTGTATTAGCAACCAGATTAATCTCTGGGCTTTTGCGTCATGTTCCTTTTCACAACTTAAGCTATTTTTAGAGAAGCTGGAGGGCTACAAAGGAAAGGGGAGGAGGAGGAGGAGGAGGAAGAAGACTAGAACTTGCTCCCTTCAAAAATGAGACCAGAGCTTTTCCCAGCAGGCATCCTCGAAGAGATAACAATGGAAAGATCAGGGCAAACTTTGGCTAAGCGGAAATGCGAGGCTAGAAAAGATAACCTGCACAGAGAGTCCTTGGGTTATGTCCACAACCCAGCCCAACATTTCTGAGACATTGCTCTGTTTTGCGACTTTCTGTGCCACGGTTGTTAAATGAATCACTGCAGTTGATAAGTTGATAACCTGGTTGTTAAGCGAATCTGCCTTCCCCCATTGATTTGGTTTGTCAGAAGCTGGCTGGGAAGGTCACAAGTGGTGATCAGATGACTCCCGGAGAATGCAACCAGGTAAATACATGCCAGTTACCGAGAGCCGGAATTTCACTCCTGTGACCACGGGGATGCAGCAATGGCTGTAAGGGTGAGGACCACTTTGTTCAGTGCTGTTGTAATTTGGAGCTGTCGCTGAACGAATGGTTATAAGCCAAGGAATACCCCTAGGGCAGGGGTCCTCAACCTTGGCCACTTTAAGACTTGTGGACTTCAACTCCCAGAGTTCCTCAGCCAGCAAAGCTGCCGTAGGGTGAAGAAAGGAGTTCAGCACCTTGGAGAGCTGCCAAAGGCAGAGACGTTGCTCTCCTGAAACCCTGAATAAATTCTGCTATTCCCTGTTTTAACCTGCATGGGGATGTTCTGGCATAGTTGCGTGTGGCCTGGATGATTCTCGCTAGCCTTGAAGCCCAATCAGGAGCTCAGATGATCACCGAGACATTTGGGGCCTTCTTCCTAGAACGAAGCACAGGAGAAAGACGCTTATGAAGGCTGGCCTGGAATGGTTCTCTTAACTCAGGGATAGGCAACCTTGGCTCTTTTATGACTCGTCGACTTCAACTCCCAGAATTCCTGAGCCAGCCACACTGAGGGGAAAGGGAGAGGTTTCCAAGCTGAGCCATGCTGGCTCAGGAATTCTGGGAGCTGAAGTCCACGAGTCATAAAAGAGCCCAGGTTGCCTACCCCTGTCCTAACTCAAAGAGTTTGTGTGGATTGCACCAGGCTCTGGGAGACCCAATTATTGCGTCCTTGCATTCGGACAGCTGCAAGGAGGAGGGGGGGAGGCTGCAGTCTGCCTCCCTCCCATCCCAGGAATAATTATATCTCAAATTTCTCCCGCCACAGTCCTTTGCAAGCATTAATTATCCAGCCGGCTGTGTATGTTTGACGTCCCCCGCAATCCTGAAGACTGCAGACATTTTTGCACGATCCGTTGACAGTTGTGTGGGTGGCTCTCGAGAATTGTTTCCGCTCTTTTCCTCCTTTCCGATAAATATGGGAGTCCCCACTCCACGCCTTCCTGGCAGAAAGCTCCCACTTCTGCTATTTTGGGCTTAAACCCTGCACGGCCTGGCATCCGTCTGTCAATCAAGAGGCAGGGAAGGGAGACGGAGCATGGATTGAGGTGCTGATGCTTCTTTCCTTCCCGCTATGATGCGACGACCTGCTCTTGAGCAAATTCACGCCCTGCTTTTTGCCAGGATAAGCAAAAAAGAGATTCCTCTCCCTAGCTGGTTATTTTAAGCTGAATGGTGCCCCTTGCACTCAGTGGGGCACAGGGATTTGGGAAGGGTCCTGAGTCCTGGGCAGGATTGTGCCCCTGACTTAGTGCCAGGATGCAAGCATGGGTGGATCTAAAGCAAATCTGCTGGGTACTTTTTCATAATTTCTATTATTGGGGCAACTTGCTTCATGCACACCTTGTGTTTTTTTTTTCCCAGTTGAATACATCTATATACAGGTAGAACGTAGAATAATAGAGTTGAGAGGGACTTTGGAGGTCTTCTAGTCCAACCCTCTGCTCAAGCAGTACCAAGATGTGTATTCAGTAAAGTTTATCTTTCGTGGCATCTCAAAGCCGTAGAGTTTCCTCAATGTTGAATTCGCTATTCAGACGGTTGACAACCCAGATCTCCACTTCGCGATCTGCATGTTCGCTTCACAATTGCACTGGGGAAAACAGAGATGGGGGTTGTCATGCGGAATGCTTCGTGATATCCGACCACGATGGGCAAGACCCAGGATGATCGTAGGCCGAGGACTTAATTTGAATTTAATTTCCGCAGAGAGGCCGAAAGGGCATTGCCGCGAGCCAGGAGCGAGCCGGCTGCCGCCATGGAGAACGGGATGCAGCTCCTGAACCGGGACGGCCACAGCATCTCTCACAACTCCAAGCGGCACTATCACGACGCCTTCGTCTGCATGAACCGCATGCGGCAACGGGGCCTCCTGTGCGACATTGTGTTGCACGTGGCCACCAAAGAAATCAAGGCCCACAAGGTGGTGCTGGCCTCCTGCAGTCCTTACTTCCACGCCATGTTCACAAGCAAGTATCTGGGGCCGGGTGGGAGGACTCTCTTCTCCTGGTGGACAAGTTCCCGCCTATATCTAACCGAAATTCAGCTGCAGAGGTTTCTGGGGGCAGCCAGAAACCTCTGCAGTTCTGCATCTCTACTTGCATTTATTTAATTTGTCACGATTTATAGCCCACCTCTTCCCCAAGGACTGGGGTGGTGCAGTGGCTCAGTGGTTAAAACGCTGGGCTTGTTGGCTGGAAAGCCGTCAGCCCCGTTCAAGACCCGAGCGATACACGATGGAGTGAGCTCCTGTCCTCGCCTCAGCTCCTGAGAACAGTAGCCGTTTGAAAGCATGCGAATGCAAGTAGATAAATAGGTATCACTCTGGTGGGAAGGTAACAGCTGTCTGTGATGTCATGCTGGCCACACGATCGCGGAAATGTCTTCGGACAGCACTGGCTCAATGATCTTGGAATGGGGAAGAGCACAGCTCCCTTGAGCTGGCAACAACTAGTGCAGTAAAATCCACCAGGGAATGCTTTTTTACCTTCTCCACAAGATTAGATGTCTCTGACCTTGCCAGCTTTTTGCAAAGCTTCTTGTCCTATCTTCAGATGCTTTGGGGAATAGGTTGACCCTCTCCTTTTTGTGCTAGCCCCTCAAATATGGGAAGACCGCTATCAAGTCACCCCTAGTCGTTCTTTTCGCTAGACTAGACATACCTGGTTCCTCCTAAAATCCATACAGGTTTTTTTTTTTAAATCTGTTGGCGCAGATGAGATGAGTGAGAGCCGTCAGACGCACGTCACGCTTCATGATATTGATCCGCAGGCTCTGGAGCAACTGGTCCAGTATGCCTACACGGCTGAGATCGTGGTGGGAGAAGGGAACGTCCAGGTAAAACCTCGCAAGATCCTCCAAGGGATGTTCTTGGATCCATCCAGGAAGGATTCAGAGTGGGCCAACAACGCTTTTGGTGGGGGAAGAGCATTGTCAGACCTGCCCCAATCTGATCCCTTAGGAAAGAAAGATCCTTGACTCCATTGGGTTGAAGCGAAAGATTCTTTTACTAAGGATTGTTGGCTGCAGTAAAGTCAGGCTAGATCTGGGTTTCCCACACTCAAAAGATACAGAAAGGTTTCCCCTCATCCCAGCTCTCCCTCTGTGACCAGTCCATCTTCAGCCCAGTATAAGTTGTACACTGTGGCTTGTCTGTGGAACTCTTGGCCACAAGGATGCCGCCAGCAGCCTCTTTTTTTTCCAGACATTGCTTCCTGCAGCCAGCCTCCTGCAGCTGAACGGGGTGCGGGATGCCTGCTGCAAGTTCCTCTTGAGTCAGCTGGACCCCTCCAACTGCCTGGGCATCCGGGGTTTTGCAGACACCCACTCCTGCAGCGACCTCTTGAAATCGGCGCATAAGTACGTCTTGCAGCACTTTGTGGATGTCTCCAAGACGGAAGAATTTATGTTGCTGCCTCTCAAACAGGTGAGATGGGGGGAGGCATCCAGGTGGGGGTGAAAGGATGCTGAAGAACAGGGCTCCTGATACTCAGACCAGTCACGATATTAAATTATAGTGTGAGATAGGAGTTCCATTGCACACAGAGGTACGGGTGTATTTACTTGTGTTTTTATGCTGCAAAGCACCTAGGTGACTTGTAGTGGATTCTGGAGTTAAAGTTGGTCTCTCTGCGCTCTCCCCCTCAGAGAAGAAAAATACCCGTCTAAAGGAAAAGAATTAGCAGAGTGAGAGTGAGCGTTGCTCAGAATTGTCTTTATCCAAGCCAATTCCATTCTCTCGGGTGCAGGTTGACTCATTGTTCAGAATTACCTTTGTTCAAATCAATTCCATCTGCTCAGTTCCAGGTTGACCCATTGCTCGGAATCATCTTTATCCAAGCCAATTCCATTCTCTCGGAGGCAGGTTGACCCATTGTTCAGAATTGTCTTTGTTCAAATCAATTCCATCCGCTTGGATCCAGGTTGGCCCATTGCTCGGAATCGCCTTTATCTAAGCCAATTCTGTTTTCTTGAATCCAGGTTAACTATTGTTCAGAATTATCTTTATCCAAGCCAATTCCATCCTCTTGGGTCCAGCTGGACCAGCAGTTGTGAATTGTCTTTGTTCAAGTCAATCCTACCCATTCAGATCCAGGTTGGTATCCGTTGCACGGAACTGCCTTTATCCAAGCCAATTCTGTTCTCTCGGACCTAGGTTGACCTGTTGTTCAGAATTGTCTTTGTCCAACTGGATCCCACCCTCTCAGATCCTAACTTCCAAGTGTTCCTTTCCTTCCTCCTGCGGACAGGTCTTAGATCTCATCTCCAGCGACAGCCTCAACGTGCCTTCGGAAGAGGAAGTTTACCGAGCCGTCTTGAGTTGGGTGAAGCACGATGTGGACAGCAGGAAGCAGAATATTCCCCGAGTACGTGGCTTTCCAAGATAAACTGTAAGCATTTCTTGAAAAGATGGACGCTCTGGAAGTAACGTCGTGAGTCTCCCGGCTTCTCTTCAGTGAGCCATTAATACTTGTGATGGAGGGTCTTCCCTTCACGCTTACAAATACGTGCCACGTTTCTTGAAGGGTTCCCACCATCACCATTCCCCAAATATTGCATATATATATATATTACAGCTTGCAACACAGAAACTACGATCAAAACGCAGGTGGATTGGCTGGGACCCATGACGAGGTCAAGAAGCCGGGCGCAAAGAACGCCACATTTATAAATAGCTTCTCCCATCGACTGGAGACTACCCTGATGATGCTGGCAGATGCCAGCGAAAGCTTGGTTTTATTCTGGTTTTATTAAAACTTTTTATAGTTTTATAACTTCCTGATGTTCGTATATTTTATTGTTTAATATGAGTCTACCCATACATATATATATATATATATATATATATATATATAGAGAGAGAGAGAGAGAGAGAGAGAGAGAGAGAGATTGAAGGCTCTTTGACCAACAGAGAGGTTTTAGCTGTTCCCAGCCTGCTGCCCCAGAGACTGATCGTTCCTAGTTTGTCAGAGTGTGGGTCAGGCTGGCCGGGGATTAGGGGAGTTGTGATTCCCCCACCTAAGCTATCCTAGACGTAGGGCCCGGGAGAAGTTGAAAAGCGCACAAGTTGGGCACCTTTCTAATTCTCTCTGCTGATTCTTGCGTTGCAGCTGCGCTTCTTCGTGCTTCCCGAACCACAGAGCTGAAAGGGTCCCTAAAAGGTCATCTAGACAAACCCTCTCTCCACAGAGGGGCCTCTCCCCGTGGAGAAACTCACTTTCAATGAAGCAGAGTTGAGGTTAAAGCTGCTCTCCTCGTCCATAAGTTGTTTCTCTCCAGAATCCAACCCAAGAATCTTCCAGGGCAGACCCTTGGTGATCTTCCCCCCCCCTCCTGCCCCCCGCACGTGAGGCCTGATGTAGTCCCCTTCTGGGTTTTAATTCTTCCTCCTCTCCCCCCCCCTCCTTCCTTTCCAGCTCATGAAGTGCGTCCGTCTTCCCTTGCTCAGCCGGGATTTCCTGATGAGCAACGTGGACACCGAATTGCTGGTCCGCCATCACTCGGAGTGCAAAGACTTGCTTATCGAAGCCCTCAAGTACCACTTGATGCCCGAGCAGAGGGCAGTCCTGAGCAACAGCCGGACCCGTCCCCGGCGCTGCGAGGGGGCCAGCATGGTGCTCTTTGCTGTGGGTAAGGCCTGGGTGAAGGAGCAGAGCAGGAAAGAGGGAGGGGGGAAGGGGGAGGGGAGGAGGGAGGAAGGAGACAAGAGGGTAGGAAGAAAGGAAAAGAGATAGAGGGAGAAAGGGAAGGAAGGAAGAAGAGGAAGAGGGTACGAAGAAAAGGAAGAGGGTAGGAAGAAAAGGGAGGGAGAGAGGAAGGAAGGAAGGAGAAGGAAGAGGGTAGGAAGAAAGGAAAAGGTGAAGGGAGGGAAGGAGGGGAAAAGGAAGAGGAAGAGAGAGGAAGAAAGAAAAGGAGAGGAGGAAGGAAGAGGGGAGGAAGAAAAGAAAAGAGATGGAGGGAGGAAGGAGAGGAGGAAGAGGGTACGAAGGAAAGGAAAACAGGTAGAGGCAGGGAAGGAAGGAAGGAAGGAAGGAAGGAAGGAAGGAAGGAAGGAAGGAAGGAAGGATAGCCCTGGTATTTCTTAAAAAGTACCTTGTTGAAATTGCTGGCTGGGGAATTCTGGGAGTTGAAGTCCACATCGGTAAAAGTTGCCAAGTTTTGAGAAACATGGTTCTAGACATTGTGTGCATTGTTGAAAAACAGCTAGTGTGATGTACCTCCAGCAAATTTTCCCCAAGATGACAACTATGTTGAATCTGAATGAATCTGGCCCAATCTTAAGAAAAATTGTTGTGTTTCGCTCTCTCTCTCTCTCTCCCTCTCTCTCTCTCTCTCCCTTTCTCTCTCTCTCTCTCTCCCTTTCTCTCTCTCTCTCTTTCCCTCTCCCTCTCTCCCTCTTTCTCCCCTGCAGGCGGAGGGAGCCTTTTTGCCATCCATGGGGATTGCGAAGCCTACGACACACGGACCGACCGTTGGCACATGGTTGCCTCCATGTCCACCCGCCGGGCCAGGGTGGGGGTGGCGGCGATTGGAAACAAGCTCTATGCCGTGGGCGGGTAAGACCCTCCCTCCCTCCCCTTGATAGATAGATGATAGATAGATAGATAGATAGATAGATAGATAGATAGATGGATGGATGGATAGATGGACGGACGGACGGACAGATAGACAGACACAGACAGACGGATAGATAGATAGATAGATAGACAGACAGACAGACAGACAGATATGAAAGGTAGTAGATAGTAGGTAGATAGATAGATAGATAGATAGATAGATAGATAGATAGATAGATAGATAGATAGATAGATAGATAGATTAGACAGACAGACAGACAGACAGACAGACAGACACAAACATGGATGGATATATTTATCACCCCCATAGCAAACTGACCATCACTAGCGTACCACCTCTGAGCTTGATGAATAAAATCTACTCTCCTCCTAAAGACCTTTTTTTAGCCAGGGGCTGTCAGTAACTCTTGTGGCAGTGAGTTCCAGCGAACCCCCTTGAACTCCTGTGGAAAGACAAACTTATTTCTTTGGCTTTCCCTTAGTATCCTGCCTTAAAGGCCCGTTTCCCCCAAACATCTCTCCCTGTGGATTTGTTTTTCCCTCCCCCTCAGAAAAACGGGAGCAAGTCTTTGCCACAGCAGAGGGCAGCACTTGCTCAGCCTCAGAGGCTGAAGGCCTCCGGAGAACCAGCCGGCCTGAGATAAACGGCAAAGTCAAGGAAAAAAGCAAACAAAGCAGACCAAAAAGCAAACAAAGCCGAAGCAAGCCAGGTCAAAAGGCCACCAAGAGAACTGGGCTCAAGATGATGCCACCAAGAGTTGGCCATGACTTGTTGAGGACATTGTGTTTTTTTTACAGGGGAAAGATCTGCAGCCTTCTAATTTTCGTTAGCCTTTCCTAATTCTCTTCCAAAGCTTTGCTTCCTTCTTTTTTTTAAAAAAAAAAATGGTTCTCTCTCTGTCCAGCTATGATGGAACATCTGACTTGGCCACCGTTGAGTCCTACGATCCCGTCACCAACTCGTGGCAGACGGAGGTCTCCATGGGGACCAGACGGAGCTGCCTTGGGGTGGCGGCCTTGCATGGACTCCTCTACGCGGCTGGAGGCTACGATGGCGCGTCCTGTCTAAACAGGTAAAAGGTCCTTCAAAGTGCAGAAGGCTTCCCACGTCCCACTGACGCTCTTACATCTTCTTCTCCAAAACGACCCTCGTCAAAACACCACCCGGGTGAATTTCTCATTTGTCGTGGAACCAGGATGGTTGTTAAGTCACCATCCATGTCGCCTGGATCATCATATACATAAAAGGGAGAAAAGACCACCTGGCATAGACCCCCTCCCTACTCCAGGGGTCTTCAAACTTGACCCTTTGATGGCTTGTGGACTTCAACTCCCAGAATTCTTCAGCCAGACTTGCTGGCTAAGGAATTCTGGGAGTTGAAGTCCACAAGTCACCAAAGGGCCAAGTTTGAAGACCCCTGCCCTACTTCCATTTTACCGCATACTGAAGATTCTTCCTCTTGATATTTGAAGGAGTATTTTATTATATGGCGCCCTAAGAATTTGTGTAGATCTTTGGGAATGGTTTTTTTACCTGGTTCTGCGTTGGATTCCTCTTTTTAGTTCTGTTTTTTCTCCTTAGCTGAGAAATTCCTAATTTGAAGGGCACGTGGATGAGAGGCACGTGTAAGGTTAGCTTTCATGACTCAACATTTCTTCCCGCTTTCCTTTTCTTGCTAAAAGCCCCTGAGTTCTGAAAGCAAAACAAATTCATCAGGTTAAGAGAACAGGGAGAAAAAAAAATAAACAAAGTTCTGCTTTCAAACAAGTCGTGGATCTTTCGGCATCTCGTGAGCTGGACCCAGCTGCCTCGCCCCAAATCATCCGTAATCGTTCTTAATCTTTTTTGCCTTTTGAGTTGTTTTGCTCCCGAGAGTTATTGATTATTGATTTCTCTTGATATGTCCCAGTGCTGAGAGATACGACCCCCTCACGGGGACCTGGACTAGCATCACCGCTATGAGCACGAGGAGGAGATACGTCCGCGTGGCAACCTTAGGTAAGGCCGGCTTTTCCTAACAGAGCTGCTCTTTTAAGGATGCGAGGGGTTGCGGCATTCTTAGGGCCTGGGAACCAGAATGGATACCGGTCGTCCTCCACTTGCGACAGTTAATTTAGTGTCCATTTGAACTCGCAACGGCACTGGAAAAAGTGGCTTAGGACCTATGGCCATGGCAGCATCCCCACGTGGCCACGTGCTCAAAATTCGGACGCAGGGTGTGGCTTCCCTTAACGACCACTATGTTCGCTTAATGGCTGTGAAAAGGGTGGGGAAAACACATGGGTGCCTCAACTTACAACCAGGATGACTTACGACTGGATTTCCAGTCTCAGTCCCAATTTTGATTATAACTCAAGGTGCTCTGGGGTGCTTGGTTACAAGTGGCTTTTTCTTCCTCCTCCCCTCCTCCTTCTTCTTCTCCATCAAAGATGGCAACCTCTATGCTGTTGGAGGATACGACAGTTCGTCGCACTTGGCAACCGTGGAGAAGTATGAACCCCAGGTAAAGGGGGTGGGTGGAAGGCAAAGCATGGGCCAGATTCTCACGCTTCCTCTCCTGCTTGGATGGCATGACCACCAAGGGAGAGATGGAGAGTTCTGAATAGAATGGAGATCCAGGTGGTCCTCAACTTACGATTATTCATTTAGTGGCCATTTGTAGTTACAATGACTTACAGCCAGTTCCCATACTTACAACCACTTCAGGACTCCCCTGGTCATGTGGTCGGGTGTCCGGTGCTTGGGAATGGGTGTGTATTTCTGATGGTAGCAACATTGATGTAGGAGGAGGATCTGAGGTAGGAGTTAAAAGAGGCACCAGCGTAGAATCCCTACGTAGCCACAAGTGAACTAAGCCCCACCTTTCTTGAATCCCGTTGACCCTTTCCTGAGTCCTAGCAGACACTAATGTTAATTGAGGAGATTACTGCGCCTAAGGATAATTAGCAAAGAAATCAGTTTAATTAGACCTTTAAGGGTGGACCTGATCTTTTGTGCCTGACAGTCCTGGATCACCATTGGCAAAGCCAATGGGGAAAACCGGATTTGCTTAATGGCCGTGTGATTCGCTTAAGGATTGCTGTGATTTGCTTAACAACCTTAACAAAAACATGATAAAATCAGGCACAACGCACATTAAATGTCTTGTTTAGCAACCGGGACCAGTGAGATACTTATTTCTGTTCTTTGCTTAATATCTGTTCTCTTTTTGGCTTGCTTTTTAATAATAATAATATCTGCAAGAAATATCATTTGCAAGAACTGGTGGGATCATAAAATAGAGAAAGTCATAGAAAATGATAGAATTAAACTGCTTTGGGACTTCAGAATTCAAACAGACAAGCACCTGCAACATAACGCCCGGGACTTAACAGTTGTCAATAAGAAAGACAAAAAAGTCTGGACAGTGGATGCGGCAGTGCCTGGAGACAGCAGAATAGACGAGAAAGAACTGGAGAAGATCACAAAATACAAAGACATAGAAATAGAAAGACTGTGGCAAAAGCAAGCAAGGGTAGTATCAGTATTAATAGGCTCCTTGGGTGCAATCCCAAAACAACTGGAGCACCACTTGAACACCATTGGCATTGACAAATTCGCTGTTAGTCAATTGCAAAAGGCGGCCTTACTAGGAATTGCTTCCATCCTGCGACAAGATCTGTAATACCATCAAACATCCACATCTGCCTATCCCAGGTCCTGGGTAAGGACTTGATAGGTAGACAAAATGCCAAATCCAGTCTGAACATCTGGCTGACTGCGATGATCCATAATAATAATAATATTAATACATATTTTTGTACATTATTTTTTAACCATACTGAACGCTGCTCAGAGTCACATTTTTGTGATATGTGTGACCATATAAATTTGATGAATGAATGGGTGAGTGAATGGATCATCAGATACGTCTCTTACGACTCTTAAAAAGGGGAGAGGATTTTTTTTTGAAGCTGAATTTTTTTTGGGAAGCTGAGCGTTAATTATTATTTTTTTAAACTCTCCTTTGTCTCTTCTCTGCCAGATCAACACCTGGACACCAATTGCCAATATGCTGAGCCGTCGGAGTAGTGCAGGCGTGGCAGTCCTGGAAGGGATGTTGTATGTGGCCGGAGGGAACGATGGGACCAGCTGCCTTAACTCGGTGGAGCGCTACAATCCCAAAACCAACACATGGGAAAGTGTGGCCCCCATGAACATCCGGAGGTAGGGAGCAGCAGCCTAAACAACATGGCCTCCCAACCGTTGGGTTATCTCTGCTTCCCACCAAATCTGGCCCTCTCGAATGTTGAAAGCGAGATCTCAAAACCTCAAGCAGAAGTGAGTCAGGAAACAAAGATAATTTTTTTTTGCAGATTCCTAGTATGCAGGATGGCTGCAAGCGGTCTATTCTGGCTAGTGATCTAGTGGTGGCCTTTTGCATTGGCCTGTTACAACTGGCTGTAATTTTAATAATGCCACAGAGAGTATAAATGGAGCCAGGGAGAAACATCCTTGCTTCGTTGAGGCGAGAACAGAAGAAAATCAAGATTCTGCTCCAAACACATCTAAATCTAGAAACACACACACCTCCGAGCTAGTTTGGTGTAGTGGTTAAGATGCTGGCCTAGAAACTGGAGACGGTGAGTTCCAGTCCTGCCTTATCTGTGAAAGTCAGCGGGGAGACTTTGGGCCCATCACCAGGAGACGGTGAATTCTAGTCCCACTAGTGGGGAAATTGGGAAGAGGAAAGTCTATTGGATGTGTTCACCACCTTGAGTTCTTTGTAAAACCAATAAAGGCTGGACACAAATATTTATTTATTTATGAGACTTATATACCGCTTTAAGTGCAAGCACTCTCTAAGCAGTGTACACCAGTAAGCAATGTATATATATATTTACATTGCCCCCAACAATCTGGGTCCTCATTTTACCTACCCCGGAAGGATGGAAGGCTGAGTCAACCTTGAGCCGGTGAGATTTGAACCGCTGACCTGCTGAACACAGTCAGCTAAAGTGGCCTGCAGTACTACACTCTGCTGCGCCAGAAATATTAGAAAGATACAAAGGATGGGCGTGATGGCATCTGACCGTTTCCAAAATTGTGAGGAAAAGCATTTGAGATTCTAAACAACCAATCCATGGGATAGTTTGATAGCTCTAAAGAAAAAGCTGAGATAGGAAGAAGGGAGATTATGGTGGAGTCTGAAGCCACTTCCACTCCAGTCATTTTAAGTGAGTCCTGTAGGGTTAAGATGTCTCTGTATAATAGCAGTAGCAACAGCACTCAGACTGATGTACCACTTCACAGTGCTTTACAGCCCTCTCTAAGCGGTTTACAGAGTCAGCATATTGCCCCACAACAATCTGGGTCCTCATTTTACCAACCTCGGAAGGATCTGAGTCAACCTTGAACCGGTCTGGATCGAACTGCCAAACTGCAGGCAGTCAGCAGAAGTAGCCTGCAGTACTGCATTCTAACCACTGCGCCACCGAGGCTGTTCAGTTCCAGCTCCTGGAGTTTAGCCACAGCCAGATGCTCTCCTACTTGAGGGAATTCCAGCTCTCTTCTTCTGCTTTCTTCTTTTTAGGAGCACCCACGACTTGGTGGCCATGGAAGGCTGGCTCTACGCCGTGGGCGGGAACGACGGCAGCTCCAGCCTCAACTCCATCGAGAAGTACAACCCGCGGACGAACAAGTGGGTGGCGGCCTCGTGCATGTTCACCCGGCGCAGCAGCGTGGGAGTGGCGGTGCTGGAACTCCTCAACTTCCCGCCCCCATCCTCGCCCACCCTCTCGGTATCCTCGACGAGTCTTTGACGAAGGACCCTCCCGCTCCCCGCCTCGCCCGGACTGCAGCATCTGTCGGAGCGCGAAGCCGGCTTGGTCAGGCCCCTCCGGAAGCCGATCTCTGTGACAGGGGTGCTGCACCCAGAGAGATTTTCCCTGGGGCCCATTTTCGGCTCAGCTCCAAAAGGGGAAGCTCCTTAAAAAAGACCTAATAGAGAAGAAGACAACCGAAAGGGAGAATTCTCCACGTGTCCATTGTTGATCCCCTCATAACTCGACCGATGTTGCCTGGTTCTTGTAGACCAGACTCAACGGCCTTTGAGCTCCACGGTTTGGACGTAGATCGCTGGATCCATCTCATGCAAGGGACTGAGATTGGTAAGGGCAAAGGTCAAGCTACAAGCGACGCCACCAACCACGGAGTTATTGGCATAGGCTGGGCCGACTGCAGCGTCTAAGCTGTGAACATCACAATTAGCCAATAACTTCTTACCAAACTTCACAGTGGAAGGTGTGCAGTCGAAGGAGGCCTCTCACCCCGGTGTCTAGCGAAAGGATGCCTTAACACAAAAACAGGGCTGTTCTCCACGTCGGTCGCCTCTGTTGGGCAGGCCACCAAATCAGATATCTTCCCAGTATCTTTTCCGGCATGTGTCTGGAGCTGTCTCCATGGGGTTGCTTCTTAGCTCTTCGTCTGAACTGGGAAGAACTGGGTCAAAGCTGTTGGTGATTGGAGGAGTCTACCATATAGGCAGTGTGAAGTGGATTTCACAGTTCGATGTGTGCCAAGTAGCCCTTCCTTCGTTGCTCACCTTGGGTTCCCCGGCTCGCGTTGGGAGTGCTGACAATGATGAGAGCCTTTATCATTTATTTATTAACCTTTGCCAGCCAATCTGCTACCTTCCTGCCTGCCTTCTCCCTATTTATTTACTTATTTATTCTTTAAAGTGGAGGGTTGGCAGGGCAGAAAACGGCAGAGAGAGGCACTTTGTTCATCTCCCCCGTGCCAAAACTGTGGGTGCAATCTACTGAAGTGAAACTCCCGTGTGTGAAAAATATCCTTGTGGATTAACCAAGCGTGGCCTAATCACAGCCTTCCTTTTGAATGGACCAATTCAGCATTGTGCATCCCATCTTTGTAGCACCGCATCAGGTCAGACTTCTGTTCCAGAGCCTTGTCCAACAATTTCCTGTCTAAAAAAAAAAATTGCCTGATTTCATGAGTATTATCCTGCCACGCTCGTTCCTTCAAGGGAGTGTGTGAAACTACGTAGTATTGCTGCATTGTGTGGATTTTGTTCTCAAAAGCACTAAGAAGGGCAACGGGGTGGCGCTTAATTTGGGGAGAAGCTTTAGAAAGCAAAAAAATGCACTGGGTTTGTGGACTGGCCTTGAAAAGGCTCCAGTTGTTCAACTGATCCCTCACTTTGATGGGGTTTGGACCACAAAGCCCAGCTTGGATGCCAGTTAGTCTGTCTTGAAAAAACTGGGTGGGGAGAGACAGGAAAGGAAGTTGCTTGAAGATAGATCCCACTGTGTGTAGATGACCGCTTTGTCTTTGCCATCGGGTGCAAAAATGAGAATTTTGTGGGAGCGAATATGACATGGAGGCTCCCGCTAGTCAACCGATGCTTCTCGTTGATTTTAATTCTACCAGTTACCACTTTGCTGCTTCTGTTTTTGGTTTCATATGTTTGTGTGTTGGTTTATTTATTTTGTCACGAGTTTCACTGTGGCAGTCCAGTTTGCATCGATGCTGGATGGGGATGGGGCAAGTTGAACTGGACACCCAACTCACAAGTTTTGGATATTCTTCATTAGAATCTACTTCAAATTGGCCCCAGGTTTTGGGGGTCCTGGGTCAGAAGTGGGGTTCATGTATCAAGCCACGATTAAACATGTCCTATGACTGGTCCGCAAGATCTGCTTTACAAACCACAATCGGTGAGCTTCCATAGCTGGCTAAGCCAAAATCAAAGAGACTGTCTAATGCTTGGTGCCATATTTTGTTAGCAAACCACAGTTATGGGTCCACCTCTTCAATTCTCCAGCCAACATGTCCGCGGCTGGGAATTCTGGGCGTTGAAGTCCACCCATCCTAGAGTTCATAAGCCATGATTTGAAAAAAAAAAAAGTGTGGTCTGCCATCAAGGGTGCATCCAAAGATCATCTTTGTTGGGCTTACCTGTATCCCTGATTTGGATTTAAAAGCATCGTGGCTCGGCTTTGAAGGTGTTTTTTTGCAAAACGACGTTTCCAACAAGCGTTTCTGTAAACCTGCATTCCTTCGCTTGTCTGGCATTGTGCTCAGCCTTCCACCCAGAAACATACTTTTGCAAAACCCGTGTGCTGTAATAGGGTGGGAACTCTATATCAAGGTTTAATCCGCTGCATTCATTTGGGGAGATTTGTTTTCACGGTGTTTTGGGTTTTTTTTATAAGTGCCTTCACTTTTTTTTTAGGATCCCTCAGTGGGGCAGGTTATCTGTGGGGAGTAAAGGCTGTGAGGCCTTCTCATCTGTTTGCGCCCGAGTGGGGTAGAAAATGTTTACATCAGAAGATGTTGATAAAATTCCTTTAAGCCAGGGGTCTTCAAACTTGGCTCTTTTATGACTTGTGGACTTCAACTCCCAGAATTCCTCAGCCATCCTGTGGGAACTATGACCCTTTTATGACTTGTGGACTTCAACTCTCAGAATTCTTCAGCCAGACTTGCTGGCTGAGGAATTCTGGGAGTTGAAGTCCACAAGTCACAAAAGGGCCAAGTTTGAAGACCCCTGCTTTACTATTACAGCAGTCTTGGGTCACTTTTAAGACATGTGGACCTCAACTCCCAGAAATCATAGCTGGCTGGAGAATTCTGGGAGTTGGAAGTCCACACGTCTTAAAGTAGCCCTGGCTGAGAAACACTGTCCGTTAGCCAAAATACGCTTCAGCCGAAAAGCTAGGACTGTGTCCAAGCAATATCCATTTTAAAGCTCTTTCTGGTCCACAAATCGGATATTCCCAAATTATCCTAGTTAACAAAGGCCAGAGATTTTTGCCCTCCTGTGATTTATCCGTAGATACCTGCCTTTTCCCAAGCAGCCTCTGAATTCTTGAAAAGGGACAATTGAAGCATCACCAGCCAGATGAAGTCCTCCAGGTCCCTAATATGAAAATAATAGAAGTTGAAGGAAAAACCTTGTTTGGGTGGGTCCCCAGGAGAGTCTTTGTTTTGGGGAGAAGATGATGTGCAGAGAACATCCTTATGTAGGAATCGTTTTGCTCATGGAGATGGGAAGGGACAAAAACAAAAGGGATCTCCGAACTTGACAACTTTAAAACTTGTGGACGTCAACTCCTAGAACTCCCCAGCCAGAATGAATCAGCTGAGGAATTCTGGGAGTTGAAGTCCACAAGTCTTAAAAGTTGCCAAGTCTGGAGAGCCTTGGACCAAGAGATTAGTTCTTGGCAACTTTTTTGCTACAGGCTTTCCTTGGCATCTTTGCCAATCGGAAGAGAGATGCTGGTTCAACGTAAAATTGGAAAGCAAGCAAAGATGGTGGGCTTTGCAGCGATGGAGGAAAGAAGAAGGAATTGCTAGTGGTTGTTCTGGTTGAAGCCTTTTTCACTCACTTCCTTGCTTTCCCCCTCCCTTACTTTAATTCAAAACTAGCTCAGCCTGCTTTCAAATTCCCCTCTGAATTACATTATGTTACATGTAGTCCTCTGCTTACGACTATAACTGACCCTGGTCGTCAAGCAGGTCACCATGCAGTCATGACTGATTTTACTACCTTTTTTTGCAGCAGTCTCACTTCTACCAGTTTTATTATTTTTTGCTGGAAATCGGAAGGAAACAGTGGAAACTGCCAAAAAAACCCCACCAAAAATGATAGTAGTAGTAGTAAAGTTGGAAGGGACCTTGGAGGTCATCTAGTCCAACCCCCTGCTCAGGCAGGAAACCCTACACCATTTCGGACAAATGGCTGTCCAGTCTCTTCTTAAAAACTTCCAGTGTTGGAGCATTTACTGCTTCTGGAGGCAGGCTGTTCCACTGATTAATTGTTCTCACTGTCAGGAAGTTTCTCCTCAGTTCTAGGTTTCTTCTCTCCTTGATTAGTTTCCACCCGTTTCTGGGTAAGATGATTGTGGGATGCTGCGAACGGTCAAAAATGTGAGCCAATTGCCAAGCACGGAAGGAAGGAAGGAAGGAAGGAAGGAAGGAAGGAAGGAAGGAAGGAAGGAAGGAAGGAAGGAAGGAAGGAAAAGAAAGAAATAAAAGAAAGAAGGAAGGAATCCTATCTTCCTTGTTGCCCCAATGTTCCTGTTGAAGTACAAACTCTGATCTATCCATGGTGCAAAATCCCCAGCTTGTTCACCCTCGGTTGAAGATGCCTTGGGGAGCGTGTGTGTGTGTATGTGTGTTAATTTATCTGTATATATACATCGGATTTATTTATGTGCTATTCAATGTCCACTTTATTTTGTGTTTCTCAATTTTTGCACTAAAACAAAGGGGTGGGTGGGAAATACAAGCAATACAAGCCAGTGTGTAAAATAAAAAATAAAATAAATTTTTCTTGACTCTCTGACTCATTCTCAGTTTTTTTGTGTGTGTTTTTTTTTTTAAACCTGCCCCAAGTTTGACTCTAGAGAGGTTACTGTAAAGGTAACAGCTTCCAGCCAACGGGACTCGGTCCAAAATGGGATTAGAGACGCGGATGACTTTCAAACATGCATGCATGCCAGGTATGTCTCTCTGTTCGGAATGGGAAGCACGGATTTGTGACCTTAGCTAATTCCGAACGTTTTCGTTACTTGAGGTTTTTCGAAGCAAGACACGGACGGGCTCGGCGTGATTCAGAAACTTGCATTCAAGTTTCTACTGGAAGATTCACACGTGGAGGGGAAAGGTTGATGCAAATCATGCTGGAAAATGTATCTGGGATCGGCTAACAGAATTCTTTTTTCCACCTGCTCTACATCGCTCGGCCTCAAGCGTCTATAAATAACCGTCAGTTGTATAAAGGGGGTGCAGAGAGCCTGCTGGCTAACGGAGCCCTTTTTAAACAGACCCAGAAACAGAAAGTGGGTTTCAGAAGAGGGTCAAAGGTCAGGGCTAATATTCTGGGGGACCGTGCAGAATTTCCACCGTGGGAAAATGGGCTACATGCTTCTTTTTTCCCCTTCCCTCCCCCCCAAAGGGAATCCAGAACATTCCCAGTTTCAGCGCCAGCTCTCTTGGCATGAATTTTGATGCCGTTTGCAGAAGTTCAAAGCAAACCATGAAACAGGGTGTGATAAAATGTAAAATGTTGTAATCATTTTGGCATCCTTCCTCCCCTTCTCTTAAACTCATGTTTGCTGGGTGGAGGACAAAAAGATCAATTAGATAGATAGATTGGATGGATGGATGGATGGATGGACTGACGGACAGATAGATACGATGGATAGATCTATCATCCCTTTGTCTATGTGTCTATCTATCATCCCTCCGTCTACGTCTATCTATCTATCATCTATCTATCTATCTATCTGTCATCCCTCCGTCTATGTCTATATCTATCTATCTATCTATCATCCCTCCGTGTCTATCCGTCTAATCTATCACTGTTCCGTTGTGTCCAATTCTCAGAGACCCACACGTCCCACCAATTTTCTTGGCAAGGTTTTTCAGAAGTAGTTTGCCATTGCCTTCTTCCTAGGGATGAGACACAGTCACCCAGCAGGCTTCATGCCCTAGGCGGAACTAGAATTCCCAATCTCCCAGCTTCTAGCCTGACACCTTAACTATGACATGGCTCTCAACTATATATTAGCACCTCTTTAGTAACCTTTTATTTTCTACTCTGCAAGAATTTCTTTTGAAGCGACATGTTGTCTCCAACTATCGCTGCAATCCTGTGGCCAGGAGTTCCACAGACCAGTTTGCAACTCATACACTTCTCTCTTGTTTAAAGTTGACTCTGGTTAGGGAGCAGCTATCTGTACGTCATTCTGGATTGAGAATGAATTGATTCTAACAAGTGAGGTATGAATCTGATACAAATTCAGTCTCCGGTGTGAAAAATTGCCAATGGATTATTTTTTGGGGTTCTCACCACTTAGCACATCATAAGGGTGTTGGTGGTGAATTAATATAGGTAGACATAGTGTCTTCCTTAACACTAGTGGGTCAGTCAAACACACTTCCGTTTTTGTTGGTTCATTCTTTTCAAATCCTTTGGAAGAACATTCTTCTTAGCACAAAGGAAAGGAAATTTGGGTGGGCAATGCCCACATTGGCACTAATTTTAGGAAAGGAGAGAGAGAGAGAACAGAGATGAACCCCAAATTTGGAACACAGTCTGAGAGTGATTGACACGGATCGTGAGCTCATTTTTCTGCCCACTCCCAGGCAGTATAAATACCATCTTGCATTTGGAAAAGCGAGGGAAGAAAACCCTTCATAGGAAACTATCATGGTTCTTAAAATTAAAAAGGTTCCCAACTTTAAACCGATTGGAGTAGAGCAGTGTTTCTCAGTTTTGGCGTTGTATGGACTTCAACTCCCAGAAGTCTCCAACAAACCATGATTTGGATCAGTTTAGCCTTAGAGGAAGCAACTTTTGGGAGGTAGGATGAAGGCTTCGCTTGTCTGCAGGTTGTCCGATCAAGGAAGGAATGGAATATATATATATATATATATATATATATATATATATATATATATATATATATATATATATATAACTGGAATTGGAATTCCAGAAGGGTTATCATTATTGTTCTGCATTTCTGCTGACCTTTCCTTTCCTCTATCACAGTGGTTCTCAACCTGTGGGTCGGAACCCCATTTGGGGTCGAACGACCATTTCACGGGGGTCGCCAAACAACGCAGTCCGCCATTTTTTTCCCCCTTTTCCTTAGCTGTGCTCCTCCCTTTTATTCTATTGGCTTTTGAAAGCCAATAGAATGGACTCTCTTGAATAGAGTCTAATTCTATTGGCTTTCGAAAGCCAATAGGAATTGTCCAGGCTGTCTTTGCCCTGCCGAGCCTGCCAAAAGTCCCATTCTGCAAACCGTGCTGCACCAGTTGAGTAGTCCTCGACTTACGACCGGTTGAGTAGTCCTCGACTTACGACCGGTTGAGTAGTCCTCGACTTACAACCGGTTGGGGGTCGCGGCATTAGAAAGGTTAAGAACCACTGCTCTATCGTCCATTTTTCCTTCCTTCTCTATTTCCTTCCTTCCTTCCTCTCTTTTTTCTTTTCTTTTCCTTTCCTTTCCTTTCTTTCTTTTATATCCCTTCCCTTCTGGGCTTCCTATTCTTAAAGAAGTATTCTGAGAGGCAGGGTGTTGAGTGTGCAGAAGACACCACACAGACAGATGGCCTCCTTGCACATCTGGAACCCCCACCAAACTGTCCCAGCATCTGGGAGTGCTCAATTTGAAAGTTGGTTTCTTCCTCCCACATTTCATTCCAAAACTGCAAACCATAAAGTCTTCTTCCATGCCTGGCTTTTGATTTCATGAACCCATCTGTGTCATTTTTTATTTTATTTTTTTTTGGCAAGGGGATAAAAAGCGGTTTGGGATTCCTTGACTGCTGGGATTCCTCCCCCCTCCCCAGCTTTATGGATAGGATCTCCTGGTGGTCTCCTTTTTAAAGGCGAGACAAGCCCAACCCGCTCGTCAAGTAACTGCAGAAATGTTTATTTATTTATGTATTTATTTGTAAAATGTACTAGCTGCCCATCTTACCACACAATAACTCAACCATGACCTGCAACAACTCTAGGGTCTTTTTGATATTTTCAGGATAGTATCCCAAAGTGAGAATCATAAAAAAAAAAAATTAGGCACAATGCTGCATACTACTTAACCATGGCTCGGTATAGATGCCAAACCTAAGATCACACTTAGAGTACTGCATCCAATTTTGATTGCCACAATATTAAAAAAAGATGTTGAGGCTCGGGAAAGAGTGCAGAGAAGAGCAACGAAGATGATCAGGGGGCTGGGAGGCTAAAACATAGGAAGAACGGTTGCAGGAATTGGGGATGTTTAGTGAAAAGAAGGGGTGACATGATTTGAGAGGCTGCCACAAAGAAGAAGGGAGTCAAGCTATTCTCCAAAGCGCCTGAAGGCAGGAGAAGAAGCAAACTAATCAAGGAGAGAAGCAACCTAGAACTAAGGAGAATCTTCCTGACAGTGAGAACAATTCACCAGTGGAACAACCTGCCTCCAGAAGCGGTGGATGCTCCAGCACTGGAAGTTTTTAAGAAGAGACTGGACAGCCATTTGTCCGAAATGGTATAGGGTTTCCTGCCTGAGCAGGGGGTTGGACTAGATGACCTCTAAGGCCCTTCCAACTCTGTTCTTACATTAAACCAGCCTCAAAGAAGAGTCAAACAGAAATTTGAAGAAACAGAGGTGGCCTTTTCCCAGGGTTTCAGCCAATTTGTCTGTCTTACAGGTAAAAGTAAATTTCTCTAGGGGGCCTGGAGTGGATTTTCAGAGAACCTGTCCAGTTCCCTAGAAAAAAAAGTAGCCACAGCACATATTCCTCTCCCTCTCCTTCCCTCCCTCCCTCCCTCCCTCTTCCACTTCAGAGGAAACTGAGTAGAACACAGCAGGGTCTGACTCCTTCCTTCCTTCCTTCCTTCCTTCCTTCCTTCCTCCCTCCCTCCCTCCCTCTCTTCCACCTCAGAGGAAACTGAGCAGAACACAGTAGGGTCTGACTCCTTCCTTCCTTCCTTCCTTCCTTCCTTCCTTCCTTCCTTCCTTCCTTCCTTCCTTCCTTCCTCCCTCCCTCCCTCCCTCCCTCCCTCCCTCTCTTCCACCTCAGAGGAAACTGAGCAGAACACAGTAGGGTCTGACTCCTTCCTTCCTTCCTTCCTTCCTTCCTTCCTTCCTTCCTTCCTTCCTTCCTTCCTTCCTTCCTTCCTTCCTTCCTTCCTTCCACTTCAGAGGAAATGAGTAGAACATAGTAGGGTCTGACTACTTCCTTCCTTCCTTCCTTCCTTCCTTCCTTCCTTCCTTCCTTCCTTCCTTCCTTCCTTCCTTCCTTCCTTCCTTCCTTCCTTCCTTTTCCTCCCCCCCTCCCTCCCTCTCTGTGTTTGCACGCTCATTCGTGCGCCTGTGTGCGTGTGCGCGCGTGTGTGCCTGCTCTCAGTTCTCAGGAAGCTAGCACCCAAAAGGCTCGCTTCTTCCCCAGCCCACACGCCCAAAGGGATCCTTCTCGCGGAGACGGAAGTGAGGAAGCCTCGCATGACACACAGCAACAAAGCACACACCTTCTCAGTTTCGCACAAGGGCGCCCCGGGGGCTCCCGCAGTCCGCCGCCTCCCGCTTCTCCTCTTGCGCTACGCCGGGACTCTTCGCCCCCAAGTCCGGAGATGGGGAACATGGCATGCGTTCCCCAAGCGCCCGGCCGCTTCAGGTACTCTTTTTCCAGGAAACCCTCCTTCAAGAAAGAGTGAGTATCTCTTCTTGGCCTCCTTCAAACTCTTCTTTCCTTCTTTCCCGGAAAGTTTTGACAAAGGGATTCGGCGGCGCGTGTCCTTTTCCCCAAGGATTTGTATCTCCCAAATGGGTGCAGAATATGATCCCCCCCCAGGCGGTGCTCGGATCAAGCTCTTACATGGCTCGACTGCAAATTCTTTCTTTTTTAAAAAATAAGAGTTTTCTTCCGCAGAGAGAAGAAGAAGAAGAAGAAGAAGGAAGGGGAAAAAAACTTGATTTATTTTCATCCGTCTTTGTTTCTGTCACTTCTGGGGCTTTTGCCTGTTAGACAGCGTTAAGTTTAGTCGTTTGGGAAGGCTGTCCCGCTGGGAAATTTGAGTCCCATTAACTCCAAATGGGCCATACTGGTTTGTGGGGGGTTCAGGGAAGATTAGTCCTTATTAAGTGCTTTTTGTGTTGTCTAGGATGTTCGGTGTTGTTGTAACCATGCTTTTTTTTTTTTTTTTTTTTGGGTAGGAAAAAAAAAAACACAGTGCGAAATTTTGTGGTCAAAGGTCTTTGCTTTGCTTATAGAGACTGGCTAAAAATACACCTCTTTCTTCCCCAGATCCTTCTAAGTTATTTACAATCCTAAATATTTCCCACAATGGCTAGAAAGTTCAGAATGGCATTAGCAGTAGGGGGGGGGAGGTCCCCAAAATAAAATCTGTAGAAGAGAGAGAAGAAAAGCATTCCAGAAATCTTGGGAAATGGGTGGCTGTTCTCTTCTCGTGTGTGTGTGTGTGTGTGTGTGTGTGTGTGTGTGTGTGTGTGTGTGTGTATGTGTCTGCGTGCATGTCTACAAAGTTGTTCTCTGAATCACCGCTTAAAATCGCTGGAAGTTGGGTGGCTTGTAAATGTAATAATTATTGTTTCATAGTGTTTTTTTTTTTTAAATTTACCTGCTTTGCACGGCGGCCGTGGGAAAAACCATCTCGACCTGTGTATTCATTGCCAGATGTGACTAATTTAATTGCACAGGGGACTGAGTCAAACTGGGAAGCCTGGTGTAGTTTGAAGCGTGTCCATTTCCACTGTTCTGTCTTAGCAAACATACAGTGCAGTGTCTTTAGTTAAAAGAGCAATTTTTTTGCTTTTACGGAACTAACTTGGTCCGCTAAAACCCTGCAAATCTTACCAGTTGTCATTAGGCTTTCCTGTTATTTTGCTCCCCCGGAGAGGTCAGACTACAAATTCCATCGTCCCCAGCTAACACAACTCATGGCATGGCTAGTATAAAATGGCTAGCAGGCCATGTCGGATGTTTTTTTTTTTTCTCATCCAATTTGAACATTATGGATAGTCGAATCTCCTCCCCCCCCCTTCCAGCTACGCCAAGGGAACTAAGTGTCAGCTTCAAATTGTTAGACAGCTAAGTAACCAGACACCTGAACTCTCTATCACTGTCTCTCTCTCTGTGTGTGTGTGTGTGTAGGCACGCAACTGCTTTTAAAGGACAGTACGGCTTAGATTTGGCGGTGGGCATTGGAAAATATTTCACCATCTAGAATGGAAAGTCCAGTTTTCCACATGTTCCTGATTGCAAAAAATATGCAATTCACAGAGGCTGGGTGATTGTGCTTAAAAAACACAAGACCCGGACACAAGACCCTCTCCCCATTTCAATTGTACCCTGCTCAGTTGTTTATTTTTGTGACACTGCCACGAGGAATTGTGAAAGTTGTTCTAAGGAAAGCAGCAGGCTTTCAAGTGGGATTGAAACGAGGGCAGCCGTTTTGCCAAATTGGCAGTGGCAAAATTTGTTCCCCAAATTTGCTAAAATTACAAACACGGGCAACATGGGAAATTGTATGTGTGTGTGTGTGTGTTTCAGAATTCCTTTCCCAATCAATTAGATGGCTGCACTTATGCTACTTTTGTTTTGTTTGTAAATATTATCCATCTGTCCCTGTGTTCTTTGGTAACTGGATAGGGAAATGAAATGACATCATACCGAAAGTTGGCTCATTTTGTTTTGTTAAATGTTTTTGGTTGTGTGGTTTGAGTTTTTATTCTTTCTGATGGGCTAGGACAGATTGACACAGACTGATAAGAGTCGATTAGAAGTCTGATGTCTTTTAGATGTGGTCAGTTTCTTGAATCTCAAGATTTGAAATCTTCCCCTGATCTCAAATGAGTGGGAGATAATACTCTTTTTAATCCCGCCACTGTCGCCTGAAATGGACTCCTACTAAGAACAAAGAGGAGTGCTTAATAATTATTCATAATGTTAATAGAAAGCCCATTGCTCTAAATTATTATTTTTGATAGTTGCAATGCCTGTTGTGATTTATTAAGAGTCTCAGTTCTGGGTTGCCAAAAATCTCAGTAACCATTAGGGGGCAACTTAGAGAAAAATAAAGCAAGGTTTTGCTGCCCCCTAGTGGTCGATGGGATTTAGGCAACTTGGATCGGATCACTATCAATATATGGCATGTGGTGTTTCCTGTACTGTCGTATTTAAAAAATTACACCTTAGAGATAGCATTTTTGGGAAGGACCAAAGACGCCGCATCTACCACCTATGGAATGTGGGTCTTATCAAAGAAATGCGCCACTTGAAGTTTGCCGTGACACTGATTTTAATGTTGGCAGTTAGAATATGGGGTGAAGTGCCTGTTTATTTTGCTGCTTATGAGTTATCAGCCTACCTAGTCTGGATTCAGGCACTAAACTATGTCAGGATCTACTTGGTGGGGAGAGCAGTTAAGATTTCCCTACCGGAATGTTTATATTTTAGACACAGATTTGCACCAGGCCCATATTTAGGTTGGGTAAAAACACAGTATATGCTTAAATGCTGGTTAGTTTTCACTTTAACTGAGGTATATATGTTGGCCTTGTTGGGTTTTATGGTTATGAGTTAGTACAAATCCAGAATGTAGGTTAATTCAATAATAAGGAAACGTATATTATGCAAACTTGGCCTATTACAATATATGCAATAATTAAGTTATGGTTCTTCCCTGAGACCAATGTCACAACTTTGTCTTAGGACCTTCCTTCCTTCTTTCCTTCCTTCCTTCCTTCCTTCCTTCCTTCCTTCCTTCCTTCCTTCCCTCCTTCCTTCCCTTTTAGAGCTAGAAATAAGAAATTTTTTGAAAGAACCATCAATGGAATGGTTTGCCTTCAGAAGTTGTGGATGCTCCATCATTGGAGGTTTTAAGAAGAGATTGGATAGTCATTTGTCTGGGATGGTATATAGGGTCTCTTGCTTGAGCAGGGGGTTGGACTAGATGACCTCCAAGGTCCCTTCCAATTCTGTTATTTCCTCCCTCCCTCCCTCCTTCCTTCCTTCCTTCCTTCCTTCCTTCCTTCCTTCCTTCCTTCCTTCCTTCCTTCCTTCCTTCCTCTTCCCCTTTTCCTCAAACTGGCTAGACTTTCTGTAGTTCAACAAGACTGTAAAGCAAAGCTGGGGCAATATCCCTCATTCCTTTTCGCATTTTTGACGCTTGGTGAGTTTCAAACATTGATGGTCCTAGTGATAAAATAAATTGCTCTTTCCCTCTCCCCCCCCCCTGCCTTCCTGATTCCCTTTGTTTGCTTGCCTTGATGTGTTTGTGGCCCTCTTTTATTGCTTTTCAGACAAGAGAGCAAGAAAAAACTGGCCGGGCTCTTTGGGTTTGAGGCGGAGCAGGAGCGAGATGTGACTTCAGACAAAATTCTCCAATATATTCCTGCAAAGGTAAGTCGTTTCGTGGGGAGGATGTGTAATTCTCCACTCCTCCTTCGCCTGCAGTGTGCGGATCCCTGCCCGATACGGTGCCAATGGAAGGTGGGCTGCTTTAGAATTCAGCACCCATCATTTCCAGACAGTTTGTGGCAGAGGATGATGGGATCTGTATTTCTTATCATTTGGAGGTTACAAGAATGGGGGAAAGCTCTTGCTATGACCTCAAAGGTATAAACCCTGAAAAACTCGATTGTTGTTACTTCTTGATGACCTCGCGAGAAAACTGTTCTTATCTCTAGTGGCCATTTTTGAAATGTTGGGAAAAGAAAGAGAGGGGGGGAGGGAGAAAGAGAGAAAGAAAGAAAGAAAGAAAGAAGAGAGAAAGAAAGAGAAAGAAAAAAGAGAAAAAGATAGAAAGAGAAAGAGAGAAAAAGAGAAAGAAAGAGATAGACAGACAGAAAGAGAGAGAAAGAAAAAGAGAAAGAGAAAGAAAAAAGAAAGAGAAAGAATGAGAGAGAGAGAAAGAGAGAAAGAAAAAGAGAAAGAGAAAAAATGAGAGAAAGAAAGAGAAAGAGAAAAAGAGAAAGAAAGAATGAATGAGATAGAGAGAAAGAGAGAAAGAGAAAGAAAGAAAGAAAAGAGAGAAAGAGAAAGAATGAGAGAGAGAAAAAAAAGAGAGAGAGAGAAAGAAAAAGAAAGAAAGAATGAGAGAGAGAGAAAGAGAAAGAAAGATAGAAAGAGAAAGAGAGAAAAAGAGAAAGAAAGAATGAATGAGATAGAGAGAGAGAAAGAGAGAAAGAGAAAGAAAGAAAAAAGAGAGAAAGAATGAGAGAGGAGAGAAAGAAAGAAAGAATGAGAGAGAAAGAGAAAGAAAGAAAGAATGAGAGAGAGAGAAAGAGAAAGAAAGAAAAAGAGAAAGAAAGAAAGGGAAAGGAAGGTGCATCCATGGACAATTTTTTCCCTCCCCTATTACTGTAATTTCCCAGAGAAAGTGCAGCCCAATTGCTGCCCACACAAGGCGTTGCAGAGTCACAAGCTCAGCTTTTATCCTGAAACTATACTTATACAAATGAGCCAGCCCACGATCTGCCTCTTATAACGAAAATTCAGAATGGAGACCAGCACCCTCCTTCCTGGTTCTCACGCTGGGCTTTTGCCTGGGTGGCGACACAAAATACCTCCTTCCCTGATTTTTGCCAAAGGCACACACACACACACACACACACACACACACACACACACAGAAACATTTTATGGATTAGTTTGTCTCATTTAATGCCGGGGCTGCAGATGGAAGCTTTCCCACCTTGTTAGAAGCAATAAATGCTGTTATTTTAAAGCAGGGTTTTTCTATCTTTTAAGATGGGTGGGGGTCAACTCCCAGAATGCCCCAGCCAACTCTAGGGAGTTGAAGTCCACCCATCTTAAAGTGGCAAAAGGTTAAAAAAAAAAAAGCACTGCTGTAAAGCAACAGACACACACACGCACGCACAAACACAAAGACACAGAAACACACACACCCATTTCATTTGCCGGTACTTGCAGGTCCTAAGAGGGAAGTGTGCTTTTTGAAGGGTGCATAAAGAGACAATTCCACAGGCCAGGATGGAGGCTTCATGCTAAACCATCCATATAACTACTAAAATTCTCATTCCTGAAGCCTTTAACTGGGCGAAATGGCCACAATTTTTGAACCAAAGTACCTCAAAGCAACTAACTTACAAAATGCATCCAAAATCTGGGACACAAACAACTCCATGGAATGGATATTTGTACAGTTTCTCCAAACTTTCTAGTGAGCATCATCTTAATATTCCTCTCTCAGAGGTGACCAAGCAACCTTCCAGACGCACGCGTACTAAACTAGCATTTGTTATTTTTTTATTAGTTTATGATATATAATAAAAAAAATTACCAAACAAAATAAGACTGTTAAAGCGAATCTGATTTCCCCTATTGACTTGGCTTTTGGGAAGCTGACTGGGAAGGTCTCAAGTGACGATTACAGGACCCCGATATACAACATCTGTTGTAAATACAAGCTGGTTGTCAAGTGCCGAAATATTGATTATGTGAGCGCGGGGATGCTGTGATGGGGATCACTCGTAATAAGCCCCCTTTTTTTCCAGTTCAGATGGTTACTAAACAAATAGTTATAAGTTGAGGACTACTTGCATTTGAGAAGTCATGGCTTGATGCCCTGTGTCATTCTCTGCTTGAAAATTGTATTAGTTTAATCAGAATGAAAGATACAAAGAAAATAAAAATAATGGGAAACAGGAAGGAAAAGGAAAGTGTGGGGGGAAAGGGGAAAAAAGAGGCCATGATTTCCAACTCTATTTAACGCAATAGAAGATGATAACATTACAACCTAAACTTTATACTTTTACACAATAATATATAGCAGCTGTTTCTATAACAACAAACCTGTCTAATCAGCAAAATCAAAGCTTCCTTCTTTCCATCACACACATAAAAATCAGAAGCGATGTCCAAATTAAAAACAAAATTAAGTATGTTCTTTTCTTTGGGTAAAACAATCAATTTAACCCTCTCTACTTCTTCTTCTTTTGCCATTTGAAAGAATATCTATCTCTGCTTATACCTATTAATCTTTATGAATTACCATCACTGATACGAATACAATTTGCTATACTCTCTCAAACGGCTACGTGTCATTCCCATCCAGGCTTGGAGAGGATTTTAAAAAAAGAAATAAAATCTGCAAGGTAAGAAGTTTAAATCTGGGTTTAAATCCTGAACAACCTCATCTTGCTTGGCACATCCTGAATCAGAAATACTCAGGGGAAGCACCCAACAAACAAACAAACAGCACCTTCCTTTCTTTTGATTATTTATTTTTTCCCCCATCTTTTTCATTGATGACGCAACGGCCCCATCCAAAGGTGACATTCATCTTGCCTGGCGCCAATTCCCAGTGATTAAAACCACCGTCACTCCGATGCCATTGCATTCCTTTCCTGGAGTTTTGACTTTTCACTTGCCTCACCTTCGCGCCCAAACGAAGCCAGACAAGTCTCTGCAAACCGCGCCTGGTCAGCCCCTAGCCGGGAAAGCCAATTTTGGAACGGAAACCAAAATGAAAAGCACTCCAAAAGTGTCCACGGAGAGAGGGAGCACCACAATATGTGTGTGGGGGGTGGGGGAAACACCCTAGCAGCACATGCATGGAATGAGCTGGCTTTTTTTCTTTCTTTTCTTCTTCGCTCTATAAATCCCGGTTTAAATGGGATTTTAAAAATCGACAGAGAATTTACTTTCTTGCTTTTGGTGCCGAGAAAGAGAGAGGAAGATGCTTTGCAAGGTTTCACACACACACACACACACACACACACACACACACAACCCAGGGTAGAGAGGCCAGGAATTTGGGGGCTGCAATTCCCCTTGGCAGGACGGGAGGATGGGATTTGTAGTTGCAGGCCTGCTTTGCTGTGTTGGGGTGCCTGCTTCAACACAACACAACTTTTTGGAACCGATGAGGTCACTGGCATGAATTCCTGACTAAGATACCACTACAGTGTGAATAATTTGCCATCATTAAAGCTTGCAGGGAGCCAGGTGGATAAATAGGCCTAAACCGATACTGGAAAATCCCTTTTCTATTCTTGGCTCTCCGCTCTGATAAAAAAAAAGCGAGGAAACGCTCGGAGGAGGTGCAGCTAAAGTCCCATTTTCATGTCTTCTTGCCCAACAAAATCAGGACAGCTGAAATTTTGGGTGGAAAACTCCCTGCCTCTCCGGAAACGTGTGTCGGCTGTGTTTGCACGGCCTGCTTTTTTTGGGGGGGGGGGGCTTATTTGCACAAACTACAAATGTTAGGTAGTTGTTAACTCGGATGGGTTTTACAGAAGGTCTTTGGTTTACGGCCACAATTGAGCCCAAAGTTTCTGTGGCTAAGGGAGACGGTTGTTAAATGAGTTTTTGCCCCGTTTTACGACCTTTCTTTCCTGGGGGATCCCTGCAGTTTTGAAGTTCGTAACACGGTTGTTAATAAGTGTCTTGGCTTAGCAATGGAAAGTTTTGGGCTCAACTGTGTTTTAAGGTTTTAAGGATTACCTGTATTGCAATGAAGACAGAATAATTTGTTCCTAATTCACCTTCTTATATATTGGGGTGGGAATTGCCTGAAGTGTTGATTTTGATTTGGAAAAAAAAAACAAACTCGCAATATTTCTCTGTGTTCTTTCTAAAATCACAATTGAGCCCAAACTGAGGTTGATGAGTCCTTCCCCCCTTCTCTGTCTCTGTCTGTCTGTCTGTCTGTCTGTCTGAAAACCTTTAATAGCATGAAATTACTGTGGAAAAATGGCGTTTGAGATGCCCCAGGGCATACCTCGCAAGGCTGGTTTTGGTCTAGGAGTCAGGTCCCCCTCCCCTTCTGCAGGCTTATGAAACTCCTCACCAAAATAGTGTTTTGGCTCACAACATGTGAGATTTCTTTTCAGAATGAGTCATGCTGATCTCATGATCATATGGAAAGAGGGCTGGTGTGGGGGTACCGTGCCCCACTCAGTTTGGGGGCACAGTTGGTGTCCTGAAAACCAGGGGGCATCTGAAGGAAAAGAACACCTCTACGGGATTATTATTATTATTATTATTATTATTATTATTATTATTATTATTATTATTACGGATCATCGCACAGTCAGCCAGATGTTCAGACTGGATTTGGCATTTTGTCTACCTATCGAGTCCTTACCCAGGACCTGGGATAGGCAGATGTGGATGTTTGATGGTATTACAGGTATCGTCGCAGGATGGAAGCAGTTCCTAATAAGGCCGCCTTTTGCAATTGACTAATATCAAATTTGTCAATGCCAATGGTGTTCAAGTGGTGCTCCAGTTGTTTTGGGATTGCACCCAAGGAGCCTATGACTATTGGTACTACCCTTGCTTGCTTTTGCCACAGTCTTTCTATTTCTATTGGTAGGTCTTTGTATTTTGTTATCTTCTCCAGTTCTTTCTCGTCTGTTCTGCTGTCTCCAGGCACTGCCACGTCCACTATCCAGACTTTTTTGTCTTTCTTATTGACAATTGTTAAGATGATGATGATTATTATTATTATGGATCATCGCACAGTCAGCCAGATGTTCATCATCATCATTATTATTATTATTATTATTTAATTCCATCTCTTTCCAGCAAACTCTCAAACTTGTAGGCGAACCCGAAATGCAAAATAGGAAATTTACTTGGCAAACCCTTTAATTGGATTTCTGGATTTTGGATCGGGACATTAATCCATTCTTTCAGTCCTGCCCAGCCAGCTTTAGTGAGCTAATAGGATGATGTTGCTTCACGGATTAGCTCAAGCAGGTTTATGCTGAATTTTACCAGCTCGGGGAGCCTGGGAACGTCTGATTGGTTAGGAGAAAAGCTGTCTAATTAAAGGTGGAGGTGCAGCTGCCCTTGATGATGTACTGGAAGGGTGGTGCCAGAGAAAGTGGAAGGGGGGGGGAAGGATTCCCAACCCTTCCTTTCCACCTTCCTTTGACTGCTAGCAAAATCTGGAGTTGTTTGCACAACGAGGCACGAATGCATTGTGCTGATTGCTAAATGCAACGTTGGATGCAAAAGGCTGGGTTGGTGCAAGGCTACAGAGGGGGGGGGGATGACTGAAGGGGCTTTAAAAAAGCAGCCTTGGTGCAGGGTGTGGGGCGTGGATGTGTGTGTGTGGGGGGGGGAGAGAGTTGAAAGCACTCCTGTCCTAAATAACCCCCAAATGCAAGGAGAGAAAAGGATTCTGCACTGCAAAAAACTAACTTGGAATCGGAGGATGCTTATTTCAAAATTGTGTGCCTAAGATTGCGCGGAGATTCCCTGAGTCCCAAATAAATTGCATCTTGTTGCAATTTTGCAAGCTACAAAATTTCCTACTTGAAGAGGTGCTCTGTTATATCTCTGTAGGATTCCCTCTTCTGCCCGTCTCTTCTTTCAAACTGGCCTTCTTCTCCTATAATAGGCAGTTCTCGACTTAACGACGGCAGTTGAGCCCAAAATCTCTGTTGCTGCCACGGTCGCAAGTGTGAAAAAAAACAGTCATAGGTCACTTTTTTCAGTGCCGTCGTAACTTGGAACGGTCCCTAAATGAACTATAAAGATTTGGAGACCTGACAGATGCTTTTGCAGTCATGTGAACCTTTAAGTCAGAGCACAGATTGTAGTTAAAAGCTTCCTCCAGTAGGGAAAGTGGCACTCACTATTATAATGAACGGCTTATCCTTCGTCATTAGAAATAAAACTTTTTTTTAGGTTAAACGTTTCTAGTGTCTGTGTGGCTAGCCTACGGGATCTGTTCCACCAGCGAGGATTTCCCACAGAGCATCTTGAAAAAAAGAAGAAGGAAAAACCTTATTTTTAGTGATTTGCTCAATGCACGTGACAGCTGGGTTGAAATGTTAGGAGCTGCGATAAATTTTGATCAGGGTCACCCTGGATTGACAAATCTATGCTCTGCTATTCCAGAATGCAAGCAGGAATTGCTGTTATGGGATGTCTCTCCCTATCCCTGCAGGTAGAAAGCTCGCTCATTTCCCCCCCCCCACCTATATGCTGACTTTCTACATGCAGGGATTTCTTTGACCTGGTCTAGAAAAACACCCCGCTTCCCCCATCTCGCATCTCTTGTTCAGTTGTGTTGTGACTTGCTGAGATAATTTTACTTTATCTTCCCCAGCAGTGGCAGCTGATCAATAGCTCACTTAATCTCTCTTTTTCATTTGCACCTTAATTACCCTTTTGTGGAAGAGCTTAATCGCTGCCTGGCTGCTTCTATCTCCAGCGAGGGGTTGACGGGTGCTGCAAAAGATTCCTTTTGCTTGTCCCTGCCACATTTCTGTGGACCAAATGGAAAAGTTGCTTGCTGATTTTTGGGGTGGGGGGTGTCATCCGAGTGGAGACAGGAGAAACTTGACGAAGCATGCTGTGTCGTTCAAAAGCTTGCACGCTTTTGCAGCCCCGCTGCTAAAAACAGAGGCTTCTTTTGCGCTTTTCAATATTAAAGTCTTCCCTGTTACTACGGTATCCCCTTTCAGCGACAGACAGCTTGGTGTGCTAAATTGAGCGCCAGGGAAGGGAATGAATGGAGTTTGTAACGAGGCAATAATTCTCTGAACATGCGCAGAGGCTTTTGTCAACGAGAGCATCTCTGTTCCTTTATGCATGTGTCAAGAGTCAGAACCGACTTCATTCACCCACTTGAATTGTGGGCTATTCTGTTCTATTTCCATATCTATTCTATTCTGTTCTGTTCTGTTCTTCTATTATATTCCATTTCCATATCTATTCTATTCTATTCTATTCTATTCTATTCTATTCTATTCTATTCTATTCTATTCTATTCCAATATTTATTCTATTCTATTCTATTCTATTCCATTCCATTCCATTCTATTCTATTCTATTCTGCATTCTATTCTATTCTGCATTCTATTCTGTCCCATCATACTATTCTATTTATAATTCTATTCTATCCCATAATTCTATTCTATAATTCTATTCTATCCCATAATTCTATTTTTTTCTACGCTACTCTAGAATTCTATTCTATCCCATAATTCTATTCTATTCTATTCTATTCTATTCTATTCTGTTCTATTCTATTCTATTCTATTCTATTCTATTCTATTCTATTCTATTCTTATTCTAAATGTCTGCTCTGTCTCCAAAAGATGTGCAAATGTGTGAATTCAGACTGCTTTCTGCTACCCAGATGGTGGTTTTCTGCCTGCCACCTGATCATTGCACATTTTTGGCGCTCGCTGGGATTTAGTCCATGGCCGCGGGCAAGTCGGCCTTGTGATGGGAAAAGAGTGAAGACAGCTGGGAGAGGCACTTCCCTTGCTAATTATGGGAGGGTTTGTTTTCGGTTATTTTGGGTACGGCTGGAGAAACCAACCCGGTCTGTTTCACTGGAATCAAGGACCGGGGGGGGGGGGCGAGGGGGAGAGAACAATGAGACATGCATGTGGGTAAAAGAGACGCAGGAAATAGGAGCGTAATTGTTCTAATTAATTGTTCCAACCGTCATGAAATTCCTTCTTAGTTCTAGACTGTTCTTCTCCTTGGTTAGTTTCCATCCGTTGCTTCTTGTCCTGCCTTCAGGAGCTTTGCAGAATAGCTTGACTCCCTCTTCTTTGGGGCAGCCCCTGAGATACTGGAAGACTGCTATCCTGTCCCCCCTCGTCCTTCCCTTTGTTAAACTAGGCATACCCAATTCCTGCAATCAGTTCTTTGTATGTTTTAGACTCCAGCCCCCTCATTATCTTTGTTGCTCTTGTGCTGGGCTTCAGATCAATGGAAAAGCTCTGGGTGCAATCCAGGGTGCATTAATTGAGCTCAGTTCCCGGTGATATCAGTACATTTTTTCATACATTTTTGGGGTGGGATTTAAACTTTCCCAGCTGAGATAAATGGGTTGGAGGGCTTCACCGTTTAATCAAGAAGGCCGAAGTTTAAAAAATTGTGGCCAAGAATGTAGCAAGCCTGATGTTTAACTCAACCTCCCTTCAGCCTATATCTTATCTCTGAAAACGAAAAAAAAAGAGTATTTTTTCTTTGCCCCAGGATGTTAGGATACACCTTAATGAGGAAATAAAGAATTTAGCCTCAGAAGGAGCTTTCTTATATCAAGCGATGTTGATCTGGAGCATAAAATCGCTGCAGGAATTAAGCAGAAAGAACTGGCACTGGGGGAAACTCAACAACAGGGGTTTGGGAGAAATATTTTTTGCAGAGATAGGGAAGCATAAACAAATAGGTGAAGGTTATAGGCTTTGTAACGATGTTTATGGGGAGGGGGGAGAATCAAAACTGCCCACCACTAAAACCAGCTGAGTTTGCAAAATTAGTCAGTGTGCATTTGAAGGTCCCTTATGAGGGCTAATTTGGACTCTTCCTGGGCTGGTAACTCTTCATTTAGAGTGAAATTAAGAGAGTGAGTCTGATTAATCCCAATAAAGAAGAGACTAAAAGCTATTGTTGAGGACTCAGCCGCTGGACGGCTGGGCAAATGGTAAAGATGCCATTATAAAAATCTTAAAATCTTCAGCTGGGCACAGCGATCCATCAACAAATGCTTTTTCTGCGACATCTGACCTTTGGGGAACGGCATCTTGGCTGAATTTAGAATGGCCAGCTTTTTGATCTTGGAAAAATTATTGCCTCTGGGTGGTGCGAAGCTGGGTAGGATGAGTTAAGAGCCATGGGGAGTTTCTGGCAGAAGGGCTTTTGGGGAAGGGAGATGCGTCTCTGTCCTTCGGTCATTCGAGAAAGAAATGGAGTTTTAAGCCATGGGAATTGTGCAAAGATGGGTACTATTTTCCTTTGGGTTATCTTGGTAATGCTGATGATAAGAAGTACAGTATATTTAGTGTGTGTGTGTGTGTGTATGCAGACAGACAGACAGACAGACAGACACACACACACACACACACACACACACACACACACCCATATATATTCCCTTGGTACTAGTGTGACAAATCCATTTGTTGTGAAAAGCCACCTTCCTTCCTTCTTGCATTCCTTCCTTCCTTCCTTCCTTCCTTCCTTCCTTCCTTCCTTCCTTCCTTTCTTTTCTCCTCCTTCCCTCCCTCCCTTTCTCTCCCCTCTCCCCTCCCTCCCTTCCTTCTATTCCTTCCTTCCTTCTATTTCTTCTATTCCTCCCTCCCTCCATCCCTTCTATTTCTTCTTCCTTCTATTCCTTTCTTCCTTCTATTCCTCCCTCCCTCCCTTACTTTTATTTCTTCCTTCTATTCCTCCCTCCCTCCATCCCTTCTATTTCTTCTTCCTTCTATTCCTTCCTTCCTTCTATTCTTCCCTCCCTCCCTCCCTTCTATTTCTTCCCTCTATTCCTTCCATTCCTTCCTTCCCTTTTCTAAGAGTGTTTTTCTTTTTGGGTACAGAATTTTGCCAGCCAAGAGAATGGAAAGGAAAATTTTGACCAGCGGTTCCCCAGCCTATTCAAGAAAGGACGGAGGAGAACGGTGGTCCGGAATCTGGGAAAAATAATCCACTACTCCAAACTCAAATTTAAGTTTCAGCACTGCCAGGTGAAAAACCCCTGTCAAATGCTTGAAGCTTCTGAAGGCTTCTGGGCCAGCGCATTTGCTACCCATTGGTTTCTTCTGCTTGTTATGTCGTTCAGTTGTTCATCTTTATTCTGCGCAAGATTGATTCCAATGAATAAAAAGGTTTCTGTGTCTTTTCTTTCACAGGAAGCAAGTGACTGCTACTTGGAGCTTTTTCAAGAATTCCTGTATTTTCAGTCCCTTGGCCCCAATGGACACAAGTATCAGGTAAATGAGGATTTGGTTATCCGTGATTAGAAACAACAACGATGTCTGTTTCCCCCTTCCATTCTTAGCATTTCCAGGCACATCGTGGAAATTTTCCCATTAGATAGCAGTGTTCCAATATCTCAGGGGCTGCCCCAAAGAAGAGGGAGTCAAGCTATTCTCCAAAGCGCCTGAAGGCAGGACAAGAAATAACGGATGGAAACTAACCAAGGAGAGAAGCAACCTGGAACTAAGGAGAAACTTCCTGACAGTGAGAACAATTAACCAGTGGAACAGCCTGCCTCCAGAAGCGGTGAATGCTCCAACACTGGAGGTTTTTAAGAAGAGATTGTCTGAAATGGCATAGGGTTTCCTGCCTGAGCAGGGGGTTGGACTCAATGACCTCCAAGGTCCCTTCCAACTTTATTATTATTTATTATTATTATTATTATTAAACAACCAGTCAGTTTCTCCCCTCTCTCTCTCTCTCTCTCTCTCTCTCTCTCTCTCTCTCTCTCTCTCTCTCTCTCTCTCTCTCTCTCTCTCTCTCTCTCTCTCTCTCTCCTGGTGATTCTCAGTACTGGATCCCCATTTGGCTGGGTTCTGCTCCCCTGCTGTCTGCCTCTTTCTTGATCCAATTTATCTCTTTCCAAAATGTGCTTGCCAATTCCTCCTTAAAGGTGTGTAACCCAAGATCAGACAGGGCGAAAAACAGCTGCAGTTTCATTGCGTGTGAATCATTGAGTGACACAGGCTATATGATGAAATGTTTCTGTTGTTGACGCTTGGCAAGGGTATTTTTGAAAGTTAAATTTTAACACTTCCACAGCCTCTTGGCTGCATGCTTCCCCATGCAGGCGGGTCCCGATCCACCGAACCCACCAATTTTAGAAAAAAAATAGAACTGGCTTTGAATAACGCCCAGTGGGACACTTCCTCATCAGAAGTCAGATCCATCCTTAGATAAAGTCTGAGGTTCATTTCCTTGCCATTAAACTCTAGCTTGATATCCAGACAGGAAAAGCGCCTTAATCGACTTGATAAAGGAAGATTGGATAAGAGAGATGAGGTTAACAACTGACTTTTTCTTCTCCTGCAGGGTTTGGTCCCCCTGACAGAACTGCGGGTGGCCAAAGTTGAAAATGAACACGGAATTGAAGAAGATCTCCACGCTTTTCAAATTACAGGTGAGGGCAAACTCTCAGCTGAGGCTCAGAGAATGGTGGAGAAAAGAAGGAGGGCTGGCAGAAAAACCTTGAGGGGTAGGAAAAACCACGGTCAGATAAGAGAAATCTGAGTCCGAAGCAGGAAAGTAATTTGAGAAGGCATCTTAGGTAGTCCTTATGACCACGATTGAGGCTAGACTTTCCATTGCTAAGCAGCTGTTAAATGAAATTTGCAGTCATTAAGTCAACCCAGCTTTCCCCCTCGGCTTTGTTCGTTGAAAGCCTGCTGGGATAGTCACAAATGGTGGTTACAGGACTTTGGGATGCTGCAACTATCATCAATGGATGCTGGTTGACAAATTGCCTGACTTTTGACCGCGGGGCTGACTGCGACGTAAGCAGGAGAACTGGTCAGGTCCCTTTTTTTCAGTGCTGTTGTAACCTTGAAATGTCGCTGAGCAAATGGTTTTAAGTTGGGGACTAGATGTATAAGATTATTGTAGCCTTATAGTAAAAATAATACAGGTTGACTTACAACTATTTGTATAGTGATCGTTCGAAGTTACAACAGCTCTGGAAAAAAAAGTGACGTGGTAGTTTTCCACATTTACGACCGTTGCAGCATCTTCAGAGTCACACAATCAAAATTCAGACACTTGTGATAAAGGGAATTGGGGTTATTTAAAACTTGGAAATTATAAATATTAAACGTTGCATTTAAATATTAATGGGAAACTAAAAATTGGGAAAAACTTAACCAGGACGTTGATTGTCTAAAAAGAGTGAATGTTAAAACAATTAGGATATGCATGAATTAAAAATGATTGATAAAGGTAAGAAAGTTATTTTTATTTACTCGATAGGATAAGAATTGTATTAATTTGACTATGAGATGGTAAAGAGGAAAAGAGAGAAAATATTTAATGTCATCATTTCTGATTTGTACTAAAGATACATGTGTGTTATTGAATTATTGACCAACTCAGCTGCCACGTTGCTTTTCAAATATTTAAATCTAAAACTAGAAAATCAATAAAATTGTCTTTAAAAAAAAAATTCAGACAGTTGGCAACTGACAGGTACTTAGGACGGTTGCAGGGCCCCTGGCGAACATGGGATCCCCTTTTGTGACCGTCTTACGAGCAAAGTCAATAGAGAAGGCGGATTCACTTAACAAATGCGTGACTAAATAATTGCAGTGATTCACTTAACAACAGTGGCAAAACTCACTTATGAGCTGCCTTGCTTAGCAACAGAAATGTTGGACTCAGTTGTGGTTGTATATCAAGGACTACCTGTGTTAGCCATTCATAGCTTTGGTGTCTGGTCAAAGGGCTAGCATGAATCTCCTTCCGGTTGCTCACAGCCCAGAATAAGTCTGAATTCTGTTGCCTGTCCTTCACAGTCCATAGATATTTGAAGACAGCCATCATGCCTCTTGCAGCCTTCCCTTCTGCATCTAACCAAGCTTAGGTCCTTCAACCACTCATCATGGGACGTGGTTTCCACGTTGGTCCTCAAGTATCTGAGCATCACCTGTTGTTTTAGTTTTCATCTGGCCCAGAAGCACGTAGGCAGCAAGACACATATGCAAACACCACTCACAGGTGTTCAGCAGCATCCACAATCTTTATCAGTCCTCTACGTCACGCCCATTGACAGTGGCAAAAGAAGCCCTGTTCTCAGGATGACTAAGAAGTTGGTCTTATTCTCCCAGGAAACATTTTCCACCAAGGGTCATGATTCAGAAGAAGGGGAAGCACAGAGAGAGAAAAAAGAGGGGGATTTACAGACCAAAATAACCGCTGAGCTGGTTGGGTCCTTACTTGAAAAGGAGAGTGGAGGTCTTAAGCTTGGTTCTCAGACGAACGGCGCATTTGAAAACAGGAGCCTGTGCTTCATAACTGTGGGAGAGTCTTCGGTCCCTTTCTGGAAAAAAAAAGACTAGCAAAATTCTGAATTTGCTCTGCCCTCTATTTAGGTTAGGACTCTCGTTCAAGAGTCCTTTGGAAGAAGCCAAGCGTCTTTTCCTTCCCGTCCCTCTTACTGCTCATTCTCTAGTCAATGACAGGGCTTGTCAATTTCAAAATTCCTTCCAGAACTGGTAGGAAAAAAACCCCTGGTTTTTGATGTACCTGTTGTTGTTTTTTCTCCAACGGGTGGATTTTATAAATTCTATCAGCACTGCTCATTCATAAGCAAACTCAAAGCAGCCTCCAAAGAGGGTTCAAAACCTACACCAAAAAGGCAATAGTAAAACATCAAAGCAATAACCCCTCCAGGGAAGATAAAAGTTTTAAAAAAAGAAACTGTGTTTTAAGTCCTGCTTAAAAGCAGAGCTGGGGCTGTCAAATTGAGCCAGTGTCTTCCCTTAATATATTGCAATGAGTAAAACCACTAGGACAGCGGTTCTCAACCTATGGGTCACGACCCCATTTGGGGTCGAACGACCATTTTACGGGGGGTCACCAAACAACGCGATCCGCCATTTTTCCCCCTCGGGGCGGCGCCGTGCGTCCGTGTGACCGGGGGTCGCCGTATAAAAAGGTTGAGAACCACTGCACTAGGACTACTTTGAAATGCAATTTGTTCCATGGCCTGTAAGAGTGAATCGGTTGCTTTGCTAACATCCACAGCGAGCCTGCTCCGCTCGTTTATTCCTCCTTTATAAACTGAATGACTGTTACGATATTTAACAGGGTGCAGCTTGATAAGGGTGTTAGCGTTGAGAAAGTGGGTGTGGGCAATCCAGGATAAGACAGGAAAACCTGAATTCTAAACTGAGACTGTTGCCACTCCTTACCTCTGTTTACTTCTCAATCTTTCTGGGCCAGGTTATTTTGTGCTCTTTTTGAACCATCTTCTGTGCAGATTAGCTTTAAATCATCAATAGCGCTCTCTCTCTCTCTCTCTCTCTCTCTCTCTCTCTCTCTCTCTCTGTGTGTGTGTGTGTGTGTGTATGTGTGTGTCTATGAGATGAAGAAATGACCTCCTTAAGATATAGAATAGCATAGAATGGAATGGAATGGAATATAAGAATATAATAGAATGGAATGGAATAGAATGGAATGGAATGGAATATAAGAATGGAATAGAATGGAATGGAATGGAGTAGAGTAGAGTAGAATAGAATAGAATAGAATAGAATAGAATAGAATAGAATAGAATAGAACAGAACAGAACAGAACAGAATAGAACAGAACAGAACAGAACAGAACAGAATAGAATAGAATAGAATAGAATAGAACAGAACAGAACAGAATAGAATAGAATAGAAGCTGGAAACCCTATACCATTTCAGACAAATGGCTGTCCAGTCTCTTCTTAAAAACTTCCAGTGTTGGAGCATTCACCACTTCTGGAGGCAGGTTATTCTACTGGTTAATTGTTCTCACTGTCAGGAATTTTCTCTTTAGTTCCAGGTTGCTTCTCTCCTTGATGAGTTTCCATCCATTGCTTCTTGTCCTACCTTCAGGCGCTTTGGAGAATAGCTTGACTCCCTCTTCTTTGGGGCAGCCCCTGAGATATTGGAATACTGCTATCATGTCCCCCGTCGTCCTTCTCTTCATTAAACTAGACGTACACAATTCCAGCAGCTGTTTCTTATATGTTTTAGCCTCCAGTCCCCTAATCCTCTTTGTTGCTCTTCTCTGCTTTTTTTCTGCTCTTTTACGCCTTCCATTTGGAGGGGAGGTGGAGACAATTCAAAACCAAAAGACTGAAATCTCAGATCGACAACCTGCCTGGGTGTGTGTGTGTGTGTGTGTGTGAAGAGGAAATATTTTTCTCTGGTTTGAGATAGCATCGCCCTTTGGAACTGAGGCAAGCCATCCTCAGCCCTACCAGCTATTTCAAAAGAAAACAAAACAAAACTTTCTTTTCAACAGAATGGCCTTAAGGCCATTGTGTGTGATTTTAGACAGCAAAGAGGAAAGTTCACAACCTCTCCAGTCGGCCCCACCGTGGCTTCTTATAAACTGTAAAAAAACCCAGACTGGACTGAGGTGCTCCATTCCAGTCTGCGGTGTAGGACGGTTCAAAATCTGAGCCAGCGGTTCAAAGCAAGTGGCTCAAAATTGTGCTGTTTAGTCTGACACAATTTTCCCACCTCTGTTTGTGTGGACATGCCATCTTTGGCCCTCTGGAGTTGCTCCCAAGTTGCGTGGCGTTACCTAATTTTTTTTTTTCTTGCTTCCATCTTTTTTTTTTTTTTAACTGTCCCCATGTGGGGAGAGAAACCTCCAAAAGGAATTATTTTCAGGCCCAGGAATCAAGTTAAATAAGTGTGACAGTTAACAGAATAACAAAACTGGAAGGGACCTTGGAGGTCTTCTAGTCCAACCCTCTGCTCAGGCAGGAAGCCCCATATAGCATTTCAGACAAAGGGCGGTTCGATCTCGCGTTGCCTTGTGACAACGTCTTGCCGTTAAGTGGGGGAAAGCAATCCAGTTGAACACTATTTAATGTTTTTCTGGAAATCAAAGACAGACTGAATGGGCTATCAAGAGAAGAGTTTGCCAGCCTCACCAGAAAAATGAACAGGAGGACGCCATGTTGTCATGTTTGGCCGCAGGGACAATTTGTGGGTGCCTCTAACAGGCAACGAGTCAGAAATACATCTCACCTCCCCCCCCCATTCTCTGCCTCGGTTTCCCCCAAGTTGGCACAACGTGGGAAAAAAGTTTCTCTCTCAACTCTGCTCATAAACAGGGAAGGCATTTAATTATTCTCCGCTTGTTACCAAACACAGGGGCAGCGCCAGGCCAAAGTACTCATTCTGCCAATAATGGCTTGTTATGACGGCTTGTGGCGGTCTGGGCTTATCTTGGCAGTCCAAGTACCATCGTTCAGGCCCTTAATTTGTTTGATTAAGAGGCAGGGCAGGAAATGATTACGGTTTGAGCTGTGGTCTGAACCCTCTGATGGGAACTGGTACGCCACTCAGTAGAGTTCCTATGTTTACCATCAGGGCAGGATAAGGAGACCAACAGGTGATCCAGCTAGGAAAAAGCTGACACTAGCTTCTTGGAAGCTGGCCAGGGATCAACCCTGAAGGAGAACGATAGCTTTTCCCAAGAATAGCTCCAAAAAAAAAAAAAAAAAAAAAGATATATGCAAGGCTCTCTGAATATTGATTAACTATTCAGGCAGGAAGTACAGAACAGAAATAAGAAAAGAGAGTTGATTCTAGAATAGGCTGTAAATTTGGACTGCCCCGCAATTTTTATGGCCGTTTTCTCTTGTATGTTTATGGTTGGGAAGAAATGCTAACTGCACCCCAGCTGAAGAAATAAAATACAGGTATGATGAGAAATTTTCAGTTTTACACCCTTGTCTGGTTTGCTGAATACAGCGACCAAGCAGAACCAAGGGCTTTGGGCACTGTGAGTAAAATAAACGAAGCTTCAGACAAGGTAAAGTTGTGTCAACACAGAGAGGCTGGATATGGGGAAAACAACTTCAGGGATGATAGAGTAACAGGTCTGTTTAACTCTGCTAAATCCCTTTGATCTAAAGTGGAGTCTTTCTTAAACTGTGTCCACTGAAGCTTTGAATGATCTCTGGAAAAAAAAACAAAAGCCAAGGGCAGCACAGCATTTGAGCAGGAAAAGCGGTTCCATTTTGCCCTGAGGGGCTGCTTTTCTATGGACAGGGAAACAATTAATAAGAGGGAACGCTTCCGTTGTCTTTACTCTCTAGTTGCAGGGACAAGGACTCCCTTTCTGCGACTTTCCTAAGGACAATTAATATTTCCCCTTGCAAAAATCTGTGCCAAAAAACGGAACGGTGCCAATGAACTCAATGCCTGCCTTGCTCTTCCAGGCCCGCTGCTCTCCCCCCTGACCATCTACTGCCCCAGCCAGACGGAACTGAAGCACTGGCTCTACCACTTGGAGAAACAGATCGATTTAAATGGAGGGCGCCCAGATTTGCCCCCGGAGACTCAGGTGAAGACCTAGAGGTGGGCGGGGAGAAAGGACGGCACCAGGTCCATCGCTCGCCTCCCTCTGCAAAAGGGGGCATCGCTGGGCCAGGCGCTGGGCCCCCAATCTAGGTTCAAGAGGGAGGGAGGGAGGGAAGGTGAGAAGGGAGAGAAGAAGGAAGGGAAAGAGGGAGCGAGGGAGGGAAGGAATGAAAAGAAGGAGGGAGGGAGGAAGAGTGAGAAGGGAGAGAAGAAATGAGAAGAGAGGGACAGGGAGGGAGGGAGGAAGGGGAGAGAGGGAGGAAGGGAAGGGAGGGAAGGGAGGGTGGGAAGAAGGAAGGAAGGAAAGAAGGAAGGAAGGAACAGTGAAGAGGGAGAGAGGGAGGAAGGGAAGAAGGAATAAAAAGAAGGAAAGGGGGAGGGAGGGAAGGAGGACAGAAGAGAAGGAGGGAGGGGTGAGAGAGGGAAGGAATTGATTGATGGGAAAGATGAAAAACATCTCCAGGCCTGTAGAGGCAAATGTGGGTCTCTCCCTTCCATGGGAAGACCTCCCCCTGGGGTCTGGCTTCCCTAAAAATCTCCAGCCAGTTTTCCTGCTGTCCTGGCAAACTCTTCTCCAGCCCTCCTCCACAGTTATTATGGCTGGCGGCCTCCCAGCGTGAGTCATTTTGCTGGGATGAGGAAGAGAGCTTGAAGGAGAGAGCAAAGAAGCTGATCAGCCTTTCCAGGCTGGCTTCTGACAGCTCAGCTCTGCCAGCGGATGCTGCTCCCCCCCCCCACATGCCCCGGGGAGGCGCTTCCATTCCAGTTCAGCTGGAGGTGGAAACTGGCACGGTCGGTTTTTTGGGCGGCCTTTTTCACCCGCAGGCACCCAGTCTGCCGGTCAGTCTGGGCAGGGGGTCTGGAGAAGGGAAGGATGGGGCAGATGCCCGGGATGATGAGATTTGCTTTCCCCTTGTAGAGGGTCTGGACGCAGGGCGCGCCGGGCAAGGAGCAGCTGCGGTGGTCGATGCAAAACGCCCACGTGCAGGAATGGAAGGGCACCCAGCGCAAGTCTCTGGGCGACATCCTGTGTGTCTCCAAAGTGAAGTTACAGCATTTACCTTTCCAGGTGCAACACCTTGATAGGAGGATGATTGGGAGGGAGGGGGGGCCTTCCCCTGGGAGTGAATGAATCTCAGTTGGGAGGAACAGAAATGCCATTTTCTTCTGGGACAAAACAATACGCTGAGATAGCTATACTTCTATTTTATTTCTCTATTCTATTTCTATTCTATTTCCCTATTCTATTCTGTTCTATTTCTCTATTCTGCTCTATTCTATTTTTCTATTCTGTTCTATTCTGTTCTGTTCTATTCTATTTCTCTATTCTATTCTATTCTATTCTATTCTATTCTATTCCATTCCACTCCAGTTCACCCCATCCCACCCCTCCCCATCCCACCCTATCCTAACCTATGTTATGATTTTATGTTATGATTTAAATTTTGAGTTAAGCCTTGGTAGTCCATGAACATGGTCTGTGGTCACAAAAGTATTTAAAGGGTCCATGGTGACGAAAAGGTTAAAAAACACCGATATAGATGATGGATGGATGGATGGATGGATGGATGGATGGATGATGGATGGATACATATATATGAGAGAGATAGGGATGGATGGATGGACGGACGGACACACACACACATACACACACACACACACACACACACACGTATAAGATAGGGATGGATGGATGGTAGATAAAAAGACAGCAGGGTTACACTTCCAAATATATACTTGGAAGCCTAACTACTGTGTTCCATCCATCCATCCATCCATCCATCTCTCTCTAAATGATGCTTCTAGGTGTAGATGGATATATTTTGCTCTGGTGTTTCAGAAGAGAATATCTTCATCTAGGCCTCTACTTTACCTCACTGTAGCTTGTTATTATTTTTATTGTTATCCATAAATAAACAAATCTAGTCTAAACATCTAGCCGACTATGCGACCAATAGTAATAATAATATTCTTATGAAACAATATCTGCCCATCTCATGTCCTTCAAAAGGACACGATAGGTGGACAAAAATGCCAAATTCAGCCTAAACATCTGGCTGACTGTGGGACCAACTGTAAATAATCCCTTTTTGCATAAGTAATAGGTATGCAGAGGGTCTCTCTTATTGTTACTTTATTTGAAACCTGGTCTTCTCTGATACCAATAGGAACAGCATCATCGTTTGTTGGTGCTCTATCCTTCTACCCTGGTTATCGTATCTGAAGAACGCAATGGCCTCTACTTCAAGGTAAGACGAATTCCTTGCTGGTATTTCCTTTTTCCTCTAAAGTCATTCGGGTGGCTAAAAATACATTATTTCTGGTTGCTGTCCTTTTGTTGATGGACAAAAAAACCCTAGCATATAATCCCAAGCTTTGGAAAGCACAGAATCGCCCCACACAGCCAGATGGGCAGTATGTAAATTCCACAAATAAATACGTAAATAAATATTACCAAAGAGATGAGAGGAAATTGCAATGGGGGAAATAATGTTTTTCTGAAGTTGTCTTTTGGCTTTTTAACGGAATCGGGGACATGTTGCAGCTTTTAGGATTTATTAGGAGCGGCCAAGAATAATTTATTTTAGATCAGTAGCATCTTAAGAGTTGGAAGGGATACCTGTTCAAACCTCTTCCCTTCCCCCCCTCCCGCCCCCCTGGAATATCTCTGAGCCTCTAGCTTCTTTGAAGATCTCCCCAGTTCAAGTGTTGGCTTGTTCCTTATGGGTTTAAGCCCCTAGTTCGAATCCTGCCCTCAACTAACTCAACCTCCTCCGCTGTAGGATAAGGGTTTCCAGCTTTAAGAAACACACACACACACACACACACACACACCCTTATAAGATGAGACGCTACAGAGACGATCCGCTTGGGTTTGCAACCAGCGATGAAATCTAAACTGGGCTGTTCCCGGTTTTAATTTTCAGTCTCTCCCAGCTGAATTTCAGAAGCGTTTTTGCACTGATCCCATCTCAGCCGGTTCCTCCAGCGTGCCTTATCCTTGGCACGCTGCCCTTGCCGGAGAGCACACAGATGAGCACCCTGTCCCTTTAAAACGGAAAAAAAATAAAATAAATAACAATAAGCACTCGGCTTTCCTTCTCCTGGAAAGCTGGTGGTGTCTGAATAGTTGTGGTTACGCCTGTGTCAGCAGGGTGGTGCCTGCCTACAGTCACATTCCTGGAACGGTGGCACAAGGCCCAGCCCGAACGGTAGCCTAGTTCTCACGGAGCTGGCCAACCTATTTTAGAGCTGCAAAGTTGCCAGGTGCACATGGGGGGGGGGCTTGGGTGTGACTCAGCCCGGCACCTGGCGAACCCATGCAGAGGTGTCTCTGGAATGAGGAAGCGACGGATAAGGGGTACAGGGCCCTGGTGAAAAAAGGGGACCAGCTTTGCTTCGTTTGATAATATTTGGAATCACTCCAGATCTGGACGGGAGGGGAGGGTGTGTGTGTGTGTGTTGCCTTAAGGAGAAGGAACCCAAGGATTGTCCTTTAAATGCGTTTTATTCCTCTGCTGGTTTTGAGTCTGAGGAATCGGGGAAGCTGTGCCCAGTTATAAATAGTCCAGGAACGGGTTTTTAAAATTTCCCCAAAGGGACGATGCTTCGGATCCGACAAATCGGCGCGCCCCAAACTTGTGCCTTTCTCTCTCCTGGGTCTGGCCCCGAATCCATGCAGGAAGGACCAGCCCCGTTTCTTTGATTCTGCAAACGGCACACAAGCGTTCCGCCTTGCAACGGTTTTGGGATTCCTTTTAAAAATAGTGGCAGGGGTGCGCGTCGCCAAACATGTGTTGCCGAAGCTGCCTGGGGCTTTGGTGTGTGTGTGTGTGTGTGCGCGCGCGCGCATGCAAGCGCAAGGACCCAGCTGTTGCTATTAACCGGCTGAATAGGGGCTTTTCAAAGTACAGGTGCATTTGGCCTCTGTTGTTGTTTTTTTTTTTTTTAATATGGTGGTTTGTAGAAGAATATCATTCTTGGAACTGGCTTTTGTTTCTGATAGTTCTCACCTAGAGAGTTCCTATTTACGCAATGCTGCCAGTCTGGTTTAACTGTGGTTGGCATCCTGTATGCACCAGGATCTGTTGGACAGGCTTCCTTGCTAGGCAACTAAAGGAACAAGGGTTAAAATTTGATTTTCAGCGGAGGTGTGATGAAAAGGGACAACCCTATGAAGATGCACGGTTTTGCTTTTCATCCCATCGGGAAGCTTCTTTCCAACTCAACACTCCAGAGAGAGCCCCTAAAGCTAGCTTGTTCCTCTCAGGTGGCACCAAAGGGCTGGTCAGAAAGTCTATAAGCTCTTGGTTGTCCATTCACAGCAGAGATGGACCTGGCAAAGCTCTGGTGCCAACTGTAGGAACTTGATTTTGGGCAGACAAGTCCCACATGGCCGGATGCATCCCTGCATGGCTGGTTTCCCTCCCGCCCGCCTGCCCTGTCCCATCCCTCCTGTTCTCGCATGCTCTCCTTTTCCCTGGCACAACCCACTGCATCACTTCCTCAGCTGTCAGCCGGCAGCTCAGAGGCGGCTCCTGTGAACTGCTGCCGGTGGGCTGCAGAGCCCCAGAGTGTGCCAGTTGAGGGGCGGGCAGGCTGTGGCTGCTGATGGACCCCGTCAGCCCCCAGGCACTCGCTGGCCTCTGTGTGCAGGGGCCAGTGGTCTCAGGCAGCAGCCACCCCGGTCCTTGCCTCACCCCATGGCAATGGCACCCCCACCCTGCCTCACACCCTGTAGGATGAGCCTCCTGCCCACCGCCCCACCTGCCAGAGACCCCCTGGATCTCCCCCAACCCTGCCCACCCCCCACAGGAATCCCTCCCCATGAGCAACACCTTGGCCACACCCACCCATTCTGCCATGACCATCACAGTCACGCCCACCCAGTGGGCCACCTGGCAATGAATAAGTGGGTTTTGGGTTGCAGTTTGGGCACTCGGTCTCTGAAAGGTTGTAGAATGAAGAAAAGGAGAAAGAAGGAGGAGGAGAGGGATGGGGAGGAAAAAGGAGAAAAGGGGGGAGTGGAGAAGGAGAAGGAAGGAGGAGGAGGAAAAAAAGAGAAGAAATAAGAAAGGAGGAGAGGGAAGAAGAAGCAGAATGGGTTGACAGAAAAGGAGGAGGAGGAGAAGGAGAAGATAAAAAAAGAGGAGAGAAAAATGAAGAGGTTGTTATTGTCATTGTCTCTGAATTGTGGCCTGTTTTCCCACACCTCTACAGAAACTGAACTCCTATTTCTGTTGTCGTAACCTCAGTCTACATTGCTCTGAGAACCGGGGGATTTCCCACAGCATCCTTTGTCCTCTCTGCCTGACTCATTCCCCTGTCGATCCTGACAATTTCACCTGGACTGGTTCTGCAGGAAAAACACCACTCCGTGAGGGCTAAAGAGGACAGCTGGAGGGAGCCCGTCTTCCCCCACTCCCCTTCTCCTCATGGGGCAGAAGCTTCAGCAAAACACTCGGGGTGGTGCCGGATTTGGAGCAGAAAAGGGGAGCCAGGAAATCTGTCCACTTGCAGAGGCATTTTGCCATGCAAGTCCTGAGTTGCGGAAGAGCATCTTAAACACAGGGCTGGAGGACTGTGGGAAAATCAGCCTGAAAGCCAACACAGTTATCATTCCGTCCCTGGGGAAAGCCCAGACATCTGATCAATTATTATCCTTTGCCATTTCTTCCTACCAGAGGTTCTTCTGCACCCATTTAGACCAGGGGTGTCCAACTGCGGCAACTTTAAGGCCTGTGGACGTCAACTCCCAGAACTCCCCAGCCATGCCGTCGTGCTGGGGAATGCAGTTATGCTGACTGAGGAATTCTGGGTGTTGAAGTCCAGCAGCCTTAACGTTGCCAAGGGTGGACACCTGTGCGTTAGACTCTTCCCCTTGCATTCATCCTTCTGCACACACAAATGCAAACACAATTTGTTTGGGTTTTGGGGGGGAACTTTGTTCCTTCCAACGGGATCCCCTCCTTGAAAATCAGCCTCAACCCCCTGCAAAATTTGCCGGAGAAGGAAAAAACAGCTTTTGAAGGATTTGTGGTCGGTAAACTCCGGGAGGTACAAAGTCCTTTTAGGACATGGACATTTTGCAAAGCAGGGAATTAACTCTAAAAGTGTTGACTTCAGACACAAGGATTCAGTCAACAATCGTCAAAACCCCGAGAATCTCTGCAAAGCATTTCTTGAGAGCGACCGGTTTTTAACTAAAAACAAGAGGGGGGGGAGTGTTGTGTGAGAAAACGTCACAATATGAGTTTTTCCTTAAATCCTGGCCAACCTCTCCGGGGGATGCACCATTTTACAGGAGTCCTCACCTTACGACTATATCTGGCATCAGAACTTCCATCGCTAAACAAAGCGATTGTTAAATGATTCATGTCCCATTTTAGGATATATATATATATATATAAGTACCCAAATTTTAATTGCGTAACCATGGGGATGTTATACCATTTGTAAGGGTGAGGACCGATTGTAAGCGACCTTTTTTTTTTTAGTGCTGTTGTAACTCTGAACAGTCACTAAACAGTAGTTGTAAGTGCTCAACTTGTGGCCAAAATTCAAAATCAAAGTCATGTGAAGTATTAGTACCGCTTTACAAAAACTTAGTGAGGCCACACCTAGAATGCTGCACCCAGTTTTGGTTCCCTCATTAAAAAAAAGATATTGAGACTTTGGGAAAAGTGCAAAGAAGAGCAACTAGGATGATTAAAGGCCTGGAGACTAAAACGTACGAAGAACGGCTGCAGGAATTGGGTTTTGATATTTCAAAGGGCGTCTGATTTTTTTCCCCTGCAAACAGGGAGAGTTGCCGTTGAATGCCATCCAAGTACAATTTGAGGAAAACCAGAAGACTGCTTTTCTAATAGAAGGTGAGTCTTTTGCTTGCATGTAAACTTTTGTGTGTGTACGTGTGTGTGTGTGTTTAGATATCAAGAGAAAGAGATTAAGCTCCCCACTTGCAGTGGGGACGAGAATTTCCACTGCTAAGCAAAGAGATTCTTAAAAGTAAGTCAGGCGCAACTTTACAACTTTTTGTGGCACGGATTGAATCCCTGCAGTCCTTAAGTGAACCACATGGTCGTTAAGCAAATCCAGCTTCCCTTATTAACTTTTCTTGTGGAAAGCCAGCTTAAGATGAGACCATCTGAGCACCTGCTCTGTCAGGGGGAGACACTGAAGCCAGCCACGGACATCCCTCCGTTAGAAAGAGACAAGGAATGGGGGATTCGGAAGGATCCACCTGAGATTCCGAAGGATCCCTTCCTGTTGAGAGATCTGAATCAAAAACCTCCCGTTTTGTTCCGAACAAGAGGTGACCTCTGTTTCTTACAGGCCGGCTGATCAACTCCATCCGGGTGATTTGCTCCAGCTACGAAGATTACCAAGAGTGGCTATACTGTCTTAAAACTGCTCAGTTCCGCCACGCAGATTCCTCCCTCTCTGGATCGGACAGTTTCTCCAGGTTAAAGCCTTCTCACCTGGCGCAGGTAGGGCGCTGTTTCCTGTCTAGCTTACAACACAATTCTGCATTATGCGTAGGAGGAGAATGATTCTTTGTTTCCTTGCTTAAATCCTCTTCCTAGCCTAATTCCGTCCAATAGAGTTGGACAAGCCAAGACCCCTTAACCCAGACAGGACTAAGAACACACCACAATGGCAGCATTCATTTGGCACAGGATGCTTCACAAATACACCTAGTATGTGGGTTGGACACTAAAAACACTTCAAAGCTCCGTTTAGGTTAATTCCCAACAGCAGGAGGAAAATCACTTTGGCCTATCGTGCAGGTGGGCTGGGAGGCTTCTGAAAAGAACATTGAAGGTGTTCTTAGATTCAGCCTCTTGAAATTGCTGGTATATTGTGCCTGTGAGCCCTTTGGAGTAGGCCAGATCAAGGAACAAGCACATAAAAGAGATGTGGATGACCGGGCTGAGCCCAAGGGAGGGAGGGTCAAAGGCGTCGTCAGTCATGAGTCCCTGCGTGCCCACAAGAGATCTAACTCCAGCCCACCTTGAATTCCTTCTACTCTTCTCTCCCGCTAATTTCCCTTGTAGAGCTCTTGCAGAGAGCTCCAGCTTGCAATAAATCTTTATACCCATTGGAACTGCTTGGATCTCCCAATTTCCCTGGTGCTTGACAGGATCTTGGGAATGCGACTTTATTGGTGTAGGGTTTAATAGTAGAATCTTGAAAGCGTTTCTCTTTACTCCATCTTATACCTAGCAAAATCAAGCTGGACTATTCATGCATTTCTTTCTCACCTTTTCTTCTTTCTCAGGACAGCTAGTCCCTGACTTACCACCACAGTTGAGCCCAGATTTTCTGTCGCTGCAAAGTGAGGCATTTGTTAAGTGAATTTAGCCCTGTTTTACGACCTTTCCTGCAACTGTTGCTAAGTAAATCGCTGCAGCTGTTAAGTTAGTAACACGGTTGTTAAGTGAATCTGACTTCCCCGTGGACTTTGTCAGAAAGTGGCCAAAGGGGATGACGTGATCCCCAGGACACTGCGACCGTCGTAAATATGAACCAGTTGTCTGAATTTTGATCACGTGACCATGGGGATGCTGCAAAAGTTATTAAGTGTGACAAAGGTCACTTTTTTCAGTGCCCTTGTAACTTCGAATGAAAAGTTGTAAGTCGAAGACTACCTGGACTGTAAATTATAATTTTTTTCAATAAATTTCTGGGTGGTCTCCCATCCGTGCTCCCAAGAGGACCCAGCCCGCTTCCCAGGACCAGCCAGGTTGTTACATTCACTTCTTCAATGAAATCAGTCCTTATTTAATCACTTTCATCCTAGTTCTTAGCCAGTTTTGTAGAAGAGATTAGGAACTCTGTCCCGCTCCAAAGTCTGCTTCCTTTCGCCCATCTAAAAATCTAACTCAGTCCCGAAACTCATCCTCTTTTTCATTTGCCGTTGTGACTTTGGTCAGTAAAGGAACGGTTGTAAATCATACTGTAATCTCTTGGGAAATCAACCCCTTAAAGCAGTGGTTCTCAACCTTTTTAATGCCGCGACCCCCCCCCAACCGGTCGTAAGTCGAGGACTACTCAACCGGTCGTAAGTCGAGGACTACTCAACTGGTGCAGCACCGTTTGCAGAATGGGACTTTTGGCGGGCTCAGCAGGGCAGAGCCAATAGAATTAGACTCTATTCAAGAGAGTCTATTCTATTGGCTTTCCAAAGCCAATAGAATAAAAGGGAGGAGCACAGCTAAGGAAAAGGGGGAAAAAAATGGCGGACTGCATTGTTTGGCGACCCCCGTGAAATGGTCGTTCGACCCCAAATGGGGTCCCGACCCACAGGTGGAGAACCACTGCCTTAATGTTTTGCTCTTCTGCCCCCCCCCCCCTTCTGAAGGCCAGGACTGCATTCTTTCCCCCATGCCAATCATTCAGTGTATTTGATCTTCTCTTGCCCGCCCCAAATTCCATACATTTTAATTTCTTGGTTGGTTTAGTTTTCAGGAAGTGGAAGAGGGTCACTCACCTCAGAGGGCAGAACAAATTCTTGGGCTTCTGCTGGGAAGGGGGCGACGTCTACCCACCACTCCCAAACCAGTACGGCTTCTCTGTCCGAGAGACATATGTTTGATGTGGTACCCGAGAATCGGTTAGCCGAAAACAATCTGCCGCAACCAGCCTGCGTAAGTTGGAGGTTCGGAAAAAACAAATGGGTGGTGGGCTTCAAGCAGCAGCACCAACCTCGTGGGGGGGGTCTGTGGGAAGAAGGAAAAAAAAAAGGCAAGTTGACTTGAAAGATCTGGAAAGGCTGGCCTTGCTTGGGTGATCCTGGTCTTCCAGTTAGAGCCCATCCAAGATGGCCTTCGGAAGTTGTGGGAGCTTCATCGCTGGAAGCTTTTGAGAAGAGACTGGACTGCCCTCGGTCAGAAATGGTGTGGGGATCCCTTGCTTGGGGGGTTGGACTAGATGACCCACAAGGTCCCTTCCAACTCTGTTATTCTGTTATTCCTTTGTAGGCCCCATCAAAGTTCCTCTTCAAAGGTTTTGAGCACAGCTGCTAAATACGGGTTGTGTTGCTGGAATATGGATGGGCCTGGTCCATAGGAAACTTTTAGTTTTATGTTGACTTCACAGGATTCCAGTTATTAATAGAAGAGAGTATTTATAGCTCTGAGTTGAACTGCGGAGTCCTCGGTTCTTTCTGAGTTTGGTGGCTTTCTTGCAGACCTTTCGTTACCCAGCTTGGTAACTTCATCAGTGCTAGAAGGGAGTGGGGTTTGTGGAGGGGGGGGAGAAATGGAGGAGGAGGAGAAAGAGGACTGAGGGGTCCTTGATGGTCTCAGAGCTTGGTGGTCTTCTTGCAGACGTTTCATGACCCAGCTAGGTAACTTCATCAGGGGCTTGTATATGAACAGAGAGCAACCTTCACTCCCTTCTAGCGCTGATAACGTTACCTAGTTGGGTCATGAAACGTCTGCAAGAAAGCCACCAAGCTCAGAGAGCACCAAGGACCCCACGGTTGTCATTGTCCCCCTCCCCCCTCCTCCTCCTCTCTAGCACTGATGACGTTACCTAGTTGGGTCATGAAACGTCTGCAAGAAAGCCACCAAGCTCAGAGAGTACCAATGACCCCATAATCCTCTTCCTCCTCCTCCTCCTCCATTCTGCAAACCACACCCCTTTCTAGCACTGAGGATGTTACCTAGTTGGGTCATGAAACGTCTGCGATAAAACCACCAAGCTCAGAGAGCATCGCGGATCCCACATTCCAGTTATTTTCTACTCGCCAATTAAAATTGGCCGGAGAGCCTAAGAATAAAGTCCACTTATCCAGAAGACTCCCCAGCTTCTCCATTAACTTTGGGGAGTTAATGTCCACCCATATGGAGAGCGACCAGATTGGGAGAAGCTGGCCTGAAGACCCGTCTGACTGGATGATCCTTAGAACTGTGAGGTGCTTGGTGCTCTCGTGGCCTAGTTTGGTGGTCTTCTTGCGGACGTTTCATTACCCAACTAGGTAATATCATCCGTGCTGGAAGGGAGTGGGCTTTGCTCTCTGTTCATATCCAAGCCCCTGATGAGGCTAACTAGCTTGGCAATGAAACGCCTGCGAGAAAACCACCAAGCTCGGAGAGGTTTCCCCCCCCTTTTTTTGCATGGCGTGACATTTTTCTGCTCGGGGATTCTTAAATGGTGCCGCCTCTTGTTGCAGTGCTCAGGAAAGCAAGCCCCGGCAGGGACAGGAATGCCGAAAGCCGAGCTGAAACGAAAAGGGAGTTCTCGAAAGTCCAAAGGGAAGGGCGTCCCGCCCCCACCGCAGCAGCCTCAGGGCCCCGGCGAGAACGCCGACAAGAAAAGCCCCTTCCCACTCGTCTCCAAGCACCCCCGTGGCGAGGGCGTCTCTCCCGTGTACAACGAGCCCTACTCGGCCCTGGCCCAACAGGAGCATCCCGCCGTGCGCCCGCTGCACCTGGACTTGAACCATGTACGAGCTGAGAATAATCTCGGAATTTGGGAAGAGGGCAGAGCTCCGGGATCGAAGCCCAATGTCAACACTGCAAATATTGTATATTCTTGCTTTTGACAATATGTAGAATTGTCTGGTAATTATGGGATTAATACAGAGCAGAAGGGGGGGTTGGGGGTAAAGCCCGGGAAAGAAAGAGGAAGAAAACATTTAACCTTCACACTAATTGGATAATGTGAGATATGAGGGCTAATTTAGGGAGGGAACATGCCGATAATTTAACTGCTCAGAGGAAGAGAACTTAGATCCTAGCATCCCTCCGTTGTGCCTGTGCCGACATTTTGTAACAATAAAAGACTTTTAGGAAAATCAATGCCTGGAAGTTCTTTGGCATGTTTCATTAGCCGGAACCACAACATCATGCTAGGATCTAAGCCTCCCTGTCTGGGATTGAGGAGCATCTGGACAGGCCCTGCAGGTGCCCTTCCCAGGAAATCCACAGCTGGATTTCTCACCCAAGTGGACGTTTTTGTCCCCCCCCCCTGCAGCCGAAGCAGTGGAACGTGCCGAGGAGTCAGACCTGCCCTGCACCCCAAACGCTGGAATACGCCTCTCTCTCGTCTTCCCCCATGTATGCCGACCCCTACACGCCCAACTCGCCCTCCACGCACGGGGCAGCAGCCTCCTACTTCCTGGGAGAGGTGAGTGGGGCCGGGGGCAAACAGGGAGGGCCACGGAGCGATTATACAGGTAGTCTTCGATTTACAACGGTTCAGTCGAAGTTAACAACGGCACTGAAAAAAGCGACGTACGTCTGTTTTTCACGCTTACATCTGTTGTGGCATCCCCAGGGTCACGTGATCAAAATTCAGATGCGTGGCAACTGGCCTGTACTTAGGACAGTTGCAGTCTCCCGGGGGGTCACGCGATCCCCTTTCGCGACCTTCGGACGAGCCGAGCCAATGGGGGAAGCCATGTTCATCTAACGACCACGTTGCTAACTGAACTGCAGTGATCCACTTAACCCCCGTGGCTGGAAAGTTTATAAAATGGGGCTAAACTCGCTTAACAAATGTCTCGCTTACCGATAGAAATGTTGGGCTCGGTTGGGGTGGTAAGGCGAGGACCCCCTGCACAAGATTTGAACTCAAGCCCAATAAGCTGTCTTCTAAAGGCTTTTCTGGATCAGCATCGCCTTCCCGAAACAGCCCGTTAGAGGCTTTGCAGAAATCTGCGAGCAAGATGGGAAAACCTACATGTTTTGTTTTGTTTTTTCTCCCGTGGTGTATTTTCTACCCAGGATTTATTCTGTGGTTTAGCCTCCACCGTGGGATTCCTCACATGCAAAGCAGGGGGGGGGAGGTTACTGCCTCTTTTGAGGAGTTACTGGGCTAGGCTGGTCCTCTTTCCAAATGAGCAGGATCAAAAACCAGGGGCTTTCTCAGAAATGGGTAGGTGGGTGAGCGGGTTTAAAGCTCCTGGGCACAATTTGTAAGTCGCTCCAAAAGGCCAAAGATGCTTCTGATTTAGTACATCTAACTGTGCAAGCTTTGACTCATTCTATATGGGTAAGATCTCCATGCAATTGTCATCTCCTCCTCCTCCTCCTCCTCCTCCTCCTCCTCCTCCTCCTCCTCCTCCTCCTCCTTCTTCTTCTATTCTTCTTCTTCTTCTATTCTTCTTTAATTCTTTCTTCTTTTCTTCTTCTTCCTTCCTCTTCTTTTCTTCATCTTCTTCTCCTCCTCCTCCTTTTCTCCTCTTCTCCTCCTCCTCCTTTTTCTCCTCTTCTTCTCCTTCTTTTCTTCTCCTCCTCCCCCTCTTTTTCTCCTCTTCCTCCCCTCCTCCTCCTCTTCTTCTTCTTCTTCTTCTTCTTCTTCTTCTTCTTCTTCTTCTTCTTCTTCTTCTTCTTCTTCTTCTTCTTCTTCTTCTTCCTCCTCCTCCTCCTCCTCCTTCCCCTCCCCCTCCTCTTCCCCACCTTCCCTTCCATCCTCCCCCTCCTTCCTCCTCCTTCCCTTCCTTCCTCGTCTCCTTCACAGCTCGGGAGGTGTCACGGGCCGTCCCCTGTGGAGCCTCAGAACGGCTACCCAACCGTGCCAGTGTCTGTTCCCGTCTGCCATCATCCTCTGGGGTGGAAGAGCTTTCAACCGTCCTGTGGAGACCACTGGGGAGAACCCGTCCTGGCCCAGAGAGGCAATGCCTCGGCCCCAGCCTTTCACTTTGCCACGCAGCCTGCACCAGACGTCAATTATTTGACCACAGTAAGTGCAGCGCAAAGGAGATTCGGTTCTTCTGGGTAGGGGGGGGGGGCAGGGGTAGAATCGGAAGACAAAACTGCTGTGTGAGTTTTGTGGCCCTGAGCTGCTGTTTTTGCCTTCCCCTCCTGCAAACAGAGCACCTCTTCGGGAGACGGCCTCCGGACGCGTTCCTTGCCAACGTCAGGTGAGTCCTTGGGAGGCCTTGAGATCTTGGCCTTGAATGAGCTTTGGCTGGCAGCCGCCTGGATTTGAATTCAGAATCGGCCTAGAAGAAGACGGGGCAGTTCAGAGGGAACCCAAATGCCACTCCAGAAGGAGCTTTCAAGGAATGATCCTCACCGGGGAAGGGACTGTAGTCTGCCCCACCTCCAAATCCTTAACTGTCTATGTCAGGGGTAGGCAACCTCGGCTCTTTTATGACTCCTGGACTTCAACTCCCAGAATTCCTGGGTCGGCTATGCTGACTCAGGGATACTGGGAGTTGAAGTCCATGAGTCATAAAAGAGTCGAGCTTGCCTACCCCTGGTCTATGTGAATAACAGAATAGCAGAGTTGGAAGGGACCTCGGAGGTCATCTAGTCCAACCCCCTGCTCCTCCTCCTCTTCTTCTTCTTCTTCTTCTTCTTCTTCTTCTTCTTCTTCTTCTTCTTCTTCTTCTTCTTCTTCTTCTTCTTCTTCTTCTTCTTCTTCCTCTTCCTCCTCCTCCTCCTCCTCCTCTTCTTCTTCTTCCTCCTCCTCCTCCTCCTCCTCCTATTATTATTATTATTATTATTATTATTATTATTATTATTATTATTATTATTATTATTTCTTTTAGCCTCCAGTCCCCTAATCATCTTGGTTGCTCTTCTCTGCCCTGATCTCTTCTAGATGAAAACCTGCAGGCCTACAACCTGCCTGAAACAGGGGGGGAACAGCTGGACTCGACTTACCACGACTACGCCGAGCTGCAAAGCTTCCATGAGGACTACAGCTATGACAACATCTGGGAGACAGAGGTGAAGAAGCCGCCCACCGTCCAGGAGATCTACGATTGCTAAGGGAGGCGTCCTTCCCCTGAAGCAGGAAGACTTGAGAACCGGGAAGAGAGGAAATTTGACTCTTGTTTTTTATACTGCAAACGTTGGATGGTGGACTTCTGAAGGCCAGGATCTGTCTAGCTACTTTGGGACCCCTTGTCCCAAAGTGGAGGAATTCCTGTTCCTCCACTTCAGCTTGTGGTGCTATGAAAAACGTCTGAGAAAAAGAAATTCTGGACCTGGGATTCTTCCATCCACGAAGCGGTTGTTTAATCGACGCAGAGATGGATCCTGATCACGTGGTTGTTATGAAGAAAGCTACCCTGTCTGGATGGGGTCAGAAGCAGTCTGGACTTTGTATGTGCCCTTGATACTGCAATTCACCCCGAAACTTTAAAAACATTATCTGCTAACCGTTACTCCGAGGGACAAATGCAAAGCTGGTTTTTAAAAGCTGCCATTCCATCTTGAGACGGTTGAAGAACTGGACAATCAAAATGGATTGGACCCTTCCTTGGATTAGGAATTTTGAGATGGCTTGTGGCAACTGGCGTGCAATTTCAAAAAAACAACCCCCCCCCTCAAAGCAAACAAGTATAAGACATCCTTCCCCGTTGCAAAAAAAAAAGGAGATTTTTTTTGCTAGCTAAAACCACAGCTGTTATGAAGGTTTGCAAATAGATGGGCGTTGCTGGCGATTCTGACTCGGGATAAAATGAGGATAGTCAAATATAAACTGCTCAACCAGTGTGGAGCACACAAACACGCGCAGGAACGACAGCCAGTTTTTACATTCTGTACACTCATTTTCCCAGCCAATCCTCTGCCTTTTGGTGTGTGTCATAAAAAAGGGGGCTTTGCACTCCTTCAGATGGAGAAACAGTTCGCTTTGGGAAAGCTGGCCAGGGATATTTCCTGTGTGTCGAGTGTGCAACACAGCTTCTGGTTTTCCCAGGGCCTAACACTGCCTTTCTTGCTCTTGGGGGATGGTAGCGTTCTCCTCTGCTGATGGTTATCCTTTTTTGAAACGCGTTGCTTTGTTGGTTTCCATTTAAGTAGCAATAATAATAATAAGGCTGCTTGCCAACCAGCTTGAGAAGCAGCCAAAGGCTTGCGGTTGAGCAAATGTGCCAGGAAAGTTGATTGTAAGAAGATCAGCGGAGAGATGAAGAACTGGTTGAGGGTTTCAAGAATTGGGAGTAGTGCAAAGTGAAGATTCTCTAGGACCCACATTATTTTGTGTGCATTATGTTGTGTTTGTTATTTATTATTCTTCGCTTTTATAGCCCGCTGTTCCTTGAAGAAACCAATTTTATGGCGTCTTCCCCTCTTTCCTTCCTTCCTTCCTTCCTTCCTTCCTCTCTTCCTCCCTCTCTCTCCCTCCTTCCCTTCCCATCATTCTCCTTTCTTCCTTCCCCATTTTTCTCCTTCCTTTCCTTCCTTCCTTCCTCTCTCCCGAGTCTTCCTTCCTTCCTTCCTCTCTCTCTCTCCCTCTTGACTCTTCCTTCTTTCTTTCTTTCTTTCTTTCTTTCTTTCTTTTTCTTTCTTTCTTTCTTTCTTTCTTTCTTTCTTTCTTTCTTCCTTCCTTCCTTCCTTCCTTTTTCTTCCTTCGTTCCTTCTTTCTTCCTTCCTTCCTTCCTTCCTTTTTTTCTCTTCCTTTCCTTTCCTTTCCTTTCTTTTCCTTTCCTTCTTCTTCTTTCTTCCTTTCTTTCAGGCAACGGAGTGGCTGGCAGACACAATTCTAGTTCACACTTTTGGTTGTTATATCCTCCACTCTTTACGGTGTTGCTATGGGCCAGGATAACCCATGGACTACTTTTGTTACTTGAATTTAAAATACATTAAAAATATATATATTGTTCAACTGCCAACATTTAGTAAAGTTTACAAGAGGGTCTTGTTGGGTTGTCTGATAGTTTATTTAATAAGCAATTAAATGGGTTTGCTTGGGGCAAGGGGAGGGGAGATAATTTTTTTTTAAAAAAAAAAAATAATTATTTAATTTAGTAAATAATCCCCGCTGTTTGGCATCAGCTGCTTCTTGATGGTTATTGAACTAAAGCAGAGTGGGAGGAGGCTGCGGCGGCAATTTCAATTCCAGGTTTCTTTGTTGTACTTCTGAGGAGTGTGTTTGTGTCCTGGCTCGTTATGTGTTGGGTTTTTTTACGTGAGCGCAAAACAGTAAAAGGAGATTGGATTTCAAATCACGCGGCTCGGTTGCGGTTGTGTTGCAGCAGTGGTAGACAATATTAAGGTGCAGAGTTTGTGTGCATGGGCGTGTGGGTCGGTGTGTAAGGGGTGGGTGGGTGTTGTACAACATTGACCCTGTTCTTTCGGTGATTCCTTTAAAGGCCTCTAATAAAGTTAATATAATTCACGCGTGGCTGGTTTTTACTCTAACCAAAAAACGATTTTTTTCCCCCAAGTCTCCTCGTTCAAACACATCCCTTTTGTGAAATGCGCATTGTGTAAGCCAAGGAAGGGATTTCAGAAAGCCACTATAAGGATGACAATTTTTCAGAGGCAACCCTATTGCAGCCACCGCTCCTCCCTTTAGCCTTCAAGAGCACGAGGGGATCCCCGTGCAAAGACACCCCCTATTATTTTGGGGGAAAACCCATTGTGTTTCAAGCAGTTGCAACAGATGCGTAAATGAAGGGCCCGGAAGGATGACGGACAGTGAGTAAATGGTTTGGAAACAAAGTGGTTCCCCTCCCTTTTAAATATAATAATAATAATAATAAAGTTGAAAGGGACCTTGGAGGTTTATAAAACCTTACCCCTGGATGATTGTTTTTGTATTGTTGTTTGTTATGTTTTATGTGTTTTTTATTGTTAGCCGCCCAGAGTCCTTCGGGAGTGGGGCGGCTTATAAATTTTAAAAATAAAATAAAATAAAATAAAATCTAGTCCAGTCCCCTGCTCTGGCAGGAAACCCTATAGTACCATTTCAGACAAATGGCTGTCCAGTCTCTTCTTAAAAACTTCCAGTGTTGGAGCATTCAGCACTTCTGGAGGCAGGTTGTTCCACTGGTTAATTGTTCTCACTGCTGGGAAGTTTCTCCTTAGGTTGCTTCTCTCCTTGGTTAGTTTCCATCCGTTGCTTCTTGTCCTGCCTTCAGGCGCTTTGGAGAATAGCTTGACTCCCTCTTCTTTGGGGCAGCCCCTGAGATACTGGAACACTGCTATCATGTCCCCCCTCGTCCTTCTCTTCATTAAACTAGACATACAGATGACTATATGGTAGAGAAGCCCTTAACTGTGCACTGATATTAATTACAAGTCTAATGTTTTGTAAAACTTCTGACCCATTGAAAAGCGACACTGTGGACAGCAAAATTCATCGTCAACCTTAATTTGTGGTGACTTATATCCATGTACTCAAGAGCGCAACTGGGTGAATTTTCTCTTTCTCTCTCTCCCTCTCTTTCTCTCTTTGCTATTGTGAATACATCTGGGCAGCTCTGCTCAGTCAGGTGCATCTCCCTCTGACTCACACACTTGTGTTCTTTTTTTTATGCGACTCAACACACACACACACACTTCCTTTAGGCGAAGGTGGTGGCGGTGGGAACAGAGGCTTGTAACTATAACTGCTCTTCTCCACCTTTCCTGGAATATCCTGATTTTTTTTTTCACGATTTCTCCTTTAGGCTGCCAATGAATTAATTTTTCCACAGGTAGTCCTTGACTTACAACCGCAATTGGGCCAAAAATTTCTGTTGCTAAGTGAGTCTTGCTCCGTTTTATGACCACGATTGTTAAGCAAATCACTGCAGTTGTTACACTGATCACACGGTCGCTAAGGGAATCTGACTTTGCTTGTCAAAAGGTCGCCAAAGGGGATCACGTGACCCCAGGACACTGCAAAACCGTCATAAATATGAATCAGTTACCAAGCATCTGAACTTGGATCATGTGACCATGGGGACGGTCGTTAAGTGTGAAAAAAGGTCCTAAGTTGCTTTTTTCGGTGCCGTTGTAACTTCGAACAATCACTAAATGAAAGGTTGCAAATCCAAGACTACCTGGACTATAAATAATAATTTTTTCAATACATTTCAATAAATGGTCCCCCGTCCATGCTCTCACCAGGACCCAGCCTGCTTAGCTTCCCAAGACTAGACATGTTCTTACATTCACTTCTTCAATGAAATCAGTCTGTGTTTGATCATTGTTATAGTTACCTATCACTTTTTCCAGGGCTGTTGTAACTTAGCACGGTCACTAAATGAACGGCTGTAAGACGAATTCTTGGTATAGGTTGGTATGGGGGCTGCTTGAGCTGGGGGCTGGACTAGAAGACCTCCAAGGTCCCTTCCAGCTCTATTCTATTCTATTCTATTCTATTCTATTCTATTCTATTCTATTCTATTCTATTCTATTCTATTCTATTGGCATAGGTAGACACAAGTCAAAAGAGAAAGAGGCTGGAAATTTCCCCCTGGCATTTCATTTTCTAAGTAGACAGTCTGTTGGTGGACAGAAGGGACATCTGTCTGACTTTTTCATTCCATCAGCAGGGAATAGCTGGACGATGGCCTTCCCAAATGCCAGCCAACTGCCCTCACTGAGGGAGAGCTGACCAAAAAGAGTAGGGAGGAGGAGAAGGAGAAAAAGAGGAGGAGGAGAAGAAGAAAAGAAGAAGAGGAGGAGGGGGAGAAAAAGAGGAGGAGGAGGAGGAGAAGAAGAAGGAGAAGGAAGAGGAGGAGGAGGAGGAGGAGGAGGAGGAGGAGGAGGAGGAGGAGGAGAAGAAGAAGAAGAAGAAGAAGAAGAAGAAGAAGAAGAAGAAGAAGAAGAAGAAGAGAAGAAGAAGAAGAAGAAGAAGAAGAAGAAGAAGAAAGAAGAAGAAGAAGAAGAAGAAGAAGAAGAAGAAGAAGAAGAAGAAGAAGAAGAAGAAGAAGAAGAAGAAGAAGAAGAAGAAGAAGAAGAAGAAGAAGAAGAAGAAGAAGAAGAAGAAGAAGAAGAAGAAGAAGAAGAAGAAGAAGAATCTACAGGCCAAAGTGGAGAGGGCAGAGGGCATTTATACAAAAATCTCCTGCTGACTTTCTGGCTTGCCTTTCAGGTCATCCAGAAGCCAAAGGCCCATCCATCGTGCACTGAGTCTACTCTGGGGAGTCAGTCACCAAAGGTCAATGCAAAGGACCAACTATTTCCAGGAAAGTCAGAAGCGGATTTGGACTCTGCCAAGAAGACCAGCAGAAACTCCAGGAAGGTTTATCTCTGAGGGCTTCTGACGTTCCCCTCCCTCGTCCCTTCCCCTCCAACGACTGGCGGGGGGGGGGGGGTCCCAGCCAGGCAAGGAGAGCTGCTTTGATTTCACCTGCCTGCCATTCCCTGCCTAGAGCAGAGCAGCAGCTGTGCAAACAAGATGATGATGGGCCAGCTAAGACTGCCATTAAAATACCTTCATCTCCTTCTTGGCAGACGAGGAGAGGACATGGACCAAAGGGAGGTTAGCTAGCATAATCCCAGTTCTTATTCCAAGACGGTAAACACGGAGGCCAATGGCAAGCCCTGGCACCAGTGCTGGGATTCAGCCAGTTTGCGCCACTTCAACAGAACCGGTAGCTAATTTTTTGGGTTGCCCAGGCCCAGAACGGACTTCCAGAAGCGGCATCCACGCAGAGAACCTGGGGTTCCCCTATTTGAATCCCACCACCGCCTGACACTGAACCCCACGTCTCTTAAGTTGAACTAGATTTCTGGCAATTTGATGGACACATCTGGGTTATATGTTTTCAGGAGCTTTATGGAAGCTGTTCGGTCAGCCTTGTTGGGAAAGCTTATTTCAGCTTCATGGTTTAGCCTCCAGAGAGGCATTTCCGAGTGGTGCCATATCCATGGTTTAACCAGCTTTAGATCTGGCTGCTTTTTTTTTTAGAGCTAGATTCAGTCTCCTGCGTTGCAAAGGCAGTTGTAAGGACGCGTTTCCGAACACCCGAAAACGTTCTTTTTTTTAACTCACTGCAATTATTTTCAGTTTTCTTCCTCGCTGGTCTAGGGCAGGGGTAGGCAACCTTGGCTCTTTTATGACTCGTGGACTTCAACTCCCAGAATTCCTGAGCCAGCCACGCTGAGGGGAAAGGGAGAGGTTTCCAAGCTGAGCCATGCTGGCTCAGGAATTCTGGGAGTTGAAGTCCACCAGTCATGAGGGGGCCATAGTTCCCCCATGCTGGCTCAGGAATTCTGGGAGTTGAAGTCCACGAGTCATAAAAGAGCCAAGGTTGCCTACCCCTGGTCTAAGGGTTCACTTTCTTATCAACCCAGGTGAGATTGGCAGATACGGACCCAAAGATTTCCTTACACGGATAATCTAAGGTTACATTTTGCATTCTAGGCAGTCCTCCATTTACAATCATTCGTTTAGTGATCCCATTCAAAAATTACAACGGCACGGGAAAAAAAGTGACTATTTCCCTTTTTCACATTTACAATCGTATCGTTCCGGTGGTCACATGCTCAAAATCCAGATGCTTGGTGTATTTATGACGTTTGAGGTGTCCCGGGGTCACATGATCCCCTTTTGTGACTTTCTGGCAAGCAAAGTCCATGGGGAAGCCAGATTGTCTTAACAACCGTGTATACGGGACTACCTGTGTCCACGTTTTGTTGTATGAGATGGCACAGTGGCTCCATCTGAAAGGAGCAGAAAGAAACACTTAAAAATGCCAACAATTGGGGGGTTCAGGAAGACTTTAATAATTAGGGATTTTTCTTCAGTACACAAGTATATTTTCAACTCTTCTGGGAATTGTGGAGAATCAGGGACACAGAGAACAGGAGCGGAAAAGACATTCAAAACAACAGATGAAGATCAAGTGCTGGCTTAGTTTAGAGGCCACGAGAAAAAGACATAGGAAAGAAAAACCTGTCACACGAATCTCCATTTAATTTTGGGCTCACTTTGCCAGCATTGGGGAAATTAAACGGATCTATGTATGAGATAATTATAAACATCACAGCAAAATAACGTACGGTATATATTGTGTGTTTTGAGCATTCAGAGGGCAGCGTATATAAAATGTTGTTTTTTTGAAGAAAGTTTGTTTACTGGAACTCTTTATAACATGCAGATTATAGCAGGCAGATCCCAATATAGATATAGATATATATATTTGCATCCTAAAGACTGAGTTGAGTAACATTTTCTCCTAAACCCTAGGTGGCTGGGCTGAAAAAGCACAAAACCAAATCAAGTATTTGTGTGCGTTTGCAATCAACTTGTTGCTTATGGCATTGACAAACTTTTTAAATTACACAGGATGACTCATTGGATAGCTTTATAATATCTGCAGCATCCTGCAAAGTCATTTCCTAATGCTCATCAGCAAATATTTCTGGGGTTTTCTAGAAACTCTCCCCACTATTCGAACACCCTTGCCAACTTCCAAAAGTCAGTTCATCGTTGTCTGTAACAAACCCGGATCCCAACCCATCAAAAAGCAGCTTAATATGGGAAGAGCAAAATTCTCTTTAAGTTAAAAAAGCTTCCCATTACAGTACAGATAGTCCTCAATTTACAACTCCCATGTGACCCTGGGATAGTGCAAAGTTCGTAACGGTGAAAAATGGCCATAAGTCATATTTTTCAGCGTTGCTGTACCTTTGAACGGTCACTAAACAAACTGTTGGAAGTTGAGAACTCCCTGAACTCCCTTAATGTCACATTCTCTCACTTTCTGTAGCTGAAATGCCTAAACACCTTTTTCGAATGATTTTGTCTTTCAGTTATTCCTTTTCTTAAATCTAGCTGCTTTTTTTTTTACAAAAAAAAAAACACAAGCTTTTTGTTCCCCTTATTTATTCGTTCGTGGATCCTTCCTGCTTTGGCTCTTGCGTCTGCGGAGGAATTCATTTTATAGCTTACCATCCCTTGCAAGTTTAAGATAAACTCCCAAGTGGGAGACAAAGAAAAAAAAAAACACAAGGATTTGGGGCTTGAGTTGGGTAGATCCCAATAGGGATGATTTTTAGGGAAGGTTTAATCTTCTTTCTCACCTCTTTCCCGACTGGTAAATCTGAAGTCCGGCAATTCAAAAGGCGCCCAAATTTGGTTTTCACGCTTTGCAGGAGAAGATCTTGAAAGCATCCCCTTCAGGAACTGCCTCTCAAGAGCTGTGATAATTCTCCATGACAACCTGCCTCCTGAAGCAACGGATGGCGGAGAGGGTGCCAAAGTTTGCCAGCAGCACTGGGGGAAAAAAAAAAAAGATATATGTGTCCAGATGAATGAATGCAATCAAGACTTTTAAACTTTTTCCAAAGCAAGAGCAGTGAGCCTGGATTAAGCATTATTATTATTTTGCACAGTGTCTTTTTTCCCTTTTTCAATATTCCAATCTTTTCTGCAATTTGCAGGAGATTCTTCCTTTTGCATCCTAAATCCCGCAATTGTTTTTACTGTCTTTTACTATATTTTAGCTAAAGGACAGGAGAAGAAAACCAAGCTTTTTATTTCCAGCTTTTTTCTCTTTCTCTCTAATTTCTATTTAATCTCTTGCTTCTATCTCTCTTTCTCTCTAATTTCTCTCTATTTAATCTCTATCATTTTTCTAATTTCTATCTGTTTAATATCTATCTATATCTACATTCTATCTGTCTGCCTGTCTATCTATCCAGACACAGACACAGACACACAGACACACACAGACACACAGACACAGACACAGACACACACACACACACACACACAAACACATACATACATACATACATACATACATACATACATATATACACATTATTTTGTAAAGCAAAAGACCCCCGCCCCCATTTCTTGTGAGCCCGTCCTCCCTGCATCCCACTCATGAGGACTAGGAGTTTTTTAAAAAAAGGAAAGTGAATTCTATTTAAAACAGTCTTCCTATCAGATTTTAGATTCTGTTGGGTTTTTGAAAGAGGGGAAGGGGAAAGGGAAGGAGAGGACAGCGGAGAGGAGGGAAGCTCATATGAGTTGCCTTCCTGAATTTGCTTCTTTCTCAAAAAGTAGAAGAGAACTGGAGAAATGGAGGCCAGGCCTAGGGGATCCTGCTCTTTAAAAATTCTTTAAAAATAAACTTTCTTTTAAGATATAAAGGGAGAAACCAGCCTCTCTCTCTCTCTCTGCTGTTGCTCTCAAACATGCAAAAGGTTGCTTTGAAAAGAAAAATGGAAGAAAGATAAGGGGTTAAGAGAGAGAATTAAAAAAAACAAAAAAACGCTCTTCCTGATGTTCCCCTTGCCTTATTTCAGACGGGAACCAGTCGGTCAGCATTCCTGGGTTATCTTTTCAATTTCAACCCCCCCACCCCACCCCCCACCCCCCAATCTCAGTTCTCTCCACACAGGTGCCCTGGGAAACATTACCAATCTTCCAAGCATCCGGAGCCTGCAAGTTGGAGGTTTTCACAGCCCAAGAAGCCAACGCCACAAATCCCAGGCACAAATCTCTGGGAGTGATGACCAGCTGGAGAGGCCTCTCTGAATTAAAAAAAACAAAACAAAAACAAGGGAGTTTGGAACCAGTGGTGGTCAGAGCTGGCATGCATCTCTAAAGGACATCTAGTCTGACCCCCTTCGCGCAGGATTCTGGGCATCCGAAGTCTGTTTCTAGGAGCCCCGGTCTCCATCGAAACCCTCACATGGTTTCGTGATATCAAATAACCGAATTTAGCAGGATTCCCAATGTTCAATATTTATTCTGTACATTGTGTTTGTGGAACTGAGCTCTGGGGCTTATGCCTGCTGGAGAAATGGTGAGAAATGACTCTTTTTTTTCTTCCAGTTATCCATTTTTTTTAAAAAGAAAAAACCAAACCTAATGATAAAATGCTGTGCTGTTGCCATAAGAAGAAAACACAGCCCACGGTCAGACCCGATTATCACAGCCAGCCGAATAAATGGCCTGTTTTCTCAAAGGCCGAAATCTTAATCTCCACTTGGCTGATGCCGAGCCTGTGATAAACCACAATCCTCGTTTTTTTTAAAGATTCAGAGGTCATTCTTGGCTTTCGTTCCAGAAAGAGGCACCTTTCATCTTGCTGTGTTTGTCTCTTAAGTGTCCCCGGAGTATAAATTTTCCTTTGGTGTCCTAGATCTCTTTTCTGTCCAAGGTCAGCAGCCCAATTTAGAGTTGGAAACAACTCAGAGGGGAGACGGTCTGAGTCAACACTTCTTGGCTCGATCTGCAAAGGGTTTTTTTTTTTTTGGCCTTTGACTGGGGTTGCAAAACAAAAAAACGAAGATTGCCAGAGCTGCGTTAATTCAGCGGGCAGCAAATGCCCTCCTTTTTAATGGGTTAGAAAGTGGAAAAACCCCTCAGATGTCTGCAGAACAGCATCATTTCAGCAACTGCCCTGCCTCGGTTCACAGATTGTAATCTTCATAATATTTTCCTTCCTACATTTTTCCACCGCTTCTGAGTCCAGACAAAGTCAACGTTTTTAAAGAGGAAAGCTATGAAACATTTCTCAAGGCGCAGGACCGGGGTTCTTACAGTGCTACTAATGTGGTCAAACTTAAGGCTGTTGTTGTTGTTATTATTATTATTATTTGGATATGCAGAGGTGATCTACGATAGCAGTCTTTCAATATTTAAGGGGCTGTCACAGAAAAGTGGGGGTGTCAACCTATTCTACAAAGCACCTGAGGGCAGGACAAGAAGTAATCAAACAGAAAACCAAGCTAGAACTAAGGATAAATTTCCTGACAGTGGGAATGATTACTCAGTGGGAAGATTTGCCTCTAGGATTTGTGGACAAGATTGGAGAGCCCTTTGTCCGAAATGGTATTGGGTCTCCTGCCTGAGCAGGGGGTTGGACTAGATGACCTCCAAGGTCCCTTCCAACTCTGTCATTCGGTAGCCTTTCCTCTTTAAAATGTTGATTTTTGCCCGGACAGACTAATCTAGACCGCCAGTTAATACCGACAAATTGGTTAGTCCGCTAAAGTAGGAAGGATTCGGCAAATCACGTCAAAGGTGTTTGGTTTTTTTTTAGGTCTGTCACTGACTCAAAAAATCTCACATGAAAAGGTGTATTTTAAGTAGGCTTTAGGTTTATACGTCGCCTAGGAAAGCTACTCCACAGATTTCCGAAGCCTGATTTAGCAATGAAACGTAGGGACGTTATTAGTAGAGAATGGCCAGTTGAGCCAGTTAAGGATGGGAAAGAACAAATACCTGGTTTTAAGACAGCTACCTCGAGGTTTTCTGGTGCCAGGGAGGGTCCATCCAGAAGTTTTGGAGATACGAGCATCACTCCCGCCTGGGATCCTCTCCGCCTTGGCTGGGATGTGAGAAAGCGGACTGGCCTACCTATAAGGGATGTTAAAGCTCTCAAGGCCTTTCCTAACTCTGAAGCAGGCACGGCCAGGATGTTCGGCGTCCGGCTGCTCTTGCCTTGTGGTGGGTGTGCAAAGAAGTGTTCGTACACTTCTGGGAATCCCATGGAATCGGTGCCTGTGTCGGGTGCCGGCTCTTCCAAGACAAGGGATGGAGCCAAACGATGGGCAGAGCTGAGGGATGCCTCTGAAGGACCGACTTGGCTCCAAGTCTCGTCCCCAGTCACAGTCTCATCTACATCCTGGAAGAAATATTCATACAACTCAGGGCCTGACATTGCTGGTAGCTCTGACTGATGGCCGTGGCTGATGGTCTCCCTGGACCTTCTCTCTGGCGATGATGGTCCTTCTACTTCGTGGAGGTCATCGGAGAAGAAATAGTCGTACACCTCAGGCCATGTCATGGTTGTTAAAGCTTCTTCTGAACAGTCATTTGATTTTGGATGGTAGGGGGCAAGTCTTGGGCTTCCTTGCGTTCCAGTTAGGGCATCTCCTTCAGGTGGAATAGCCACACCTAGATGGAGACAAGGTTCTCCCTTATTCTGCCTTTCCATCTTTCCTGATGAAGGATCAGAACCTCTTTGGTCGACCTCCAAGGATGGTTGTGGAGATGCATCTTCTTCTAGAACTTCTGGGCATCCTTCCACCCCGTTGTCCTTGGCTTGGTCTCTCTCTTGAGAAGTATTAGGGCTGTGGTCTACTCCTCTCTCTGTTTTGAGGACATCCTCTTCTTTCTTTCCAGAAGCACTTGCCCTACTGTGGACCAACCGTGAAGTCACCTGGACCGAAGGTTCTTCAGAAGGGGAACGCGTTTCCTGGAACGGGGTCCTCGAGACAACCTGGAGGCACTTGACTTCCGTCTCTGGAGTCTCAGCTTCTCCAGATGTTGGAGAAAGAACAGAAGAAACCCTGAGGCCACTGGCCTCCAGAGCTGCATCTCTCAGCTTGGGAAAGTCAGCTTTTCCACAAATGGAGGAGTTGCTCGCTGATCCTGGAAACCTGCAGCCCCCAGAAGCAGTCGGGGAAGTATAGTCTTCGGCATAGTGCAACTTCAAGTCAACTGCTCTGGGTTGGCTCTCCAATGTCTCTTGAACAGGACTCGGACCGAGGGGCAGAACCAAAGATTTTTCTCTTGTCTCTGGCCTTGGAAGTGGCTCCTGTAAATCCCTTTCTTGGGTGATGTGGGCTTCCGTCTTCGTTTCAGGATCCATGGGCCAGCCTACTATTCCTACGCCTTGTTCTTCAGCCACAGAGAGAGGGACAGAGCTGGTGGCAGGTCCAGGGTTCAAAGTCAGGCTGGGGTAGGGACTTGGGGAGGACTGGGGAGGCAGAAAGACTTGCTGATTCCTGCAAAGAAACCTGCCAACGGACCCTACGTCGGTTTCATCTTCGCTGCCAGACAAAGCATCTTCTGCAAGCAGGTGCCCACTTGGGATGCCAGGGGAGAAGCAGCTGTTTTTTGGGTGGGCTGGGCCCCTCTTTTCTTCAGCCTCCCCTTCCTCAAGATCACTCAGGAGCTGGTCTTCAGCAGTGGCCAAGGCTGGGGAGATCAAACGGCATTCCTCCGAGACGAAGTAAAATTCAGCCCAATCCCGGTCGTTCAGCTGGATGCTGTATTCAAAATTTTCCATCTGGAGAAGAGAAACATTGATGGAAGTTGGAGGAGACGAGGGAAGGGACAGGGGAGAGAGAGAGAGGGAGAGAGAAAGTTTTGTGAGAACAGAAAAGGATCCTTTTGGTAGCCTTTTAATTCTTTTAAATTTGTGTATTTGAACAAGGCACGTATGACTTCCCATTTTAGAAAATGTAACTCAGACAACCCATTTCAAAATAAAGCAAAACGGGAACAAAAATATAAAGAATCCCGTCACCAAACAAAGTTAAAAGGGATCCCCCCCCCAAAAAAAGAAGCACCTGGGAGGATGAAACAGAAGGGAAGAGTGTGAATCGAGAATTCAGTAGTAGAGAAAAATAAAGCCATATAAAAATCACCAGCTGCCCTCAAAAAGAACCAAGCTTACAGTTGGTTTGAATGGGAGACCACTAAGTAATCCTACAGCTAGACTGGGAAGTTGGGGGGGGGGAAATCTAGGAAGAAGTGCAAACTGCGTTTCTGACAAGAGTATTAACAGGGACCCGTCCACGAAGTCTCCAAAGATCAAATTCAACTTAGGAAGTCTTTCATTTCTATTTTGCTCCCATCTACTGTGCCCAAGGGGTTAAAAAAAACAGAGGATGTGTAGATTCTGCAAGAGGTTGGTTGGGCTGAGGACTGCTACTTGGCGCATTTTTACCCCTTGACCACCAAGAAGGAAATGGACCCCACTCCAGGGATGCCCCCCCAATTTAATTGTTATTATCATTCAGTACAGTAGCACTGCTGGTGTTACTTGGTTTGAATAATGCAATGTCTGCAAGAAAACCACCAAGGGCCCCTCATTTTAACCTTGAGCTACAAATATTCTCCTTTATTTAAATTCACTACTGAGGCAGAAAAATAAACTCCTTATTGGAACCTCTTTAATGGGAAGCTAAATCTTGTTGCTTGCCTTGGCTGGGGTGATTTTTCTCTTTCTAGTGGGGATTTTACTATGCATGATGTTCCCAATCTTATTAATCATGTATTCCCCCCTCAAACACAAGGTTTCTTCCAAGACAGAGACTTTGTTCAGGAATAACAGCTATCTTCCCAGGTGAATCAAGGAGAGAACTTAGAACGAAGGAGAAATTTCCTGACATTAGAACAATTAACCAGTGGAACAACCTGCCTCCAGAAGCGGTGAACGCTCCAACACTGGAAGTTTTGAAGAAGAGACTGGACAGCCCTTTGTCTGAAATGGTATAGGGTTTCCTGCCTGAGCAGGGGGCTGGACTAAATGACCTCCAAGGTCCCTTCCAGCCCTGTTATTCTGTTCTGAACTGTTTTGTTCTGACTTTTCAGGCCGGTCCTTGATTCAAAAGTCCTTGGCGGTGTCCCAATCCAACAGGGCTGTTTGGATGCCATTGTTCCTTTGAAGGCGTTTGTTTGTACCCTCTCCCATAGCAAAGTGACTTTGCTGGCCACCCTTTCCCAGACTTGTAAAAGAGGGGTGCCAAGGGAAAAAAAAACAAAAACCAGGGCCATCCCAGAAAGGGGGAAATTTTGTAGGTCCTACCTTGTGAACAGCTTATGCTGGGGATGGGGCCATGCTGGCGAGTGCCCGTTAAGCCTCCCCCGGTGTGGCATGATGTAGTTCCCGGTGCCCTTCACACTGGGAACAGGGGCAGTGGCTGCCCGGAAGAAGCCAGCTTTGCAGGCCCAAAATAGTTCTCTCTCTCTCTCTCTCTCTCTCTCTGACCAGTCAAAAGGGCAATCTAAAATAGACAAGACGCTTCTCTGTGCTCATGCTGGCTTACCAGGGAGACTGTTTCTTTTTGGAAACTTGGCCCTATCTGGCTATTTTGCCATCCAGGGGAAATGGCATGTGGTTTTGCGGCAGGGGTGGTGGTTGATACACAGTGTGTGTGTGTGTGTGTGTGTGTGTGTGTGTGTGTGTGTGTTCCCCTTTTCACACTGTTTCCAAGCTCCGTCTTGGAATCTGGGTGGGATGGCGTGCCTTTGAGCGTGGAAGCTGGGATCCAGATGCCAGCTGGAGCGCCCCGAAATTGTCGTCCAGATTGGAATAAAAAAATAATAATAATAATAGCCAGGCCATCAGAGAGACGGCCACTGTGGGATTAAATATTTGGTTGAAAAATGTTACTTTCTGTCTTATATAAAGGCTCGTAGGGAGCGAATGGGCAGGCTGGTGGAGTTTTATTGCCAGAAAAACAGTGGTGCTTTGCAGTAGTTTTCTTTCAGATGCTTTTAGGACTCCCCGGTCTAGCCTCTGGCCTTGGGTTTTCCTGGTGGCCTCCTGTTCCTGCACTGATAATGTTCCCTAGATGGGTAATGAAACGTCTGCAAGAAAACAACCAAGCTCAGAGAGCACCAAGGACCCCACACAGTCCTCCTCCTTCTCCCTTCTTCTTCTTCTTCTTCTTCTTCTTCTTCTTCTTCTTCTTCTTCTTCTTCTTCTTCTTCTTCTTCTTCTTCTTCTTCTTCTTCTTCCTCCTCCTCCTCCTCCTCTTCTTCTTCTTCTTCTTCTTCTTCTTCTTCTTCTTCTTCTTCCTCCTCCTCCTCCTCCTCCTCCTCCTCCTCCTCCTCTTCTTCTTCTCTTCTTCTTCTTCTTCTTCTTCTTCTTCTTCTTCTTCTTCTTCTTCTTCTTCTTCTTCTTCTTCTTCTTCTTCTTCTTCTTCTTCTTCTTCTTCTTCTTCTTCTTCTTCTTCTTCTTCTTCTTCTTCTTCTTCTTCTTCTTCTTCTTCTTCTTCTTCTTCCTCTCCTCCTCCTCTTCCTCCTCCTCCTCCTCCTTCTCCTTCTCCTTCTTCTTCCTTCTCCTTCTTCTTCTTTCTCCTCCTCCTCCTCCTCCTCCTCCTCCTCCTCCTCCTTCTCCTCCTTCTCATTTTGCACATCCCATTCTCTTCTAGCAGTGATAATGTTACCTAGGTGGGTAACGAAATGTCTGCAAGAAAACCACCAAGCTTGGAGAGCACCAAGGACCCCATGGTGACCCTCCTCCTCCTCTTCCTCCTCCTCCCCACACACTTCTAGCACTGATGATGTTATCTAGGTGGGTAATGAAATGTCTGCAAGAAAACCACCATGCTCGGAGAGCACCAAGGGCCCCAAAGTTCAACTCCGAGCTACAAATATTCTATCATTTCACCTCTGACCTTCACCAGATGCCAAGGTGCCCAATGCCCTTTGTTCCTCTAATCCACTTCCTTCCCCCCCCCCCACTATGGAAAGCTGGGCCAGAAAGGCTGAGTCAGACAACCCACAAATCTGGGACACCAGACAGAGACAAAAGGCAAATCTCCCAGCCCGCCTAATGGAGAAGTTAAAAGCGAGAATAGCTATTAATTTGGTTACAGTAAAAACCGCAAGGCTAGGTGTCACACAGGATTTCAACACCCTCCGTTTAGGATCCCAAAACTGGGCTGGGGACAAAGATTTATTTTTCAGCTCTGAGGTTCCTGAGCTAACCTGGTATATTTATTTGAGAACTGCTTTATGCCTTGTGTGGAAATGAACGGCTGGAAGGAAAACAGAATAAACCAAATATGGATATTTTTTGGGTGGAGTTTCTTATAGAACAAAGGTGGATAATGAGAGAACTGCAGTGTTGGTGGCAGAGGAGCTGGTCCTGGTTGAAAAACAAGCAGGGGGTCTTGAATCAAGATACGAAAGGGATCCTTAGAGGTCATCCAGATCAACCCTTTGCTCGGGATAGAAACTACAAAGAAACACCAGCCTCCTTTTAAATAAATACAACAGCATGCTGAGGACACCTAAGTCACCCTTTACGCAAAGCTTACCCAAATATTTGTTTTTCCGTTTCTTCCTTCTCATCTTCCCCAAACGATGGATTTTCAAATATTTGGCACTTCACTTTGTCTCCTTCTAATATTTCCAGACCATCCAAGTTGCAATCTGTAGGGGAAAAAAAAATATTTTCATTTTTACAGCCATCAGGGTTTTTTTGTTTTGCAAAGGGACTGGTTCTGTCCATTTGCCTTGAGCCAAGGTGCATCACTCCAAAATTTTGCAACTTATTTAAGAGCTCTATATGTACTGTAGTTACTTTTCTAATCTTGCAAAGATTTCTGGGGTGTGTGGCTCTTTCTGAAACGAGGTCATCTTTTTCAAGAAGATCCATGCATTTGGAAAGCTGTGACGCAACCGATTTACTGCCTGACTGATTTTTAAACACAGCACAAAATCAAACTTGAGGCCTTTGAATCAAGACAGGAGAATAGAATAACAATTCTGACTGAGGCCTGCCACCTGCTGGCCAAAGAGCAGAAAAGCAATATTCCCCATTGGAACTGATTTGAAAATACTGAATTGAAAACCAAAAAAAAGGATAGAAATTTTACGGTGGAAACAAGTTGTTTTTCTCTGTCGTTTTCCTCTTTTTTTTCTTTCTTTGCCTTCTTCCTTGGTGAAGAGTGCTGTTGATCCCAAAAGTATGCACACTATTTTGATCTAGAAAAGATAATGTCGTAATAAGGGATTTATCACGTCCCTTAACAGAATAATAGGGCTGGAAGGGACCTTGGAGGTCTTCTAGTCCACCCGCCAGCTCAGGCAGGGGACCCTATACCATGTCAGACAAATGGCTGTCCAGTCTCTTCTTAAAACTTCCAGTGTTGGAGCATTCGCCACTTCTGGAGGCAGGTTGTTCCACTGGTTAATTGTTCTAACTGTCAGAAAGTTTCTCCTTAGTTCTAGGTTGCTTCTCTCCTTGATTAGTTTCCATCCGTTGCTTCTTGTCCTGCCTTCAGGCGCTTTGGAAAATAGCTTGACTCCCTCTTCTTTGGGGCAGCCCCTGAGATACTGGAAGACTGCTATCATGTCCCCCCTCGTCCTTCTCTTCATTAGACTAGAGATACCCAATTCCAGCAACCGTTCCTTATATATTTTAGCCTCCAGTACAAGTATCTATTTTCTGACAATTGTTCTTTTTGCTTAGATGCAAAGTTTTTAACTATAACTTTTTGTTTTTTTCTCTGTTTATCTTCAAGTCTCTATTTTCTTTGAACACTGATTTTTCCACCACGAGATGTCACTCAAGGACAGAGAAATGTCTATGGAGATTCTCCATCATCCAGGTCTCAGTTATCCCAAAGATGCTTTTTCACAGGCAACTGGACTTTCTTGTTTTTCTTTGAAGACGTTTCGCTTCTCATCCAGGAAGCTTCTTTAGAGCTGAAGGGAGAAGAGGAGGGCCATCATTCCCACATGCACTCCGGTAGATTTTCCTGTGGGGTTAGGCTTAGGCTTCCTGACTCAATCAGAAGAGAAGAGAAGAGAAGAGAAGAGAAGGGAAGGGAAGGGAAGGGAAGGGAAGGGAAGGGAAGGGAAGAGAAGAGAAGAGAAGAGAAGAGAAGAGAAGAGAAGAGAAGAGAAGAGAAGAGAAGAGAAGAGAAGAGAAGAGAACACATGGAATGGAATGGAATGGAATGGAATGGAATGGAATGGAATGGAATAGAATAGAATAGAATAGAATAGAATAGAATAGAATAGAATAGAATCTGGAAGGGACCTTGGAGGTCTTCTAGTCCAGCCCCTTGCTCAAGCAGGAGAACCTATACATCTCAGACAGGTGACTGTCTAGCCTCTTTTTAACAACCTCCAATGATGGAGAGCCCACGATTTCTGGTGGCAAGCTGTTCCACTGGTTAATTGTCCTCACTGTCAGGAAGTTTCTCCTTAATTCCAACTTGCTTCTCTTTTTGATCAGTTTCCAACCATTGTTTCTTGTCCTTCCCTCTGGTGCTTTGGTGAACAACCTGAACAATCTGGACTGAATTACAGCAGTAGTTTGCAAAGAGGGAGCAGGAGATAAGGGACATACATACATACATACATACAGACAGACAGAGGAAGGAAGGAAGGAAGGAAGGAAGGAAGGAAGGAAGGAAGGAAGGAAGGAAGGAAGGAAAAGATAAGAAAGAGAGAAAGAGAGAGAGGGAGGAAGAGAAGATGAGAAAGAGAGAGAGAGAAAGGAAGGGGAAGGCAGGAAGAAGGAAAAGAAAGAAAGAGAAAACGAGAAAGAAAGAAAGAAAGAAAGAAAGAAAGAAAGAAAGAAAGAAAGAAAGAAAGAAAGAAAGAAAGAGTCCTTGTGCTTTATAACTCATCAATTTTATCCAGAGAGGGATCAGCTGGCTCCTTAGTCTCCCCCCCATTGAGTTCAGCAGGGGATCCCCGAAACCTGGTGAGTGGCACCCCAAGAGCAGAGCAGCCGGGACCCTCTCGGGGTCAGAGGTCAAGCAGTGGTTCTGCGAGAGGCCTGAGAAATGCCTCTTTTCCCCTCCTTAATCTCTTTTCCACCCCACCTCTTCAGAGCCTCTCTGCATGGGCTTGGCACTTCCCCCCCCCTCCCCATGTTGGCATCTTAACAAGGTCTGGAGCCCAAGCATGGAAGAAAGAGAAGGGGGGGGGGAGAAGAAAGGCCAGTGGCATTGTAGAGGGTGAAAAAACCCAGCAGGATAATTAAAGGTCATCCAGGACTTCCCAATTACTGTCGCAAGAGGGTCGCTAATGTGAGATAATGATGTCACATGAGAACTAATGAGGAGGATTAATGCAATCCTGCTGCCCCCCCCCCAGAAAAAAAAAACTTTCCTTCTGCTCCCCGGCTCTTTAGCCCACTCAGCACCTCCGCTCACAAAAGGGTGGGGCATGAGTGCGAAGTTTCTGAGGATGCCCTTGGTGAAAGCAGAGAAGGAGGAGGAGGAGG